ACTAGATGGGATAGTAAAAATGCAATGAGTCTAAGAGCCCTCGGCCTTGTGAGACAATGTCATGGTTTCTGTAACAGAATGGAGTCTGTGGAGAATGGCAGGATGTGAGCAGGATATCCTATAGGATACAGGAAAGGATAGTCAAGAAGTTTGGACCACCAGCAGAACACCTCAGAAGAATTCTGAGGGGAGAGTGACAGGACCAGAAAGACATAACAGCTTGTCTGAACTTCTTAGAAGTTGAAGGACCATGATATCTCCTAAAGATACTTTCCCTTTCTGTAAAAGTATGGCTGTCATTGCTGGGGCTCTAAGGAAAGTTGGCAGGAAGAAGAACATGACTCAAAGCCTTGAAACTTTGAAACTTGAAAGACTACAAACTCAAACGATGCAACTATTACATTGCAGGACACTGGTCACAGCTTTCAGTAATTCTGGCTGGTGAAGGGGCACAGCTGAAGGTGAAAGTGAACATGCAGGGGTTGTGGCACATTTCCTGGTCTCTGAGGAGCCACTTGCTGAGGAAAGGACCATGATCATCAAGGCTCTGCCTCATGACCTACAAAAGTGCCCTTTAGATGGAAAAACTCTTTACATCAGGGACAGCCACAGTGGGGAAGGAGCCTGCACACTTCTCAAATTGGCAGGGGACTGTGGTTTGATGGTATCTCCCCCAGGTCTCATTTTCCTGTCTTTATCAGGACTCAAGGTAAATATGGCCGAGTCACTTGCATTGGCCAGGAAGGTTTTGTTTCCTTTAGCCATGAATTCAGAGGCACTTAAAAAAAAAAAAAAAAAAAACTTGTCCCAATCATTATCAACCTGACTCATACAAGTAATGAAACTCTGTGTACAGAGAGGGATGTCGCTGCTAGGGTGGTACTACACAATTCCCAAGATGTGGCTAAGTTTCTGATTTACTCAGAGATATGAAGTATGCATGCAGACCAGTAACTCCTAGGACATTGGCTCCATCTCACCCTATACCACCACACTTTTGTGCCTACTTTTCTGACTTGCTGCCAAGTCAGTGAAGCTGTCCTTTTTGTAGGGCTGTTACACAACACTTGAAAACAGCTGGCACTGTGCCTATCAGGTGTCATAATTTCACCCTCCCCTCTCCTAGAAGAGTACTGTAGCAACTGATGGCTAAGTACTGTAGCAACCCCAGGCCCAGCCTTCTCATCTGTGAAATGGGAATAGATATTAATGCTTAGTGGTAAGATATGAATGCACAGAACATGTACAGCCGAGTGCCAGGCACATACTGAGGGCTCCAATGGTGGGAAAGACTTTTAGACATTTTGTTGGGTACAACTCAGTTTTTGAAGTTATTTGAAAGTTATTGGGCATACAACCCTGAACAAGGAGGAAAAGGTAAAAGATCCTCCATGTTTCTCCAAGCCATCAGAGTCAGGGTGGCCAATTCCTGCATTCTGTATAATGGATCTCCTAAGAGCTCTAGCTTTAATGCCTTATGGAATATGTATCTTTCCAGTTGGGACTCTGGGTTCCCTGCCTATGACATTGGAGAAGAGAAACGAGGAGGATTTGAAGATGTTAGAGGGGCAGACAGCAATGAGTACCAAAGGATGAGCAATGTAACAGTAAGACACCAGCATCCAGGATGAAAAATTGATGAGAGCGCTTAGCCACAGGATTTGGGCTTTCTGTGTCAATCAAAAACCAACAGACCTGGAAGCAAAAACCACCTTTAGACCATGCATGGATATAATCTACAACCCCTGCTCAGACATAGCCCATGGTAGCTAAGTATCCAAGTGGGTTCCCTAGTAAGGGGGACAGAAGTTGTTTCTGACATAAACTCATAGGACCCCAAAAACTATGCAAGAAATGTGCCTGTACTTTCCACTCTCCATCTCACCATTTGGGAAGCTATGGTTGGACATCCCATTGCCTCCAGATTCATCTCCTGCTAAGCCATCTCCACTCTGGTTCCCAGCTGCCTTGATTTTGCCTTTCTTTTGCCATTGTGCCTTGGGGGCTTTGTGCTTGCTGTTTGCACTGTCCAATGCTTGGTCCCTGTTTATCACTTGAGCCTCTAGTGTTAGCTTCCCTGAAGCTGTTTCTCTCTAATGTGCTCCTGGCTTATCCCCTACTTCATTTGACCTACATCGGAAGTCTTGTTTGAATTCCCACACCTCATGTAAGTTCTCAACTTCTGGTGAAAAGGTCCCAACTGCCATCTTCATAGCTGGCTCCTTAGCTTTTGAGCATGAAGCCACCTGCTTCTCATTAATTGCACCACTGAAATCCTAGGCTGATTTTACAGTTCTATACATACTACAAGCCCTACCTGTGGTCATAAAACAAATTCTCACTCTGATGACATCTGTGTTTGTGCCCCTAGTGAAGTGCCCCGAAGGAAGCTTCTCTCAGGATGGGCGATGCACTCCTTGTCCTGCTGGTACCTACCAAGAACAGGCAGGCAGCTCTGCCTGTATCCCGTGCCCAAGGGGCAGAACAACCACCACCACTGGAGCTTTCAGCAAGACTCAATGTAAGTTCTTCCTGGGCCACTCTGAAGGAGAAGCGCTCCCAAACAGTGGGATGCAGCCCCGCTGTCAGCATCAGCATCTGGGATTCCTAGGGTCAGATCTCTCTTCACCCTAGAAACTATCCCACAGTGGTAGGAAGTGGAATAGCATCTGTACCCCACATCTGCTAGATGACACAGCAGCCTCTCTCTCTCAAGTTGTGGCAACCAAACTTGACTACAAGAATTAACAAATATCACTTGGGTGGTGGTGGAGGAGGCACAAACTTTTCTACTGTTGAGAACCACTGGGTAATCAAAGGCCATCTTCTGTGAATGCCAGGCTCCAGGCCAGACATGTTTCCTGTAAAGTCTCATTCAATCGTCCTAACTCCTCTCCCAAGTAGATAGAATGGCCCACTTTTTACAAATAAAATGAGTGCTCAGATAAGTGCGATTACTTAGCCAAGTTTTGTAGTTAACTCAGCCTGACTTTGAGCTTACTCTTGCCTGATTCTAAAACCTCTGACTTTTTTAAAATCAGTCTTATCAGATCCAGAAGTAAGAGAATTTTCCCATCCAGACTCATAGCCACTGTGGAACTCATGTTCAGTTTTGTTTTGTTTTGTTTTGTTTTTCCTGACCCTGTGCTTGCCAAGAGCCCATGTACTTGGTTTTCCCATGTGTCAGGAGATTTCACGTTATCCGACTACTGAACCCAGGTGTTCTTGGCTTTGCACTGGAAAGGACCCACGCTTTATGATCGATCTTTTTATGTGAGTCTGAAATCATGCAATTCTTATTGTTTATAATGTGAATCATTTCCAGATTTTTTTTTTCTGAGACAGGATTTCCCTTTGTAGCCCTTGCTGTCCTGGACTCAATCGTAGACCAGGCTGTCCTTGAACTCATAGTGATCTGCCTGGCTTGCCTCTGCCTTCATGAGGGCTGGAATTACCAGGGTGTGCAACTGTGCCCAGCCTCCAGAATTAAAAAAAAAAAATGGTCAAAGGAGAAAAAGTCACCTTTGATAAGGGAGGTTTTCTTGGAAAGAAGGGACATGCTAATAGGATGGTAATTCTTACAGATTCAAAATAAGAGGGATTTTGTAGGTAGACGCTTGCCATTCCCTAGAACGGAAACTTCTCAGCACGCAGTTTCCTTGACATCAGAGTACCAAGTCCACTTAAACACTGACTCTCTCATGGTAGAGGTGATCTGTCATGCCATCCCTATGCCACAGACTTTCTTAAAAGGGCATGTGCTGTGTGCTGTCCCCATTGTGTGGGAAACAGGATAGAAATGGAGGGAGAAGAAGGACCAAGGTCGAAGCTTGTATCAACCAGAGCCGACTTGGTCCCTGTCTCCCTTTGTTACCATAGTGGCTGAAATCAAGTATCTGTCCTTCTCAGACTGTCAGCCTGTCCTTTATGAGACAGATCAATAGTGTCACATTTCTGGTATATCACCTCATGCAGGGTGGTTACAGTGATAGTCATTGTTTATATTTTTTGTAGTTTTCATGATGTGGGATCAGTGTGTCAACATGGCAGAGTAGGAGGTTAGAGGTGCAGATACGGGATAGGAAGAATAGGGGTGTCAAGGTCAGGTTCTTCTAGCTGCTTATTTCATAAGGCCTTTGTGTACTGCATGAACAGAGACTGAACCCTCCAGCAACCCCCCTGGCTTAAAGACAGAAATTAATTTCATTGTATTCCACACTCCTGGCCTCATTTCCCATAACTGCATCTCAAAGGTCCTACCCTCAAGTTCTATCACATGAAAGACTGGAGATTCAGCACATGGTCAGGGCAGATACAATATCAAGCCCATGGCAAGTAGAGGGGGAATATTTAAAGTGTAAACACACACACATGCGTGCACACACACACACACACACACACACACACACACACACACACAATTTGAGGTACCATGATGACATTTCTGTGCAGCTGTAATGGGTTAGACTCCGTCATGAACATTCCTCATTCATCCTCCTGAATCTAAAGCAGTGTTAGTGAACTGATCTCTAGACTACAGGCCAGGTACAAAAAGGACTTCCAGGAAGAAGCAGTAACTTGAACACCGGGACAGAGCAGTGTTTATCCTTGATCCACTTCATGCTTACATTCATGGGTGCTGAAGAAAAGTGTACATTTTAGACACTGGGCATTGCAATGGGATGCAGGTCCTGCCTTCACGGAGCTTTCATCAAATGGGATGCAAGCAGTCACTAAGCACATATTCACATGGAAATAGAAACACAGACCAAGCTTAACTCTGTGAAGGAGAGGTGTCAGCTCCAGGAAAAACTGTAGCACTGGACAAGACCAAGTCAGGGGTCTAGAGCTACTTCAAACTGCTATAAGCTGCGGATCTTTTTTAGGCAACAGAACTTTGTTTCTCACTGTTCTGAAGTCTAGAAGCCCAAGATTAAGTTGCCAGCAGGTTAAGTATCTACTGAAAATACCATAGCTGGTGGCTTTCTAACTATCCTTATATGGCAGAAGGTGCAAGCCAGTTCCTTTGTCCTCTTTTGTAAGGGCACTAATCCCACATCCGAGGGCACCACCCTCATAACACACTCACTTGCCTGAGGTCCTACCTCCTACTACTATCACACACTGAAGATTAGATTCCAAAATATGGCCTCAGAGTCTCTATGAAAGCTGTTGTGGATTGGGCATGGAGTCGTGGAGGTATTCTTTGCTGAGGGTGGGCACACTAAAACATTTCAGCTAGAATGTCTGGGTTACCCATGTGGTTCTGGCATCACCAGAGTCCAGGGGTCCTGGAAGTTGGAAGAGAAGCAGGGGACCACAGAGTCCTGTTTCTCATTGCTGTGTCCATCTGTTGTTCCAGGTGTCACTGAATGTCAGAGGAATGAGGCCGGCCTACAGTGTGACCAGGATGGGCAGTATCAAGCCCACCAGAGTGACAGGGACAGTGGGGAAGCCTTCTGCGTGGACAGCGAGGGGCAGAGGCTAATGTGGTTACAGACAGAGGCTGGACTCTCAGAATCTCAGTGTCTGGGTATGTACTGGTTGTTCCATCCTCTGTGGTTGCTGGGATCAGGGCCATCACGGCCTACAGAAAGGGATTACACAGAGATATCATTTATCTCCTTCTCTATTCCAAAAGCGGTTAACCTACACAGAAATTGGGGGAATAGTAAAATGAAAAGATTTCCTTCACTTAGGCCTGTTAATATTTTGTGCTTTCTTTTTTGTTGTTGTTGAATCATTTAAAAATGAGCTTCAAAAAAAATGAGCTTCAGGAATCATATGAACATTACACCTGAGTAATTTATCAAGACAAGGAGACAAATTTTCAAAAAAGCTGACCTGCTGAGGCCTCTTCTTTTGTAGGCAGCTTGCCTCTCTGTGTCTGGGTAGCATTTCTCTCTCAGATGGATGCTGAAGAATTATTGGGCATCCATCCTTATTCTATCATTTCCTTATGGGATGACTTGGGATGAGTTTCCCAACCTCTCTTATCAACAGTGTCCCTAGTCTATTTTCTGGGACATTGTGAGAATCAACACCATTTCATAACATCAACAAATACTCACCAAGCACTACCTGAGGTCCTCAGTGAGGCAGTGGATGAGGTGATTCCATGAATGCCACCATATCCTCCCACCCAAGGTGTGATGAGTTTGCAGAGCAGAATAGAAGGGTGTGGTGTCAGAGCGGATTAGCCCCTAAAGTCTCCCTTGTTGTTGGTGTAGTCCTGGGTACTCACTCACCCTTGGCAGTTTCCAAGCGGGGTACCAAATACATTAGCTGACTGTATCTAGCAAAGGTGACAGATACTTCAGGCAGACAGAATTCAGAAGCTGTTGCCATCTGCTCTTCCTCTGTTCATGAAGAGACACAGGAGTGGGGTGAGGAGGGGGGATGAAAAAAATTGCCAAGGTCCTTTGTGCTGCCCCCCCGCTTTGGTTCTTAGAAGTCAGCTTTCTTTACATACCTTCTCCTTTTACTTGAGGCCCTGTGGCTTGCTTTTTTTTCCCACTGGACCAGCTGGGATTGGGGTGAGTCCTGCTGGCCAGACATCCTAACTGTGCAAGAAGAGGGTTGGCATTTGTGAGCTCACCCTGTGCCAGGATTTTACATATTCACCACATCATACTTGTAATGTCCTGAGGGTAGAGATTATTTTCTCCAATATTTTAGCTTAGGACCCAAAAACAGAGAATGGTGATGTGTTATCTCTAACCTAAACCTGGCATACAACATAACTGGATTAAATTTCGGATGTGCCTCACTCCCTAAACCCTGTGCTTCCTATTGTACTGATCCATGCTTCTATTCAGATTCATGTAATTCCCCAGTGCATACACATATACATGTGTAAGTGAGAGAATTAGTTCTCATCCTTCCATCAAATGGGCTCAGGAATTGAAGGACATAATCAGGTAATCAGGATGAGCCATCTCACCAGTCCAGAAATCTTTTTTTTTCTCAATTCCTCTTCTTATGGGCAGGGCTAACAACCACAGGAGATGCACAAAACTCATTTATACATAAAATATATACCAGCATAACACACGAATCCCCAAACTAATTTTCACTTGCCCCTCTGCTCTGCTGGCAATGAACTTCTTCATAGCAACCTTAGTACCATGAAGATCTTCACCGCCAGGACCCTTCATACAGTCTTTAAGCAGAGAGATAAATGTACTGCACTTTGAGTAAGCTTTGTTTTAGGAAAGACGTATAAAGTTTAGTTTAATCTAGAATATGAATATGTAGTCCATATCAGCCCAGCCTGAGTGACACTGGAAGGACTCTGCCATATTATTTGGTAGACTGGCACTTCTAGAGTTCCAACAAAGTAAGAAGGAATGGAAAAGTAGAAAGAGAGGGGGATTATGCAGAGCAAGGCTGAGTATGGGCTGAGCTCATGCACCAGGCTTCAGCAAACTTCAACAAATGGTGTAGATAGGTCACTTTGTAAACTTAGAAAATGCATTATTTCTTAATTTTTGAAAGTTTTTATACAACTATTATAAACAAGCAAATCCCCCCATCCTCTGCTTTTCCATTTCTCATCCCTGCCTTTTGTTTGCCTAGATGACACTTCCACAGCCTACTTTTCTACATCAAAGTATCAGAAAGCTTAAGGAATGTTGTTTCTTTACTTCAGTATTTTTATGTTTTGCATATGAAAGCTGAGAAAATGCTACCTGATGGATCATCTATTTACATTTTTTTCTGCTTCCTCATTAAAAACATGGATGTATTGACCTGGGTAATCCAATGTAGATTACAAGACTCACTTATAATGGATTGGGTGTATATGATAATGAGAACCTACGTCCAGGTTTGTAAAGATGATTGAGTGTGCTAAAAGGTTTATAAATAACTTTTGTGTTTTGATAGAGACATACAGTATAGGCCCACAGTAGCTTTTGTGGTTTGGAAAACGGGTCTCTTTCCCTGACTGTCACCCTCTTGTTTCTACCCTTTGTGAAAATTGTGTTTCAAGCCTTAGAGCTGTGGAAATTTATCTTTTGTTTTTCCTCGTCACTTGTCTAGTTCCATGAGCAGGTGGCTCTGTGAGTCCCACCAAATGGACCTCAAGTGTGTTGACGGTAGCTAGAGAAACAGATGACATCCCATCACTTAAGTAAATACTGTCTGAAAAATGCAGGAGCCACGTGACACATCTCCAAATTTGCAAAAACTAGTATGCACATATTTGATCTCTCTTTTAAAAATAGCTTATTACCTCGCTTGAGAAAGAATCCAGATTGTTTTAGGGGGAGTATATTCTCAGTGTAATCATTATGCAATATAATTAGCATTCAAAGACAGGGAAAGAGACGCCTAGATATAAAAGAAAAACAGTTAACTAAGAGAAGAAATGTTGAAAGGTCCAATATAATGTTAGATCTTCCCTTTACTTCCTGAGAAGAGGGGTAGGAAACAAAAGACACAAGGAGTGAGTTACGCTGATGAGTGCTGGTCATGAGGCTGGATCTCCCTTCAATAGTAATTGCTCCATGTGTGATAGTCATGTGACCCAGGGTGAGGATGGGTCCAGTGACATCTTGACCTTAACAGGACTTTGTAGCCTGACCCGATAGTCACATGCAAATGCCTTAAAACACACTTCAGGTTTGGTTCTCAGAGGCCTGCTTTATTTCCAGTAATGCGGAAGTTTGAGAAAGCTCCCGAATCAAAGGTGATCTTTGATGCCATTTCTCCCGTGATAGTGAAGTCCAGAGTCCCCGGTGCTGAGTCCCCGCTGGTGCAGTGCTTAGCAGGTAAGCGGCATGAAGAAATACACATATGGAGAGACAGGGCAAACTCCACTATTCAAGCTGTTGAAAATTTTAATTAGTCAGAGACATTATAGGCGACATGATTTATTGAATGTTTGTGCAGTTCCTAACTTCTCTGCAGTTTGTTTATATCTACTGACCACCAAGAACTGTGTTGAAGGTTGGAAACCTAGCCACTTGTAGTCTGTGTACTGAGGAGGGGGAGCAGCAACTCCTTCTCATCCAGCACTCCTCTCCAGATGTCACCTAGCAATTCCACAGCCATAGTGATGCTAAGATACAGATGAGAGGAAGGCACTGGGAATGCGAGTAGTTTGTTTAGTGACATCGAGTTAGCAAGTGACAATTTTTCCCCTTGCATTGATTTTATTTCCTTTTTATTATTTTTTTATTTTTTTCAATTTATTCATTCTGTATCCTGATTGTAGCCCCTCTCTCATCTCCTCCGGGTCCCACTTTTCCTCCCCCATTCTCCCTATCTCCTCCCCCTAGTAGCAAGTGACAAATCTTAAATGCCCAAGCTAACAGATGTTAAAGTCTGCAAAAATGCCTGCATTTGTCTTTTAATGGCACTCTGAATAAGGATGTGCTTTGGATAATGTCTCTGTCTAGGCTAAGCCTATGCTCTTCCTTGTGTTGTTGCAATCACAACACAAGGCAAGAAGTAGGAGCTTAACTAATGCATCTTTAGAACAAATGGTATATGTGGTAGCTGGGTGGACAGGGACAAGGGGAAACTTGGACAGACATGAGGACGCAGCCCCAGGACAGCAGACTTGGTGTGTACCTATGAGGGTGACTTGTCCCTGCAGAGGGCATTACACATGTGTCATCACCCTCTGTAACACAGTGTGGTTTACAAAGAAAAAGAAGCATGCAGGGATGAAAAAGAGGTGTAGAACCGTATGTAGTGAGATTAGCAGAAAGCACAAGGCCCTTTGCTGGCACCAGGAGATCCTTTATCTAAGCAGGTGAAATTCAGTGCCTAAGACAAAAAAACAACAATAGACAGAAGTTAGAGTGAGAAAACCATGTCAGAACGGTCTGGGTCTGGCAAGACAGTGTCTTATAGAAAAATGAGAGCAGGCTATCCCACTCTGCAGCAGGCAGGATTTACAGATCGGTGGAGTTTGTATATCTTCAACTGGGAAACTTATTTCCCTGTTTCTAGAGACTGGAACCCTGAAAGAAAGGGATTAGCAGCCTTCGTCTGTCCTCAGTTTCTCAATGGCCATCTTCCTGCTTTGTTACACAGATTCCTATCAATATCAGTGTCCTGATCTCTTCTTTCTGTTAGGATGTACATCATGACCTCATTTCACATTACTTAATTACTGCTTTATAGACCCTAACTCTAAATAAATTATAGTCGTATTCTTACGTAGTGGTGGTTAGGACTTGAACACAGGAGCAGAAGGCACAATTATTGCCATAACAAGCATCAAAATCCTGTTGAAGATGGTCACATGGCCTTTAAGAGAAAGGAACATGAAAGGGCTATGGCAGTGAGAAGGATTCGTACCACTGATGAGAGAAAAGAAAGTTGTAAGAAAGCCATGAACCATAGAGAATGGAACAGGAGGGTGGGGAAGAAGAGGAAGAAATGAAGTTTCCTTATAACTGGGACATTGTGTGCTTGGGGTATGGCAGCATTGCTGGGACTAGTTCAGCACAAATTAACCAGATTTTCCTGATACTGATCCAGAACGATCATTGCCTTAACCTTCCCGTTGCTAAGTCTGAAGTAGGGTGTTGCTTGCAGTAAAAATCAAGTTAACTTGGCTGAAGGCCAGGAGTCCTTCAGGGCTGGGGGCATGTGAGCTAACATGAGCCATTTTCCTTGAGTTCCAATGGGAACCATGGGCCGTATGTTAGTTGAAAGACAATATTTGCTTTTTAGTGCCCAGGTCATATGGGACCATGTAGAAGAAGAGCTATGCTATGAATGTGTTTGTGTGTGCCTGTCTGAATCTATAAGTGTGTGTGTATATGAGTGTGTTTGTATGGGTGTGAGTCTGTAAGCATGATTGGGTATGTGTTTGTGTGTGAATGTGTCAGAGTGTGTGAGTGTGTGTATGTGTGTGACTATGAGAGTGTGTGCGTGTTTGGACAGTGGAGATGTGTGCACAATGAGGGTAAGGAGGGTAAGGGCAGGCCATGGGTCTGTCCCACCCTCAGGATCACCTGAGAGCCCAGAGGTGATTCTGCTGTGGTATTTGCAGATTGCGCAGATGATGAGGCCTGCAGCTTCCTTTCGGTGTCCACAATGGGATCAGAGGTTTCATGTGACTTTTATTCTTGGACAAGCGACAACTTTGCCTGTGTGACTTCTGATCAGGTGAGCTGTGACAGCCACAGGCAGCTGTCCTCCCCCCCCCCATGTTAGACACCCTCTCGTGCTCTGTGGAGGCAATCAGATGAATGTGGGCACTGCGGCTGTGCCGGGCCAGAGGGACTAAGCAAGAGACAGCAGGAATGGTGTAACATCTGATAATCAGGGCAGTGCCTCAGTGTGGAGTACCCTCGTCCTCTGCCGCTGCTCACCTCATCAGGCAGCTTACCTTCGCATGCTAAGGGCCTATTGTCCAGAGCCATAAGTACCATCTGACCCCTGAGTTCTGAACACAACCATTGCTTCCATTGTAGAAGTCAAGTGTGATTATGCTTTGAAAATAAAGAAAGGTTAAACATTCATCAGAACTACCTGCTATTCCCACAAGTAAAAACTGATGGAAGATAGGAAATTTTAGCTGGTACCATTGCATTAGAATTGAAGAGCACCCAGGCAAAATGAAGCCCCAGGTCCCAGTGACCTAGATGCCTGATCTTACAAGTCTCCTTCTTCTCTGTCCATGTAGATTCTTCTGGGTCCCCTTAGAAAAAAATCTATCTGTTGTAAGCCTCTTGCAGTTTGTGTGTGTGTTGACATAATGAATTCTCTTTCCTTCCCCGGCCTCCTCATGAGGCCCACATATCTGCATCTTCTTAGTGTGGTCTCCAGACCACAATGTGGTTGTATGCTACCCATTTCAAGGGCTTGCATTTAGGACTCCCAGGTGCAGGGTAGTTTTAGGATACCACCAGCACTGGGCACTGCACGTACCTGTGCTCTGTGCACACGTGTCCAGGTGTTCATGGGTGAGGCCCTGCCAGGTGCATGGAGTGGGCTGCCCCGGGGTTTCAGCAGCTTGTCAGATGTAAATGGAATGCTGTCAGGACTCAAACTCAAACCTCAGTCCCTCCCCACTTGTTTTCTGCTTCTTAGCCCCCAGGTCCTTCAGATTACCCACACAGTAACAAATGATCACATCCCCTCATCATGGGAGGTTGTGAGGATGGAAGAAGGTTTCCAGGAAGATCACAGGGCAATCTCTGCTATGAACATTACCGTGATGGATATCTCTTGTGTTGATGCTATATCCCATCCTCCAGTCTCTAACCAGGCCAGCAGGAAGTTCTATAAGAAGTCCTTTGTGGAAAAAACATCCAGGTTCCTCCCCAGAGCCTTAGGCTCTGGGTACAGTCTTAAGGCTGGGGTGGGGCTTGGATGTTAATTACATCTGACTGGTCCACCTTAGGGTAGGATCCTGTTCCCAGTAGCTCTTTCAGCATCTTCAGCTCTTCAGCTCCGACTCTTTTCAGATTTGGGAGCCAAGTCTAGCCATCCACCTGGCATCTTATGGCTCCTTCCCAATCAATGTACAACTGCTCTGAGTCTCGATCTCCATCCCTTTCAGGTCTTTACATCCCCTTCTTTTTAATGTTCTCCATGGCCCTTCTTTCCCTCCTCAGGCCCTTGTCTTTTCTGTAAGGAAAGCTTGAAGAGCCAGTGCCTTCAGGTAGCCTATCACTAAAAAGCTCTCCTGGAAAACCCGAGGCCGGCAACCCTGGGGAGGGGAAAAATATCAGATGCAAACCATGGATGAGTATGGTCAGCTTTGCCCCCCCTACCCACTCACCAGTAGAAAGCAAATCAGAAAAGAGAGCCAAAGTGATCAAGAATGGCAGATGCTCTGGACGTCTGGCTCATCTTTTCAAGCTTCAGAACCTGCCTGTGGACAGAAGACCTGGAGGGCCTGCCCTGGGCTGAATTCTCCCCTTCTCCCTCCTCCCTCTTCCCTATTTCCTTCTTCTTTCTCCCTCCTTCTTCTTCTCTCCTCCCCTCTCTGGTGGCTCCCCTTCTCACTGGAAAGAATTTTTGGTCTTCAATTAGAGTTTCTCTGAGAAGCTCTCGTAGGTCCTGTTTCTCCATAGAATTAATTACTGTCACCCCTGTGGAAATTCTTCTCCAGATGCACGTTTACATGCAGCTGCCATTGCCATTGATGGGAGCTTGCTACTCACGTGTGTGCCCTACTAATAGACCAGAAAGGTTTACAACCAGGAGTCCTCACTAGTTTTCCTTGCAGCCCCTCGATAACTGTGGTCAGAGTTTGGTAAATATGTATTGTTTTGCTTCAAACTATGGGAAATATTGGATGATAATGGGGGGGGCATTTTTTTCTACTTCCAGGAACAGGATGCTGAGGGTAACTCGAAGGCAACCAACCTCAGAAGCCTTAGGTGCCTGGTGAAAGTGAGAAACAATGGCACGGATTCTCTGGCTGTTTATGTGAAGAAAGGTAGGTTGGTGACACTGGGGCTTCCCTTGCTTGTGTTCGGAGAGGTTTCGGCATGATGCATCTGTCGGGAGGACACTGGCCCCTCACCTCACTCTATGCATGATCCTGCCTAGGACAGGCTCAACCCACCCACTGTCTGCAGACAGATAGTGTCCTCCTGACAGCTGCAAAAAGGATTTCTACCTAACATTAATTTGAGCCATCAGTTCTGGTTTTTATCACACCTCATACTGCAGGAACCAAGGAGCCTATGGAAGCACAGACGCAGTACAGACATGCACCCCAGCCAGCTTGGCCTATGTGCCATGTGCTTATGTTCATGGCCTATGTGCCATGCATACCAAGACCTTGACCCTGCTTCCACTTGACATTCCAGCAGGTCCTGGCTTGGCTCCCTGCAGCTATGCCTCCCACACCTTCTAACTCCTTTTTCTTTTCTCTTTTTCTTGAATGTCACCGCCAGACTATCCCTCACCCCCAGCTAGACCTGAAAGGGCTTTCTCTTCCATCTCTATGCTCATGGGACCTTCTCAGGTGGAACTGTGCATGTGGGATGGCAGATTTTGAGGCTGTATATGAGTTAGGCCAAGATCTCAAGGTTTTTTTTTTTTAATGTTTGCTAATGGACCTGGTATTTCTTTTGTTGATGTTTTGTTTTTTTCTTTTATTGAAAAATATTTTTACCATATGATGTAATATACTTTATTTTATTATTATCCTTTAGAAGCCTGTTTATTTTCTAATGAGAGACTGGAGTGTGTGGGTTTGGATGGGAGGGGAGGCAGGGAAATAAAGCTCTTAATAACCATCCACGGACTGAGATCATTGCAGCAGCATGACATAATCTACTATGTATTACACATCTCACTCTCCCACGTACCCCTTCTTTTGCCTTATGGAAATTTGAAGGAAGGCCTTAGAAACACAGACTCTCTGTAATACCCTGTGTGTCTTAAAAATAAAAACAAAACAAACAAACATCTTTTTGTCTGTATCTATCTATCTATCTATCTATCTATCTATCTATCTATCTATCTACTATCTATGTAATCTATCGTCTATCTATCTACTATCTATCTAATCTATCCATCTATCTATCATCTATCTATCTATCTATCTATCTATCTATCTATCTATCTATCTATCTATCATCTATCTATGTATATGTATCAGTTGGCACACATACAGCATACCATGCATGTGTAGGTCAACAAAGTTGAGCAATTCCTCTCCTTCTACAATATGGGTTCTAGAGATCACATTCAGGTTGTCAGTCCTGCCAGCAAGAGTCTTTACCTACTGAACCATTTTGCTAGCCCTGTAACAGTGTTTCTATAAGTTCCTGAAGAGCTAGGTTGGGGCCTCTCAAAGTAACACAGGGAATAGCAGGAAGACAGTCTGGGTTCCTGTGTGTATGTGGGGATGAGCAGCAAATCTCTCCAGTCTCCTGAGGTACAGACTCTGCCCTGTCTTGCCTGCATCCTGCTTGTCATCTACAGGGTCAGTGAGGCGCCAGCAATGTGCAGCTAGGCTCTGTGTCCTGTGTTTTTTTTCCACTGTCCTCATTCTCTGAGTTGTAGCTTTCCAGTGGTTCTGAGGGGCAGGATTTCTGACTTCTGTGTCTTATTTCTGCTTTGGAGGCAGCCACATGGACTGACCACCACAGTACCAGCTCTTTGAGTTCTGGAATCTTCCAAGATATTGGAAGATATTGGATCTTCCAGCGAAACATAGGTCCTGTATGAATCTGGGTATCAAGGTGGAAAGAGGTAGCTCCTGTTACCCATCAAGCACTAGAAGAGTGAGAATTTCTACAATTACTTTCTTCTTATGAAGTTCTCTGTTGGTCACAGACCAGAAGTTAGCTAATGGAGGCAGGACCAGGGGTGTGAGAGTTGGAATGAAGCGGAGCGAGAAGGAGTGAGGTGTTGTTCTCTGAGGCTTGTAGCTCTAGACACATGCAGATGGAAGCTGCAGCTTCAGCCTTGAGATGGAAACAGCCGGGGTTACATGCCAGGCCACAGACTCAGTTAATCCCGCAGCATCCTTCAACCTCTGCAAGGACAAATAGACAAGTAGAGTGGTTGCTCCCTCACATCCCCGTTCCAATGAAGCTGTGTGTGTCCGTGTGCATGTGTGTGTTGGGGAGGAGTGGGTTGCCCAAGTCTCCTGGTGTTGTGTTTCTCTAATCTACAGCCAAGGCTGCTATGACTTCAGTGTTCAATTGTTCCTACCATCTACTTTTAAGAATAACAACGCTTAGGAGTTACTTTCTAAAAATAAAGGCCAAAACAAATAAAGTAACTCCATCTAAAAATGTCCCTTGAAAACTATAATTTAGCCTTTTATCACACTTAAAAATACAATAGCATTTAAGTGTCTGTTGTCTTGTGCCTCCTCCTGTCTCCTGGAAGTTTATATTTGGATTAAAAGGGAAAGTGAGAAAAGTGAGAACCTTGTTCTGCCAAACTAAACCAAGGGCAGAAATTGGCTTGCTGCTTTATTTTGCCTTCTGTCTGTTTAAAGCCAAGATGTGTTCCCACTGTACTGGAAGGGAAAGGTGGCTGGACTCAGCTTCCTGTGTTTTTTTCCATTGCTGATCAGACTATGTCTCACCTCTACTTTAGCTCAGTCCTTTCTCTAACATCATCATCATCATCATCATCATCATCATCATCATAATAATAATAATAATATATCACAGTGGGAAAGAACATAGTTTCTAAACAGTCCTCAGCTTCTAAGGGTACTCATGTCCAGTTCTACCCTTCACCCTAAACCAGTTGTATGATGGAACAAAAGGGAAAAAAAGGGACAGAGACTCTCAGCTTGCTATGATGTCTAGTACCACCTGCTTTTGCCCAGCTGAGGTCTGTGGGCCTACAACCTGTGAGAGGACAATGTGAGCCTTAGCATCATAGGAAACCAATGCTGGGAAGCTCCTATGTGATGGATTAGCCCAGCCCCCTAACTGAAAGATAAGATCTGGGCATCCAGCTACCCACTAGGTCCAGGTGAAACTTCCTCCAGCTATGATCATTGTGACCTTTTCCAGTGTTGAGAACATGATAGCCATGTAGGACACACAGGCTTGGCATGTCCTTAACCCCTCACCAGGCATCACAGAGCTTATAAGGGCATTAGTGACCTACTGGCTAATGCTGTGAACAGAACACTGAGTGGCAGAGGCATGAATTCAGTGATGAAAGACAGCATTTTGCAGAGCGTGAAGTGCTCAGATTAAAATGAAGAGGAGGGATGGGACAAAAGTGAACACGAGCCACTTTAGCAATCTCGGAGGGAGCCACAGAAGAGATGGCAGTACAAGTGATACCCAAAGCATGGGAAGGAGCCTACTGGATGGCAATTTCAGGGTCCTCTGTGGAACTGAAGGACATCCAAGTTAGCCTTGACTGTGGCCTTGCCACCAAAAAGGACTGCCCAGTCTAATTACAGTCTGGGAGCCTACGTAATGAAAATGACAGTCAGTCACACAGTATTATGGTGCATTCAAATTGCTGTGGCAGTGTAACTCTGACCCAATGAAATCAGCGTTCAGATAGTGACATTTGGCTCATGCACATCTCTAGGAGCTACTGCACGGACATTTTCTCACATAGCTGAAATACAGGGAGGGGCACTGGGACCTCTTCTAAAGGGCCAAGCAGGAAGTGAGTGAGATGCAGGGAAAGAATGGCAAGTCCTGTGACAAACCAGGGTGGCTCCTTAAATGGAAAGTGGACTCTACTGTAGGGCTGGTAGCTGCTTTCCATGGGGTAGCAGGTAGATGGGGCTGAGTGGATCTGTTCTTGGAGAGAAGAGACTCTAGCATTTTGGAGTATGTGAAACATCTGTTGGACATAAGCTAGTGCTGCTAGCATTGCCTAACAGTTTAGTGTGCTGTTCCACATCCATGAGGTGAAAGGGTCTCAGGCTTGTGAGTAGGTAAGAAAGCAGAGGCCTGGGGGACCCAGGCACTTATGCAGCAGAGAGCCTTCAGGGTCGGCCCTTGAGACCATCAGAATCTGAGGTCATACCATGAGCCTCTGCAGTGTCTCGAGGAATGAGAGTCAGTTAAGGTCTGAACCACCATTGGGCTAATGGAAGTCAGGGCAGTGAAATCATGGGCTTTGAGTCTCTTCTGTGACTATCTGTTGTAGCCCAGGGAAACCAATTCACATCACCGACTAAGGTTATCTCCCCAGAATTACATGAACTCAAGAATAAGGCTACACCTATACACACACACACACACACACACACACACACACACACACAACTTGTCTATAAATTCGTGCTCTAAGGGGAGCTTGAATTAAGAACAAGCAAACCCCAGAGAAGCCACTTTTAACCAGAGGGCTATCAGAAACAATGTGATCCTGATAAACCTTCTTGTCTAGTGACAGAAAAGGGTGAGCTGAGTTCCTAAGAAACAGCTGTTGTGGACAGTGTAGGAAGTGGCTTGAAAAGCAGATGTCAGCAAAGGCTGAGTGATGGGGTCAAAGGCAGGTCACATAGTGAAGGTCTGCATGACAGTGGTTTTGAAAGGCAGATCCTAAGACAGACGGAAAGGAAGAGGTTAGACCACTGAGCTCTGCAGATGCTTGTCTATTCTAAGTTCCTTTGCTGATGTTCGATGTAATGAGATGGGGGGAAATAGCATCCATTGTAGACTTCTGAATGACGGTATATCTGCCACATGTTCAAGCTTATCTACATTACATACATGAAGCAATTAGCATGAGAAGAGATGGTGTAGGGTGTAGTGTCTATGAAGATGGGGCATTGTCACATGGGAATAGTCGAAAGAACACACATGCAGTTTTCTAGGTGTTCAGCTTAGACACTCACAGGTATGAGGGATGTAGTCCAAGTAAATGGATTTAAGGTCCCTGTCTGGCAGTCACATCCTCCTCATTCACAGGAAAGTATAGAGGTTGCATGCTCAGAGAGACTTCTGTTTGGGCCTGAACACTGTCCCCAGCACATATGGAGCAAACTCAGAAGACTCCATTGAGATCAGGGAGTTCTGCTTACCTCCATAGATCTTTTCAGCATTTCTTCTGTCTTTACCTAGGCCATGAATTCACTGCAGCTGGTCAGAAGAGCTTCGAACCAACCGGTTTTCAAAATGCACTCTCCGGGTTGTATAGCCCTGTAGTGTTCTCAGCCTCAGGAGCCAGTCTGACAGATGTACACCTCTTTTGTCTACTTGCCTGTGACCGTGACTCCTGCTGTGATGGCTTCATCCTCACAGAAGTCAAAGGAGGTATAGTCAACAGGATATGGGCATTTGAAGTCTCAGAAACCACAGAGCCTGGCACTGGAATTTGCAAGCCCAATGCTACAATGCCAAAATCGAAGGTCATAGTCACACACAAAGTCAGGAGCAAAACTAGCCTCTTTCCCAAGTCATAGATTGTGCCATTACTTCATGTAATTATACTGGTTTGTTCTTCATAGTTGTCTTCAATTTTACAAACAAGAACAGACAAGAAAAAGAAGCCCTGGGAATTGAAAATATTTGCTCAGTATATAGCTTCTGAAGGGACAAAGTGGTATTTGACCCAAGATATATCCTTCCTAATATCTTACTGTTAGCTGAGAAACCTGGCAAAGTCACATTTGGTCTAACTGCCTTAGCTCACTCCTGTGCTCCTGATGAATATAATGATAATCAGCCAAGGTATCTGTGCCCCTTGGCCATTCTCAATGGTCCTTCAGCAGTGGGTATCTCTTCATATTACAGAAGTAAGCCCAGGCACTTAGCAGTGTGGCCTCATGGTTAGGAGGGGACCTTGGAGTTTTGGTGTGAGACAGGGTGACATTATAGGGATTCACTGGGAAAGCAGAAGTTGGTCCAGGCTCTGTGGGGTGAACAGCACTAAGATTTGGTAAGAAAACCAGGGCAGTGTTAGAGCAACCATTGCTGAGCTAGAGGCTGGGAGACCCCATCTGTTTTGGAGACTACTAACAGAAATCTGGGTTCTCAGTAAAACATGCCAGCATGAGTGGATGTCTGGAACAGAGCTCACATTCTCTTTTCCTGCCTCCCTTCCTTTTTTCCCTGATGAAATTATCGAGAGAGAAAAAGATAATTGATAATTACTAGACCCCGAAAGAAAGTTAATACTACTTTGAAAACCTATAGTAAGTGGTTTGAGAAATGAAGATTTCCTCAGGTCTCAAGGCAGAGGGTAGATTTTAACTTGGTGGTGTGAAGGGGCATGATAGTTCTGGACAGAAGAGGAAGGCTATGGAAAGCCAGGGAGTGATGAAGAGAAAAAATTTTGAGTTAGCTGTTATCCCTGCAGCAGGGAGAACAAGCAGGAGGTGGCCTTGGCTTAATAAGGAGCAGGAAGGAAGAGATTTCATTCATTTTTTTTTCAGGTACACTAACAAACACATTAATCTTAACAACACCTGGGTGTCATGGAAGCTTTTTTTTTTTTTTTTAACCATGACTGAAACCTTCTTTTACTAAAAAACAAAACAAAACCAGGGTCTAATATATGGCTAGGCAGCCTTCTAACGTAATGACCTTGAACTTCTGATCTTCCTTTCTCCACCTCCTTAGCAGTAGGATTACAGGTGTGTACCTCCAAACCTGGCTTTCTGTGGTGATGGAGTGGTGTGGACCAGGGTCATGGCTACACTTGCATTTGAAGCCAGTGCTCTGGCTAGAGTGTAGAAAGGTGAGAGATGAGGCTGACTTCGGTGTGAAGGGGTCAAGAAAGTGAGAAGCTATTCAGGAAAGCAGGTGGCCCAGGACAGGATGGTGGCAGCGGGCTGAGGAAAAGGAGACAAATTCAAAAGGACTCTGGGAAAGAGAGAGGTGTGTGGCTGGCTTACATGGTGGGAGTCTTCTCTGTAGTAAAGTAATGCGTGGCAGAGACACTGGATTATCTATTGCATGACACCAGGAGGAGACTTAGGGAGCTCGGGAGTCCATCTGAGTACACTAAGTCTGAAGCACCTTTGAGACACTTATGAAACATGGCTCACTTTGGATGCATAGCCCCAGGGCCCAGAGGGGCAGAGTGGAGAGAAGACAGAAACCAGTGGAGCAGCAGCCAGTGCCTGGTAGCATCAGAACTTGTGGGACTAGGGCTGTGGAGGTAGCTCAGTTGTTAGAATGCTTGCCATATACGTACATCTCTCTGAGATCCATCTCTAGCACCACATAAAGCCATGTTTGGAGGTATACACCTGCAATCCTACAGGAAGGAGGTAGAGGAAGGAAGATCAGAAGGTCAAGGTATTTAGTTAGAGGGCTGCTAGGGTATGTTAGACCCTGTCTTAATATTTTTAGAAAAATAAAAGAAAGTTTGAGTGTAGGTGAGAATTCTGGGGAGATAAATGGTGATGAGCGATGAGCGAGGTAAGGAGTGTGTAAGACCCCAGAGAATACCTGAAAGACAGGTAGAGTCACTTGACAGGGAGAAAGCGACCCAGGACTTCTAAAGGTAACCAAACAAGGGAGAAGAGGACATGCAGGGAGCCTTGACAGTCCCTTATGCTGCTGACAGCTCAAGAAAACAACCATTGGAAGATGCCCAGCTGAGCTCACTGTGGTCAGCAGCGGTAGGAATGAAATTAGTTGGGTTTTTGTTGTTGTTTTAATTGATGCTGACTTTCTTATCCCAAGTTAGAATTTACTATGTACCCAAGGATGACTTTGAACTTGTGACCCTCCTTTTTCCATGTCTTCAGTGCTGTTATTACAGGCATGCTCCATAACACCAGCTTATATGGTATTAGGGATTGAAACTGGGCTATATGTATGCAAAGCAAGCACTCTACGAATGGAGCAATGTCCTCAGCCCCGGAATGAGACTGTTTTGTTGAAAAGATGGTTGGAACAACTTGGTTCCTAGACATGCTTCTGGTTTCAGCCCTATGATTATACAATGTGGGTTCCTGTTTGGGTGGGCAAATCATTAACTGTCCCTCACGTGGACATCGACACATGTCTTTCTGCATACTCATGTTTAGAAAGTCTGCCTTCAGAGCCAGGATGCCTCCTTGAAATAAACGTATCTTCTGTGGGTGCTATGATTTCTCCAGATGCTGTGTTACTCACCAGACCACGTGATCCTTCCATGTGGAAACACTGACTTCATTTCCCTAGTATCATATATGAAGGATCATTTTGTTCCATGGAGGAGTGAGCCTTCCAATCCCCTTTTTTTTCCCACCACACTGTGGTTGGCAGCCTGCTTGCTGTTCTCCCCAAGTCTAACTAGTGATCTGGGAATTACCCTGAGCCCAGCATCTTACCCACTCCCACCCTCACATGCAATGCCCTTGTGAAATGCCTCAAAAACATCTGGCTGTCCTTCCAGACTCATCGGGTACAGTGGGCGGTTGGGAGTTTTAATTTAGGTGGCTTTGGCTGGATCTGCTGAGGTCTGGGACAGAATCCTGCTACACCCTCTACCACATCCTGCAAAAGCCTTCAGTTTTCTTTGAAATCCCTCCTTTCCCTCACCCCTCCTCAACACACTGCGTGAAAGCTTCCAGCTGCCTCTGGCCTCCTCTGGCTGCCTACCTCCAGCTCCCAATGAATGACTGTATTTTCTATAGGGAGCAGTTAGTGACAACTCATGAGGCTCCAAGCCTGCATTGCAGTGAAGGCTACTGGGAAGAGGGATTTAGGGGACTTGCCTGACCTAAGGTTCATGTAAGTGTCACTGAACCTGGAGGGTGTTCAGCAAGTAACCTTCCCTGTCACAGGAACACGTAGTGCCAGCGGAGGAAGCTGTATCGTTTTTTACCTGGGAGTCAGCCAGCCCAACCTGCTCCTCAGTGGGGTACCTCCTGCTTCTACCATTTCACTATTGCTCAGACACTAATGAAAAAATATCACTTCTCCTTTTGTAGTGTCTGTGTCTCCCACTCCGTGAAATGAGGGAATCTACACCAGCTTCTTCTGTGTGCTCCTTGTGAATGTGGATGCCCCAATACTGTCTCAACCCTCATGTGACAACATGACAAAGTCCACAGCTGGTGCCAGAAGCCGAGTGTTTCCACAACTCTCCCTATGTAGTAATATCAGCGCTACATGGGAGGATCTCTAATTTGAAAGCAGTACTCCAGTGTCACTGTCTCATTCTCAGGCAGAGTCCGGGCTCTCAGAGCAAAGGATAGCTGTGCAGGGCTGTGGTGGTTCCCCCTCACTGGCCTCTTCTCTTTGACAGGGTCCACCATCTGCGGACTTCTCAGTTCTCCTGACGTGCTGCTTTGCCACATCAATGACTGGAGGGATGCCTCTGATTCTCAGGCCAATGCTACATGTGCTGGGGTGACGTATGACCAGGAGAGCCACCAGATGGCCTTGAATCTGGGAGGCCAAGAGTTCCTGCAGGGTAAGCTTCCACATTTCACCATACTTCTATTGCCTCTCCCGACCAAGTGAGGGCGCTGTTAATTTCTTGGCTACAGAATGTGCATCCTGAGACCTTGTACCCCTCCTCAGCTTCAAAACTCCCAGGACACAGGTTTATCTTCCTCACACTGACCTGACCTCATCCTCCAGGCTACGTAGGTTTCATTTACAGTCTAGATGGAAATGGCACCTGTGATATTGCACAGAAAATTAATTGCTGAGTTCAGCGATAGATATGCCAGCAAAACATTCAGTTGATTTAGCTCTCAACACTACAGGCTAGCTGGGGCCCAAGTCCCTTAGGAATCAAGCATGCCTGACTATTTGCTGATTATTCCTGGGCCAACTGGGGCTGGGCCTACTCTGCCTGTGCTTGAGTGTGCTCTTTTCCTGCAGGTGGCAGAAGCAGGACAGAATAAGAAAGAAATGCAAGGGCCCTGAAAGTCTATGCACACTCATCTCTGCCTCATTCTGATGCATAAACAAACCACATGGGAAAACCAAGAGCCAAAAGACGGAAAATCCTGTTCCATTAGTGGGAGGTGTTGCAAAATCTCATATAAAATACCTGCTGATAAGTAAGGGTAGAGGACTACAGAGAGATACCCTGGCTGTTTTCCTGGGTAGTTAAGAACCCCAGTGTTATGCCTAATGCACCATCCCATCTAATCCCAGGAGTACAGGGATAGGCCTGTTAGAGGCGATGACGTACAGTGAGCAGAAAAACTGCTGAGACTGAAATGTTCCCCTCTCCTGTTTTCTGAAGCTCTTCAGGCTTTTCAGAAAGATACATAAACATTAGAGATAGAAGGCCTGCCCCTCAATCCACAGAGATGGCTACTGAGTTTCTGAGGCCTTCCTGTGCCTCCCTTTTGCCTACCTATCCCTCTTAACAGGCCTAGTAGACAGGACGGGCTTCCTTTTTTGTCCTAAGATGGTACTGGACAAACTAGTGCTTCTCACAAGGTAAGGCACAGTGAGGTCAATATTACCCAAGATCAGTTAGACATGCAAAGTTTCAGGCCTCCCTGCCCAAGGTGCCCAGGAATCTGTGTACTGAGAAGCAGTTCTAGTAATGCTTAAACCTGTTGCCTGCTGGGTTGGAAGAGAGGATAGTAATATCAGTTGTCATGGAAACAAAATACCTCCTAGGACTGTTAGGTCAGATAGCACCAAGGCTGAGACCTGCAAACACAGTTGTTCAAGGAATGCACAGCTGTTGTGATGGTGCCCATCTTACAACTGAAGGAAAACAGGCACTCCTTATAGAAGCTCCAGGTGCCTTAGCCACTCTAGTACTGACAGGAATGTAGGGAGAACTTTGGATGACATTGTATCATTGTTTTTTTAAACTCAAGCTGATACCCAGGCCAATGTTCAGTATTCACTCTGTTCTTTGAAGAAATATATAACTAACTCTTGGGTTAATGACACAGAGTTTAAAATCCAATGTAGAAAACACATGTGCTATCTGGATGGTACACCCAGGAAAAACCTGGAAATACAGAATTCTGCAGAATCTGGCAGAATTCCAGGGAGCCTAAGTGGCTTCTTTTGGGGTAAACAGAATCAAACAGCTTATTTACGGGATGACTGCCTCACAGATGGTCTTAATTACTTTAAGAGGCACCCAGGGTGAAAACAGGCAATTCAAGAAAGACATGTGATAAATTGGCAGCGGTAAGTCAGTGAACTGCTTACTCCTGAACATGCACCTGATGTGTGGGCCCAAGGAGCCAGGGATGTGCCCTGGCTTGGCCTCCTTGAAAATGAGTGACAATGAAAGGCCATTGTGTCTGCTCATCTGCTCATATGTGTGTGTGAGTGTGTGTGTGAGTGTGTGTGTGTGTGCGCGCGTGTGTGTGTGTGCGTGCGTGCACGCTCGAGCACGTGTTTATCAGAAGACAACCTTGGGTATCATTTCTTAGTATCTTCCATTTTTTTTGTTTGAGACAGGGAATCTCACTGGGGCTTTACGGAGGCTAGCATAGCTGGAAAGCAAAGTCTCCAGGGATCTGCCTTTCTCTACCTTCCATCTTACCATCACTGGAATTGCAAGTTTGCCTGGCCTATTAAATAGGTTTTCAGGCATGAACTCAGGTCCTCACATTTGTGAGGAAAGAGATTTATTAACTGAGAAATCTCTCCAGCCCAGCTTTAGGGTTTTCAATACACTGGTGTGTGGGTGGGTGTGGGTGTGGGTATGGGTGTGTGTTGTATATGAGATGCGTATGTATGTGTATATGTGATGCTGTATGCTGTGAATGTGTGTATGTGCTATGTGTATGTACATGTGGTATGTCTGTATAGTGTGTATATATGTGGGGTGTGTGTGTGTGTGTGTGTGTGTGTGTGTGTGTGTGGTGTATTTGAGAGTCGTGAGTTGTGTGTGTGTGTACTATACTGAAGTCACAGTTTGAGAAGATGCTTCTTTAGCAGGGATATCAGGGCAGCCTGAAGTGTGTCCCTGGTATTATACACCAAAGGTGTATACATACATATACATACATATACATCCTATACATAGATTGATCAGAAGGCTACCCCCTCAATAAGAAAGCCCTTCTTTCTCTCTTAGTACTTATATGGTACTCTCACTGCACATACATACTGAGTTCAAATATTTAAGTATAGTTAAATGCTATTGAAAGAACATAGTGACTCAGATTTTTATGTAGGATAGCACCAAGATGGCCTAACAGCAGATGCTGACAGGGGAAATATCCGCGAAGGCTCCAGAAACACAAAGAACAGGAGAGGTCAACTGAAAAATTTAAAGACAGGAGAAAGAATTGTGGATGAAAAACAAGAACAACAAACTCTCTCTCCATCAAAGTTGACTTAGGGTCAGCACCTTTCTTCTCACTCAACAATTACACAGAGTCTAGTTGAACTGTGAAGTTGGCAAAAGCATGGAACAAACCCCTTTGTGAATGTTTCAATACTGGGCCTGCCCTGGCCTCAGTCTTTCCAGTTGTGAAAGAGAATTATGATGGTGGCTGCTTAGAGGGTTGAAAGAAGCACTTCAAGAGACACACAGGGGTGAGGTGCTGCATTAATCCTTTGCATTCTAAATTCCCTTAGCTGAGCCTACATTCTCCCCATAGTTTGCAACCTTCTTCAAGCACTTTGCCACCACACTGAGCCTCAGGGTCACCATCTGTAAAGTGTACTGGCAGAAAAAAAAAAAGGCTTTGCTTTCCAAGTTCTAACTATCTGGTCATTCATCTGTGTGTCCCATGGCCACACTCAGTACGGTGGATTTTTTTTTTTCAGCTAGCTGCTGATGTCAGAGTTGAGTCCAGCATTGATCTAGGTAAGACAGGTTTAGATTTGAAGTGGAAAGCTAAGGTGGGTAGGGTCCCAGTTGTACGAAACTATAGCTCAATAGAATCCTTGGCTTTCAAATAGGAAACACACCAAATTCTGCTTTGCATTATTGTTTTCATGATTCTTTGGACCTCCTGCTGAGGCAACCTTGACCCAGGTAATTCAGTTCAGAATCGTGTCTGTTCTCTTGTTCATTAATGCCATAACTAAGGCTCATCTCTTCATTTTGAACCCCAAGTTCTTGGGCAAACTCCCCATCATGCTCCCTAGGTCCACTTTATACTACTGCTGCACCACGTATGATTTCCTGAAAGCAGAAAATGCTTTCAAGTCATCTGTGGTTAGAGCAGCAAATTCTTTGGCATCTCTGGTACTTGGGAATTCCACTCCTCAGATGTCACTACAAAGCCTCTCTTCTGGACTTGGTCTGGGTGCCAGCTCACAACAAATTCCACTTTGGAGATGGCAAGAGAGAGATGTTAAAAGGCTCCTGGAGAGAAGAGCAGTGGGTTGAGGAAGGGGTGGGGTATGGTCAACCGTGAGTTGGTGGTGCTCCTCACACAATGTAACCACAGCCTTGGAGCATATCCTCTACCACATAGCACAACCTACCAGGACCGTGGGAAACAACAGGGCAGGTGCGGGCTGCAAAAGCTGCAAAAGTCTTCACTAACTTGTGCATCACTAAGGCACAAGAAGACTACAGTTTGCCACCTTCTTAGACTCACGATTGTGGGACCCCAGTGCTCAGTTTCTCGAAACTAGCTAAGTTCTATCTAAGATCACTTACCTCATCTTGGGTTGACTTCTGGTGCCCACATCAAATACATACACCTACCACCAACCCCACAGACCATCAAGAGATGGTTTTCTTAAGAGATGGTTTTCTGTGCACACAGTAGGTGTACACAGAATGTTTTCCTTTCAAACTATCAGGGGTGTGTGCTTCTGTGCTGGGTGAGAATATTTAGTGAAGAGTGCTGGGTTTCTCCTTACACTTCAAGTCTGAAACCGAGCAGGGAAAAATGGGAGTGCTTACCACTGAGAGGTTGTGAGAAATCTAGTGTTATCCAGTATGGAACCAGGGAAGGAGAACTTATCAGAAAACAAAGTAGACTAGCTGTAGTTGAGAGGGGAGAGAAATGGGGAAAGGAGAGGCTATGAGGCATTGTCATGGTCAAAGTACATGATAAATGTCAATAAAATTGTCTTTATAAAGCCTATCACTCTGTGTAATGAATCTATGCCAATCAAAATTTTTGAAAAATTTTGCAACTTTAGCAACAAATAAAAAAGGCTGCCAATGACTGCATGATATGTATCAAATGTGAAGGATCCAGAAGGTGACCTCTGTCGAGTGTTGCCATTATTTAGTTGCCAGCCCCAATTGTTTTTACATTTATTGATTTATATATTTTGTGTGTGTATATGTATGTATGTATGTATGCATGTGTGTATGTATTGCATGAGCACACATACCACTATGTACATATGAAGTCAGAGGACAACTTGACTGAGTCGGTTCTCTCTTTCCACCGTGTGGGGACTGGGGATCAAACTCAGGACATCAGGCTTGCTGGCACATGACCTTATCCATATCCTTCTGCCCCCAGCTTTATTAAGGGAACCATAAGCTTGATAGAGGTTGATGTCAGGAAATGCACACAATGGAACCTCCTAAAAAATCTTGTTTTGTAAAAGCTATTCCTTAACTTCTTTGGTCATCCTCCTAGGTCATAGGCTTGTGACCCTCCCCACATTAGTCTGTTTGGTTCTCTGAGCTGGATCCATGAAGTCTATCCAGCTCTGGTTTGGAACCCAAGTGCTGGAATGGTACTCCTTGAGGCTTTGAGAGATCCCGTGTAGAGAACAGAGTTTTCCAACCAGGAAGATCTTCGAGGATTTATTGGGCAATTGTAAAGGTCAGTGGCAAGTGAGAGCAAACACAAACAGGCTCATCAAATGGCAATCTTCTGCAGGTCTGGCACTCTTGGAGGGAGCTCAAGACATCTTTACTAGCTTCCAGCAGGTTTACCTCTGGAAAGGTAAGCTCAGAGGTGGGGAAGCAGGGGTGACAGAACAGTGGTTTCCTGAGTTTGGCCCCAGTTTGTATACACAAGGGGAAGCACCCCTGTGTCAGAAAAAATGCAGACCTATGTTCGGCAGGCAGGCTTTCTATGGAGCAGAAGGGCTCCCACTTCTCACCAGAGGAGACACATAGTCTAAAAGAATACCATGTGGAAAGTCCTCAAAAGATGGAGAAGGCAGGAAATGCTTGGCTCTGTTCACTGTTACAGAGTGCCTTTGCCACCAGAGTGGGATGTTCAAACCTCAGGAAGCTTTTGCCTAGCTGACTTGGCCCTATGTACTTCTCTTCCTGGGACTCAGGGTGATGGAATGTGATGTAGGTGATTGGTGCTGCAGAGTTTAGTTAAACTTTTTAAACTCTACATTGCTGACCCTCAAGAGTCTTGCAGTGACTTTCTCCTCACTGAACCTCCATTTTCAAGAGTTGCAAGTGAATCAACCTTTTTCATACCCTTAAAGGGTGTTGTGAACACCAACATTTATGAAAAATGTGAAGGTGTAAATGTTAATAATTACACTGTCACAAGCAGCCTAAGTCTAGCCCTGAGAGATTAGCCAGTGTTTTGTGCAGGGTCAAGTCTGCTCATCTGGATGGATGGATCTATGCCAGCCTTGTGTGCGTTCCTGGTTATGGGATATGAGGGTTGCTATGTGGCTGCCTCAACATTACCAATGATTTTATTTTCTTCTTCCTAGATTCAGACATGGGGTCTCGGCTTGAGACTATGGGATGTAGAAGCGTCCTGGCAGTGAGGTCAGACACTCCAGGAGAAGCAGGTATTAACTCTGAAGAGGTTGTACAGTTGAATCTTGGCTATGAAGACAAGATGGTGGGATCCAAGGTCTAGTCAATGGATGGGCCTCTTACTGTTACTCTATTTTCAAGCCTTGGAACCTCACAAAGCATCCAATTATGCCTCTAGTCTAATTACCCACTCATAAACACAGAGACTCCTGAAGTGGGCAGTCAGAGCAGAATGTAAGGTGGTTTCATTGCCAATTTCCACTGTTGCTGAAAGAGAAACAAACACAGTCTCCCTACTGGGAGAAATTGCTTGCTTAAAGTTAAGAACTTAACTGAACATGCCAGTGACTCCACTCATGTCAACCCTGTAGAGCCTAGAAAAATGTTACTATGTGTCAGAAAATGTCAACTGTGTCAAAATGAGCAGTCTGCAAGGAGTCATGGCAGGGAGGGGAGGAATTTAATTGGGACATGAATTGAGGTTGTGCTTGGGGAAGGTATGGGAACACTTCACCTCCAGAACCTAAAGTTGTTTTTAGTATGGATGGCATTAAGAACCAGAAAGAATGGGAGAGAGAGGTAGAGAGGGATGGAGTGGAAGTCTGAGGGCAGAAGGAAAGCGTCTTAGCCCACTCAGTGCTGCTGTAACAACATTCCAGACTAGCTAATTTATAATGAATACAGTATATTTGGCTCCTAATTGTGAAGGCTGGAAAATCCAGGATTGAAAGTCTTCATCTGGAGGCCTTCAGCTGTGCAATAACGTTGTAGAAGGTATCAAAAGGGATCAAGAGAGCAAGCGGGGACCCAGCTTGCTTTTGTAGCCCACGCTGAAGTACAACAACCTGCCCTCCATGCATTAGCCAAGAGAACCTGGATTCCAAAGTGACTTAGGAAGCTGGACTGTGGCTGGCTGAAAGGTTCGGACAGAAGAATCTGGTGATATGGCTGTTGTGGTTGGCACAGCGATGTCACCTGAGGCCACCCAGGCATGGGTTGAAATCTCAAGGGAAAGCCTTGCCCTGGTGAGAAAGGTGGAACAGAGGGCTCAGGTTTCTTCCAAACCAAAATTCTGGGTTTACAGCTGTATGATTTTTAAGATGTTCTAAGACCTTCTGAACTGCTTTGCCTGACTGGATCACGACCCTGTGATTTCTAGCCCTGCTCTGACCTGAGGTCATTTAAGAATGCTTTTCTCTCTATCTCTGCTCTGTCCCTAAGTCTACTTCCCCATTTCATGCTTGCTGAAGAGATAAAGGTAAAGCTGATACTCTCCTTTTTTTTTTTTTTTTTCAGATGTGGCAACAGAGCTTTTCTCCCCTGTGGACTTTACCCAGGTCATTGTCAATGCAAGTCACTCACTGCCCAGCCAGCAGTACTGGCTATTCACACACCTGTTTTCAGCAGAGCAGGCCAACCTGTGGTGCCTTTCTCGTGAGTATCCTTAGCCTGCAGCCTTCTACAGACCCTGTTTCAACAATACCTGAGATGTAGACAAGTCCAAATTTATTGGTATGACATAGAGGTCACTACAGTCTTAGCACAGAGATGGGGCTTGATCCCATCTTTCAGGAAGCTCATGTTGAAGTAGTTTCTGCTCATTAACCAGAACTTATCTTCCATCCATCCATCCATCCATCCATCCATCCATCCATCCATCCATCTTATGGGTCTAAGACTCACATTTGACTTTGTGGATAAGAAACAAATCAGAATCAGCCAAGCCTTTTCCTTAAAGATGCCCATGGGTATCTTTGGCAAGACTGACATAGGTAGGGAAAAGAATGCTTCTATTATAAATCACTGGTCTCTGGTCTTCTGACTGTTAGTGCCTGTGAGAAGACATGGATAATGACACTGAGCTGTTATCATGTTGTCTCTTTTATGGCTGAGTGTGTGTCTGGCTTCTCATCTCACTTTGGTTCTACCTAGTCTCAAGCAATATTTTTACCTGCTTCCCCACTCCATATATCCCAAGTGTTTTTTTTTTTTTTTAGGCCTTCATGACTACTTATGGGTGCACTAGTATTTTGACAACTAGAAATAAGCTAGGGTCAGCTGGGAAGAAGGAACCTCAACAACCCTGAGATTTTACCTTACACCCATCAGAATGGCCAAGATCAAAAACTCAAGGGACAACACATGCTGGAGAGGTTGTGGAGAAAGGGGAACCCTTCTCCACTGCTGGTGGGAATGTAGACTTGTATAACCACTCTGGAAATCAGTCTGGCGCTTTCTCAGACAACTAGGAATAGCGCTTCCTCAAGGTCCAGCCATACCACTCCTAGGCATATATCCAAAAGAGGCTCAAGTACACAAAAAGGATATTTGCTCAACCATGTTTGTAGCAGCTTTATTTGTAATAGCCAGAAGCTGGAAACAGCCCAGATGCCCCTCAACTGAAGAATGGATGCAGAAGTTGTGGTACATCTATACAATGGAGTATTACTCAGCAATGAAAAATAAGGAAATCATGAAATTTGTAGGTAAATGGTGGGACCTGGAAAGGATCATTCTGAGTGAGTTGTCTCAGAAGCAAAAAGACACTCATGGTATATACTCACTCATATAAACATACAACATAGGATAAACCCGCTAAAATCTGTACATCTAAACAAACTAAGCAAAAGAGAGGACCCTAACTAAAATGCTCAATCCCCATCCTGAAAGGCAAAGAGGATGGACATCAGAAGAAGAAGAAAACAGGAAACAATCTAGGAACCTGCCACAGAGGGCCTCTGAAAGCCTCTGCCCTGCAGACTATCAAAGCAGATGCTGAGCCTGATGGCCAACTGTTGGGCAGAATGAATGGAATTTTATGTAAGAAGTGGGAAATAGCAAGAGCTGGAGAGGACAGGAACTCCACAAAGAGAGCAACAGAACAAGAAAATTTGAACACAGGGAACTTGCCAGAGACTCATACTCCAACCAAGGACTATTCATGGAGATAACCTAGAACCCCTGCACAGATGTAGCCCATGGCAGTTCAGTGTCCAAATGGGTTACATAGTAATGGGAAGAGGGACTGCCTCTGACGTAATCTGATTGGCCTGCTCTTTGATCACCTCCCCCTGAGGGGGGAGCAGCCTTACCAGGCCACAGAAGATGACAATGCAGCCACTTCTGATGAGAACTGATAGACTAAGATCAGAAAGAAGGAGAGGAGGACCTCCCCTATCAGTGGACTTGGGGAGGGGCATGCATGCAGAAAGGGGAGGAAGGGTGGGATCAGGAGGGGAGGAGGGAGGGGCTTTTGGGGAGGATACAAAATGAATAAAGTGTAATTAATAAAAAAAACTTCAAAAAAATAATTCCTCCATCAGATTGGCTGGTAGGCAAGTCTATGAGGCATTTTCTTAAATAATTATTGTTGTGGAAGAACACATACCATTGTGGGAAGTCCCATCCCTGGGCTGGTGGTCTTATATTGCACACACAAAAAAAGGAGGCTGAATAAAGCATGGAGAGTAAACCAGTAAGCAGCGTTTCTCCATGACCTCTGCATCAGCTCCCGCCTGAAGGCTCCTGCCTTGAGTTTCCTTCCTGATAGACAGTAAGCTGTAAGGTGAAATAACGCCTCTCTCCCCTGGTTGTGGTTATGGTGCTCATCACAGCAGTGGAAACTAATGCAGTGGCCTCTGCCCTGAAACAGTCCCCAGATGATTCTTCCACCCAAGGCCTTTCATGAACTAAACACCAACTGCCCTCTTCCCTCTAGGGTGTGCCCAGGAGCCTGTTTTCTGTCAACTTGCAGACATAATGAAGACCTCACCTCTGTATTTCACCTGCTTCCTCTACCCAGAAGCCCAGGTCTGTGACAATGTCATGGAATCCAATGCCAAGAACTGCAGTCAGATTCTGCCCCACCAACCAACGTCCCTCTTCCGGAGAAAAGGTAAGCACTGTGATCTTCATAATCTAGGTAGCTGATGGGCCACCATTCTGTGGGGTCAGAAATGGTGAGATTCACTTCTTTTTCTCTTTAAAAATAATATTCTTCACACACACACACATCAAATATTGAAAAAAAAGGATACCATAAATTTTTTTAAAGAGAGCAAACATTTTAAAGAGAGTAAAGAGAGATTGGAAGGAGGAAAGGGAAAGGAAAGTGATGTAATTATGTAATTACATTATAATCTCAAAAATAGTATATACATATTTTTATATATTATTTATGCTAATAAATATAATATATACTTATACAGGTAGATATATGATAGACAAATAGATAAAAGTAAGGTTACTCATGGTTCCATGTGAAGCATTGAAAAGGGCATCAGGCTGGCACTGTAGTTATCTGCTCTGCTCTGGGTCTCACCTCAGGCATTCACCACTTATGGACTTGCACCAGGATATCATGCAACTGTGTGGCACAGAGATCTCAGAAACAGTAGCTTTTACACCACCACAGTTGTTGTTTCTCTTCAAAGGCAGTGATTATATCATTTTGTCATCATTATGGTGATATTATTTTTTAACCATGTTCTCCCAGTAATTTCTTCTTCCATCTTTGTAAAAGGAACTTTTACTCTTCTGTTGTAATTGTTGTCTTGGAGGCTTACTGCCTCTGTCTACTAACCTAGGCCTGGTCCTGGAAGCTTATAGCTTTTGTACAATCTAACGTAGGCCTAGAATGTTTTCAGCCTCTGAAAATCACTGCTTACCCTTTCTTGTTTTTTCTGAGCTCTTCTGATTTAACTCAGCTGTTCTGGCTCACACTCTTCTCCCAGCTAACTTACTCAGTTTGGCTTTTCACTTGGCCCCTGAATTGCTCTGCTTGACCTCAAACTAATTCCAGTAATCTTTTCTAAACTTCTGGCTCTTTCTCATTCTGTGGCTCATTTGGTTTTCACCTGAGTTCTCTTTCTGCAGTTCGTCTCTCTGTTACTGTCCCAGTAAAACTACCCATCCTCCCTCTTCACATTGCCCTTTAAGTAGCTTCTGTTTCCTCTCCTTATAAGAGTTAGGCATATCTTATTCCATCAAATCTTCTCTGATCTGTTACTTTTTTCTGCCACTCAAATAAACATCACTTTCAAACATGGGTGCTTCCTTCTACAAACAAACTTTACCTTCGTTGTTGAGATTAAAGGTATGTACCACCACCTAGACCTAAGTTTTTCTTTATCTGAAACTTGCTCTATACCAGGCTGGTCTTGAACTCAGAGATCTGCTTACCTCTGTCTCCTGGGATTAAAGGTGTGTCTGTATTCCCGCCAGATCACACAGACCTAGAAGTTCTTTGGATGTGATCTCTTGCCAGAGTAGCCATGTTTTAAATAAAATTCTTCTACATGTCTTCTTTGCCAAAGCCCTTCTCATGTATGGAGACCCTCAATTTCCCCTTAAACATCAGAGGCCACAAGGCTGTGGAACAGCTGTTACTATTTTGTGGAAGTTCTTGACTGTGGTTTTCTCTTTAGTATAATCTGGTCCAGTCACTCCTGGTGGGATTCCTCATGTTAGTACTCACAGGCCCTTTGTCAGAGGAATCTCAAGCGCTTGACCTGAGCACACACGCTAGCAATGTGGAGGAATATCAGGTCTTTAGGAATCTTTGATCATGTTCTCAAATTCACTGTGGGATTTGTGTATCTACTATCCAGGGACCCTTAGGGACTGCCTCTTCTGGTTATTCTAAAATTAAACCTTCCATCTTTGTCCTTGTGGAAAGAGCACTTAGTCTACCCTTTCCTCTAGAGATGCTCAGATCCTCTGAAACCAGAGGCAAATACACTCCTTGTTGCTTCTCACAGGGGAGCAGAAGCTTCCTTTCTAGTCTCTGGAATCAAGGTTTTTTTCCCCTATAGGCTTCCTAGATTCTGAGATTGTATGTTCCATCTCTCTCTGATCTCGTTTCCCTGTGGGCCCATGCCTTTATAAGAGTTCCATGCATAAAGCTCTGGGTTCCATTCCAAACACCTAATGGTGATTCATATCTGTAATCCTAGAACTCAAGTGTCAGAGGCAGAAGGATAAGAAATTCAAAGACCTCCTTGACTACATATGGAATTCAAGGCTAACTTAAGCTACACAAAATCCTACCTCAAAAAAAACAATCAAAATAGTCTCCTGAATCTTACTCTAGTGATATTTGGGGAACAATTATATGAGATTAATCTGACGTGTTCCTGGAAGTTCAGTTTGGGTTCTACTCATTATCCCCATTTTTGCAAGAGTAAAATAAATTTTATTTCTTTTCTCTCTGTGCAGTTGTATTGAACGATCGAGTGAAGAACTTTTATAGGCGCCTGCCATTCCAAAAGCTCACAGGGATTTTCATCAGAGACAAAATCCCCATGTCTGGAAAACCCATTTCCAATGGGTAGGTGGCCAAGTTCTACCTCTACACTTATTATTAAGACTCCTTGGCTTCCACTAAAAGGTTGGGTCTCAGCCTTTAAAGGCAGAAGCATAACAATGATACAATGCAACGCTAAGGATATGGGAGATAGTCAGACCAGGAATCTGTGATAAAGGCAAATGACATTAATTACAACATTCAGCACCTAGTATGCAGTCAGCTAAGGGAGCCCAGATGTCCTGAGCAGTCTTGTCAGTTAATAAAAATGATCAAGATGGTCATAAACTTGTTCCTTGGAGTCTCCCAGTGCTGTGTTCAGAGTCTGGAGAGCAAGCAGAGTTTTTAACAGAACCTTAGCTTATAGGGATGTTTACGTATTACCTCTCCAATCTATACTGTTATTGCTTCATTGGCTTTTTTTGCTAGTTTTTATGACTGAAGATGAGGTTCCTCTCAGCACACTCTATGAACCCACTCTTTAAAATCCCCAGACATACTTTTGCCTAACCACATTCTTTGGCCTGCCCCAGACCTCCTGGGACGAGACTCAAGAGTCAGAATTTTAAGTAAAACCCCCAGTGAGTCTTTTGTATTTTAGTAGTTACTGAGCCATGAACTGTTAATCTGTGAATTGCTGTTGAGCTATGGAATTGCATCACGATGCTGGCAATTAAGAGCTATTTCTGAGAATGGAGCTGAAAAGATGACACAGACTGCTTTGTCGGGAACCAGCTGGACATCACCTTACTACAGAAGGGGATAGAAGCTAAATGTTACCAGGCTGGGGGAGGAGATAGAAACAAGATAACTCTTTGTTGGATGTCACCATAATTCTGGTACTGGGACAGGAACTGCCGGGAAAGACCTTGTTATAAGCTAGGAAAACCTATAATCCAGGATAGAGCGCAACTGTGGGCTTTAAAAAGGAAAAGAAGCAATGGGTAAGCAGGTGGATAGCTGAGCAGGGGTCTAGGGCAGAGAAAGCCAGAAAGATGACTTAACAACTTCCGAGCAGAGTTGTAGCCTGCACTGGAAAAGCCACCAAGCAGATACCCGGTTCAACACTGGGATGTGCCTTGAAATCAAGAAAGAACAGCACAAATGAAGCAGGATCCTCAGACCAGAAAAACAAAACAAAAAACCAAAACAAAACAAAAAACAAAACAAGAGGTTAAGCATGCTTTCGGGAGTCAGGAATGATTAATTAAATTAAGACATAGGGTCAAGGTAGGGGAATCTTAGAACTGGGCTCCAGAGCGCTGGTATAAGGTGCTAAAGTCATCCTACTATGAAGCTGCAGGTGGGGTTTTGCAGCTACACTAGGCGAATGAACAAAGATGATCCTGGAAAGGGCTTGAACGAGTGAGTAAATTAATGAAAGACCTAAAGACAGTGTTCCCAAGAAAAGAGTGAAACTTTTGTCTTTAGAAAGCTAGAATGTCAATGTTGGCCAAAGCACCCACATTTTATGAGCTGACAAAGAAATCTGACCCCTTAAGTTTGAGTGATTCCATTCATTCTGCACAGTAGGACCTGGTGGTCCACGGGAAGCTTCAGATATGTCTTCTCTCCTGACTCCAGGTTCTTTGAGTGTGAGCGACTCTGTGACAGAGACCCATGCTGCACTGGCTTTGGTTTTCTAAATGTCTCCCAGCAGCAAGGTAAGAGTAATAAAGGTGACAGCCCGCAACCCCCTGGCATACACCTCAGTCTAGAAACACACACATTTATGGTCCTCAGCATCTCTGCATGACAGGGAGGATGAGTTAACCTCATGTATAGTAAGGAAACAGAGGCTGAGAGAAGCAAGTGGCTCATCAGTATGAAATTTGCAGGTAAAGGTTCTGGTCTATGATCTGTCTACCTCACATACACACATGTCTATCTGATTCCAGCAATTCTCCCTCCTTGTTTCCATACTTCACTTAGATGTCTTCTGCTGTACTTTCAGAGCTCTGTCCAGGCAGTATGGTTGTCTGAACTTTAGATTCATCACATGATCTATATGAACACTCACTCTGTTGCTTACTGATGGTGTGATTCTGGAGAGTTCGCTTATAATCTTGCCAGGCTTTAGCATCCTCTTCTGTAAATAGAAACACACATTTCCTTCCGCCCCAGACCCAGTGAAATGATGCCCACAGATTGGCAGGTATTCTGCTAGGAGCAGCCACTTCATTCCCGGACTCATTGACTATAGCTTACAAATAGAAGATCTAGGTTTGTAAAAATGGACAAGCCCCTACCTGGAATACAGTACAGAAGTTCACACATCTGTTGAGCAATGGCTTTAGAATCCCTCCCACTCAGCTCATATTTCTAACTACCTCACTTTCATGGATTCCTGGGTTCTCCACCAGGAGGAGAGGTGACCTGCCTGACCCTGAACAGCATGGGCATTCAAACGTGCAGCGAGGAGAGTGGAGCAACCTGGCGCATTTTGGACTGTGGCTCTGAGGATATTGAAGTTCACACCTATCCCTTTGGGTGGTACCAGAAACCTGGTGAGTAGCCTGCTCTGACAGCTGTGTCTCATGTTGACTGTGCCCCATTCCTTCATTAGAATGATGTCTTTGGATCAGAAAGATTAGTCAGAATTCACTGGGTACCAATTGATTCCGTTTAATTTAAGAAGAAAAGAAATGCCTTGGGGACTGCTTGTTAGCATGGAGGAAAGATGACACATTAGAGCTCTCAGGAAATATGGAACAAGACCAGGTTTCACTGGTATAATTAGACAGGGTATGCAGCCAGCTTCTTCAGTCTGCCACTTCTGGTAGCTTTAGAGAGGCTGCTCATGGTTTCCTATAGAAGCTTTACATTCAAGGTTGCCCAGCATGGCCTATGAGGACCCCCACTGCTGGAGGGAGAAAGGGGTGGCCTGAGTGGCAGTCTCAGCAAACACAAAAGTACTGGAAGAAAGAAGGCTGAGGTCTTGTTGCTGGACAGACAGCAATGTCAACAGTTGTCCACCCTGCCACAATCCCTTGGTCTCCTCACTGTGTCTATTGTTATTCCATGTCAGGGTGATGTAATACATGGTAATGTCATGAAAAGGAGGCAGCCTTAGGATTTCAGAAATGAGTAGCCTGGGCCCTGCATGGGTCACGAAAGCAAGTGCTTACAATGAGTAAGCACTAAGTGCTCTAAGACTCATTTCTGGGTGTATTTTAAGAGAACATCCAAAATCAATGAAGCAAAGAGTGGACATTTTTGTGTGTGCTTAGATGCAACTACACTCACATGCCATGTTAGCATCTTCCCTTCATCAGAACAGGACGGTCTCTGTAAGAGCCATACCTCTCCTTAGCTTCTGTCTGTAGGACAAGCAACTGAGGTTCATGGGTCTCATCTATCTAGGTTCCAGGTGTCTATAGTGCAGACAAGTTCATGGAAATGAGAAAAGACTAGCCATTTGGTTTTATCTCAGGAACAAACTCATGGCAATGTCTCAGAGATGAAAATACTGTCTTAGGAAGTGACAGAGAAGCTGAACAGAGGATCAGTGTCACCAACCTTCCCTACAGATGGTTCCTTTCTCATTTTTATTTTTGAGGGAATCTGGTCAGAACTTACCATTCTTGATCCTTCCCTTGAAACTAGAGTTACATAATGGTTGGTGTAACTGAAGATTTCGAGAAATGGAACCTTGGTCTCCCCACATTCTTCATACTGTAGCCCGGCATTTCTCTACCTGGTTTAGCCAATAAGAGAAAACTGGCATCTTTCCCATACCTACTGTGTATCAGAAAGATACCAGCTCTACATGAGCCATGCCATTTCACCTCATAGGAGCTCAGTGGAGTGGGCATCACTTCCTCCATTTTCATGATACAAATGAGGCCAACAGTGGATAACACTGGACCAGTCACATGGCTATTAACAAGCACCCAACTTTAAATCCCAGGTCTGATTACCCCCAGCTTCCCCTGTTCCTTTTGGATAAGCCCTTGGAGGCATCTAGTTATTAAAGTCTCCAGATACTTTGCCTGATTGGTACCAATTCTAGTAACTTATAAGCAACTAATTCATCAACTGAAAAAGGCTTACATGATAAGAGAAAAGCTGCTCCTGTAGTGGTCTTTCTAGTCTAAACCATGTTGGAACTAAAGAGTACAGTTTGGTTTCTAGAGCAGAACTTCCCTTGGCCATGCTCATGCACTTATACGTTTTTAGCTTTGTGGCAATTGGTATGAACATGATTATTTCCAGGCTGGAAGGCTATCTTCCTGTTATTGGCTATCTTCTGCATACCACATCATGATTTGAAGTTGTTCTGCTGAACTTTCCTCTCAAAAGCTAGAACTGTTTAAAAAAAAAAAAAAGACAAGATTTGTATAATGAAATTGCCTCAGTGAACTTATATTTCATGGAATTTTCCTTAAAGGCCAGGGAGGAGAGGGGCACCCTTGCCAAACACATTGGATCTACAAGACCCATGTGGACAGTTGCAAGTCTTAAGCTGCTTCAGAGCTATTCACCTTAGGGCCTCCTTGCCTATCCTGTCACCTTTTTACCCCGCCAGCATCTGGAAAATGCCACTTTCCATTTTCATTTGACGATGGAAGAGTTGGACAGAAAGAATCTTAAGCAGTAATTCATTTGCTCAGAATGTGATGGAAGTCAGGCCAAGCTGTTTCAACATCTTGACAGGCTGGCGAGGACAAGAACCCAAGGTACTCCTGGTTCCAACAGGTTCCAGCTGCTTTGGTCCTTTTCATCTGACAGCCTGGAGTGCCAGTGTCTTCCAACACATACTGTGTGGCTCAGGATAGGGACTCAGGAGTCCTGATCAGAAGCCACATGGCAGAGAATGAAAAGTCATATCAGGGCTGTCACTCAACAGCAAATACTGCCACGTGTCAAGAGTGCCCTGCAGCTTCTGCTGTGACAGCTTAGCCTCTGTCGGTGAGGCTCTCATGCTGGAGGCCAGCACTCTGCAAGCACTATCTTGTTAAATCCTTATCCCCCTGTCGGGAGGGGGCAAGAAGGTCAGGGAGGCTCAAGGGCACATAGTAGATAGAGGACAAACCTGAAACCCAGTTCATTTTTACCTCTAAGTTGCTATGTCACGTGGCAGAGTGTGAATGATCCTGGTTTCCTGGCCTTCAGAATCTCTCAGTCTTAAAGAGAACTACAAATGCTTGTTGCTGGGATTTCCACCATAGGGCTGGACCCTACAAAAATGTACTGGTGTGCTGTCCTGGTCGTTGAGGAATAGGAGAAGAACAGCGTTGCTTGTTTTTATAGGTATAGCCCAGAGAGGCCAGAGTAAGCATGTGTGAATAACTGCAACCCAGCAGGCACAGACTAGAGGAAGTCTGACTGCAGAAAGTATGGTCAAATAAGAAAAGAAAAAGCCATGTCTTTCCAGTCCTTGTGTTTGTATCAACCAATCACATATCATAGCAGAGAAGGACCTGTACAGGACTGGGGAAAGTACCACACACCAGGCCTTAGCCCTCAAGTATAGGTTTGATCCTAACTGATTTCTCTTAGTCAGTCCTTGCACAAGACACATTCATCGAAAAACTCTGATAGAGAGACGCTGTAAGAGACTGGCCCTGCTGTAATCATGAAGCAAAATGGCTGTCTGCAGACACAATTCTGAGCATGCATATGGCATCAGTGTACTCTCTGGGAGGAGGATTTCTTTCCTGTCCCCCATGGAGGTTATACGTTCTCCGACCAGAGAGGCAAATCACAGCAATGTCACAGTGTCACAGGTGTTGCTGTGGTGAGTCCGCTGAATGAAGAAGTAGAGAGTATAAAAGGGAAGAAGAACTGCTCCAGGACAGGTTATGCCAAAGAGACTTCAGGAAAAAGGGAGTCTGAGATGAAGGGTAGAGGGCAGAGGAGCAGAGAGTAGAGACAAGGGAAGTATATTCCCTCCTCCACCTCTCACAGCCTCAGAGAGGGCTGCACATGAGCCATTACAGTCCTCTCTTCATCCTCTCTGTGCTCACAAAGGATGAAACATAGCTGGGTCCTTCCATGTCCAGGGACAGAAAGACACACACTAAGAACACAGAAGCATCCAAATGGGTCCCCACAGATCCTGTGGCAATGGGCTTCCTGATGCAGCTGTCCTCACGTTCATGCAAAGTTTGATGTGTCTTAGTACAGAAATGCAGAAGCCCTGGCCAACTTTGTGAGTGAAAATGAGTTGTCTGTAGTCCTCCGCAGCAGCAGCACCCAGAAAGGATACATTCTTAGTGTCTAGAGGATCAGGAGGGTATGCAGGGCACAGGGGCTACTCAGGTCCACAGTATCATAAGACCAGGCCTTCCTGCATAGGTGGGAACAGACCCTGGTCCCCCCTGCATCTTGATGAAGACAGGGAAGGTCGCCTTTCCTGTTTGTATGTGCACTACGTGGGCTTCAGTGGGGCAGCCCTTGACTTTGCTCACAGACTCAAATGTATCTTCTTGAAATGACAGTCACAGCTCTGGACCCTTTCTTCTGCTAGGCAAGGGCCCTCAAGACCTGTTGAAGTTACAGACACGAAAGAGACATTAGAAAGGGAATGACAATCTCTCCTAGTTTTCCTTGGGACCCACACAGGATGGTGCCAAATTCACAGAGCAGTAACTGTATCCTTCATCCTCACTTCCATCATACCAACACTTTCACAAGTACAATGTGCTCCTACAATTGGCTAGCAGCTAGTGTCCCTTCACCATGGTGTTTTCTATCTTCTCATAAGCCAGTGAGGTAAGGTTTATTCTGTTTCTCACTCATCCAAAATTTGAATGGAAGCTTCCCCCCATGCCAGCACTTTTGACACAAAATGTGTAGTCCCCTCTGTAACAAAGACTCCAATTCTCAAGACATAATATATGTGCCCAGTGATTCTATTAGTTCTGACACTAAATACCTGAAGTTTAAGTCAGAACTCAGAACCTGCACAAAGGGTACAATCCCACATGCTTCCCTTGCTACCTGTTAACTCCAAGGCCAGAGGACCTGTCCTTCCAGGCAACTGACTGTAAGTTGAGACTTTTCATTTTCCCCTCCTGGTGTTCAATAGTTTGCCAAAATAGCTCAAGGAACACAGAGAAAGCATTAGCTTCTATTCATATTTTACCAGGAAAGATTCAACTGGAACTAGGCTAGGGTGTAGCTCAGAAGTAGAGTGCTGCTCTGGCATGTGTGAGGCCCTAAGTTTCATTCTCCACAAGCAAACAAAATACAAAGCCTTACAACTAAATTCTAGGGATATGGAAGAGGTGTGGAGGACAAGGTGGAAAGTAGGAGGGGTGGGCTCCCTTCCTCCCCGTCCTGGCCCCCCGCCACTGGCCATGTGCTCACCAAACTGGGAGCTTACCAAACCCAGCAGCCGAGGAGCTCTGTGCCAGGAACTAGGATGAAGTCTTGATCTTACTGTATGCCAGTACATAAATGCTGTGTCCCCTGAGGTCAGTCGTCAGACTGATCCCATTCTACTAGATTGCTGCTGCAGGCTGATCTGGGAAGCAGTGTGTACACCTGAGTGCTGGGAACTTTGTCTTGGTCGCCTGTCCTCTGTTCAAATGCTTCTGTTGTCTCTCACTTTCCGTTAGAGCCACACAAATATACATGGAGTTTTCTGTGGATTTCAGCTTGGATTTCTAGAGCAGGATGCCCAGATTACAGGAGTACGCATTTGTGTGAACACCCTTGGCAGATTGCCGGACTGTTCCCTAACGACTGTACTCTTAGGTACCCTATTCTTAGCTTCTTCCAGGAATGGAAGATGTTTGGCAGGATGTGACTGGAGTCTGGATGCAAAGCTGGTCCAGAGGAGTGTGGGGAATTGTTAGCAGTTGTAGGCATTCAGTGTGGTGCTTTCAGTATGTAGGCTCAAAGGGAAACTTATTGGGCCACCCTGCTCCCTAGAGTCAGACACTTGGGAGATGGGGCTCAGCACAGTATTATCTGTTGTTACCAAGCCCTGGGGTGGCTTTAATGTCAGCTAAAATTTGGCAATTTATATATATATATGATGGTGGGAAGTACCTCCAGGCAAGTGGAACCAAGGAGTAAAAAAAGTTACAAATGAAGGTTCTGGAGCCTTGAGAGAAGGGGGCTTTTGGTGCTATGTGGTTACCACAGAATACCACAGACAGGGTGACTAAGAAGTAAATGCCTCTAACAGTTCTAGAGGTAGGAAGGCCAATTAATGCCAAGGTGCTGGCATCTGGAGAGGATCCTCTTGCAGTATACCAGGGTAGAGGCAATGCATGGTAAGAAGCAAAGTGAGAAGATGACAACACAGTGGTGGCAGTAGCTTTCAAAACAGAATTGCTCACAGGATCAGATCCAGAGGCCACACATACCTCCCCAACCCCTCATCCCCACCATGCCGTTTGTCTGTTCATGAAGGTGGGAGCCCACGGAACCTACCACCACTCAAAAGTTCCACCTATTGACTGTCATAGATGCAAATGAATTTCCGCAAGAGTTTTTTTTTTTTTTTTTTTGGGGGGGGGGAGCATTTGAGTCACAGCATAGTGTTTTGCATACGTGATCAAAGAGAAGAAGATAGGAGGTGAAAATATTGGAGGAGATGTCCTGGATTTTTGGAACCAACATAGAAACAGACTTGACCTGGGGGACAAGAGATAATGACATGAGTGTGCCATTGTGAGGAGGGCAATATGCTGAGTGTATAATGCCCGAATTTGTTGACTGCTCACTGTGTTTCCCAAGCTGCAATAACAGCTCACAATACTGAGCAAGAGAACTGTTGACTCTCAGCACAGGACCTGTAAGGGGTTTGCTCAAGATCATACTATGCTGGAGAAGGCTACACTGATCTACTTCTGGAACCACTAGTTCTAGAGCTCTTAACAACTAATCATGGATTCCCACAGCTCCCAGTAAGGGAGAGGAGTTATGGGCATGGTCAGGTTTTGTTCACTGGAAGAAGAATTTGGATTTTTTTAGTGAAGGGAGAGGGATAGAAGAGGCTAGTTAGCATTTCTGTGTTACCTACAGGGTATGTGGTTTCTCATTGACTTCATATGTCATCTTCACTATAAGAACACCAAGAGCAAGCATCAAAAGTAGATGACCTATCCCACTGCACTTCTTCTCTGTGATATATTATGTTCAAAGCCAGGTCTATCTTTCCCCAAAATCCAAGTATCCCCACTCATGCAACTCGCTATGTATCATTGCCTCTTACTGATCTCTTGTGCCTTGTTTCTGTGGCACACATTACACATCAGTTTGCCTCGTGTACTCCCGACAGTAACCTTGGTAGCAGGTAGTGTCATCTCCAGAGTACAAATGTAGAAACTGAGGCAGGTTCAGGGGTTATAGTGGCAGGCACTTGTGGTGTGCCCGATGACACATGAGTGAACAATACATGCCGCTCCTGGGTGGAAGCTGAAAGGCAGTACTGAGGTGTACTGAAACCTCTTTACCCTGTGTGGTGGTAACTGAAGCATGGATTGGGAGGGAGCCTTCCTGGCCCGGGGTCCTGAGAGAAGTCATTGTGGAGCTCCACCTCTGGCTCACGCTGACCTGCACAGATCTCTGGTCTCCACCGCTGCCCTGGACCTCTGCTGTTGTCTCCGTAGCTAAAACACTGCCTTTCCTTCTTTCTAGCTGTATGGAGTGACATTCCCAGCTTCTGTCCTTCTGCTGCCCTGGAGTCCCTTGCAGAGGAAAAAGGTAAGTTCATTGTCTACCTGATGATTCTTGGGAGAAATAGCATCTCTCCCCATTTCCTACTCTTTTCATTTGCTTTTGTGCAATATAATTGTCTTTCTAAGATATGGCAAGGCAGTTATATTCATGAATTCTAAATTTCATGGATCCAACACATTTCAGGTAACATGGATACCAGCAATGTGCCTTTTTCACAGAAATAAATGACAGGAGTGCACACATAACAACTCACAGGACCAGGTGGGGCTTACACCTGGTGTTTTTGTCCTGTCCAGATACTCACCAGACTCATACAGCCCCAGGCAAGGCCAGGAGAGTGGTGTTGTGGTCTCAAAGCAGAAAGGCGGTTGCTTATTTGGGCAAGTTGGCTGGAGCTTGCAGCTACTGTACAGAGGGTACACTAGACATTGAAGCTACAGCCCTACACCCAGGAGTTCATCTCAGATGAGGCAGCTCATCCTTACGTTCCTCTGCAACATGCTTCAGATGGCTGAAAGGTAGTAGGGAACACAAGAGTGAGGGGGCTGGGGAAACTCTGTGCTCAGGGGTGAGGTGAAGGGGGCTGTCCAATGTAAGTTAAGCCTTCTGAGCTGTCCCTTCCTCCACTTCTCCTTGTACGGGCATGAGAAGCACATACATGGTCCCAGGTGCTATACATGCCATCAATCCCTGTAGATTCCTGTCCTAGTACATGATGCCTGAGATGTCTAAGATACCTGCTCTTTGTTGTTACTCTTTTTTCTCACATCCCAGCTTTCCTGACAGTCACACTTAGTGATGGACAAACAGCTGAAGATAGCATTGTGTTGACAATGGGGGTTGTTCTGAGTCTGCTAATGCTTCACTGGTTTGGCATATTTGGTTTTTATGTATCTTCATCGTTGTAAAAATGCCAGAATCAATGAATACCCAGAGCCCCTTCAGAAGGCCAAGCTGTTTACTAAGCTGATTCTCCAAAATAGGAATTTTATGCCAGAAAAAGTGATGTTTTAACACTTGGCTCACACTGCCTAATTGCCCTCAAATACTTATTCCTAATTGTAACTAAAGTGTTTTTTTTTTCATATCACATACTCATTATCCTTAAATATTATTGTATCAAAACAGTGCTTGGGGTGCAAGTGTCAAGTAGAGCTGCAGATGTGCAGATCAAGGCAGAACAATGTGTATAATGCTTGTTCTGTTTGTGTTCAACTTTTGTCTTATCAAGACTTGGCATACCCCACAAGAAAAGACAGTGAATGCAATGGAGTACGGAGTGTCTCCCTCCATGCAGAGCACAGCTCTGCGAAGATGCTTCCAAGGCAGGGCTGATGTTGTGGCAGTTTTAAATGTGCCTTCACTGAGTCAGATTTAAAAGCAGAGCACAGCCCATCTGTGCTGAGAGTTCCTCTATTGCCCCTATTGGAATGCAGAGTTTGGAATTGCTACTTTGTTTTTTTTAATGTTTATGATTTTTTATTTTTATAGTTTATTTATTTATTACAATTTATTTACTTTTTATCCTAGTTGATTTTTTATTTTTATAGTTTATTTATTTATTACAATTTATTCACTTTTTATCCTAATTGTAGCCGCCCCCTCCATCTCCTCCCAGTCCCAACCACCTACCACTTCCTCCCCTATGCCCCTTCCCTAGTCCCTTGATAGGGTAGGACCTCCTCACCTTCTATCTGACCTATCAAGTCTCCTCAGGGTTGGCTGTGTCATCCCACTCTGTGGTCTGGCAAGGCTGCACCCCCCAAGGGGAGGTGATCAAAGAGCAGGCAACTGAGTTCATGCCAGAGACATTGCCTTCTCCCCTTATGAGGGAGCCCACCTGGAAACTGAGAAGTGGGTCTAGGTTCTCTCCATGCATGGTCATTGGTTGGAGCATGGATTCCTGCAGGCCCCCATGGCCGAGGCTTTTTGGCTCTGTTGGTCTCCTTGTGCAGTTCCTGTCCCCTCCAGGTCTTTCTATCGCCTTCTTCTTCCATAAGGTTTTCTGTACTCTACCCAAAGTTTGGCTATAAATCTCAGTATCTCCTGGGTAGAATCTCCCAGAGGTCCTCTGTGGAAGGCTCCTGTCCTATTCCCTGTCTTCTCCTAGTTCTGATGTCTATCCTGTTTGCCCTTCTGAGTAAGGTTTCAGCCTCTTCCCTAGGGTCCTCTTACTCAGAAGGAATTACTACTTTGATGTGGATCAGAGGCAAGGTTTGGTTCTGCCTTTAGTTTTTGGCTTACCACTGTTTGATTCTGATTCAGACAAGTGAGCATGTGTGGGTGTCCATCGTGTATATGTAAGAGTCTCATTCTTGTAAACTTTTTGTTATGGGGAAAAAAGGAAGCACCAAACATTTGCAAATCTTTTGATTATCACTTGGAAGATAGATGATAACATGATTCATTTTTCAAATGAGGAATCTGGGGATCTAATGGGTTATATGGCTGAGCTATGAGCCCACACCAGCTGGCTTGTCCCAGAGTTAGAAGAGATTTACTTTGATTGCATTTCTGGAACAGACTGACAGAGGTGAACTCTTGAATCTAAATCTCTAGTTTTCTTTTGTCAGTTATGTTTATTAGTTTCCTGTTCAGTTTTGACATTTTAATCATGGACCTTCTCTAATAAAGTACTAAAGTGGGGCTCACTTGAAATGCAGACCCCAAGTAAAGTCATCATGAGTTAAGATGGTGGTTTTCCAATGGAGAAATCTATCCTTATGAAAAGTGTATGGTGTCAGTATGAAAGGGCAGTGAAATGGACAAGAGTGGAATGAGCCTGCAGGAAGACTGACAGTTGATTGTTTATTAATGTCTGGAGAATGAAGGGAAGTGGTTATGGCTAGGGGTAATGTATCAATGGTAATGGAGTATCCCCACACCAGGAGTGTCTGCAGCCAATGGAAGACATTTTCCTGTGGAGACACACTAAGGAAGCAGATCTCTCTGGTCACAGTTGTAGCTCTTGGTGACCACACTCACAGTGAGAAGCTGCCTTCTTCCCATTTTCCTTTTCAGAAGAACATCTGGTTTTCCATGAATAATACAAGGTGGGAAGCTCACACAGCAGGTCTGTGACGTGGTTCTCATTTACAGGCCACATCTGAAAGCCAAGGGTCTGAGACTCTCAACAGCAGCTGCTGCCACTACGTGCCAGGTTGAAATGCTCGGCACTGAACGCTTCCTTCCCTGTGGAGACCCCAGGGCTCAGAAATGCTTCAAAGCCAGCATTACCTGTTCTGTTCCACAGAGGACAGATCATGTGGCCTAGAAGATTTTGGCTGCCAGGCAGCCTTGGTTTGGCTGCTAAGCTGGTGTGGTGATACTTTCCTGTGGTTCTGACCTCTAGAAAGAAGAGTGGGGGTAGGGTGAGACCAGCCTGGGTTCCAGTGGGAGATCAGAATACTAAGAAGTACAAAATTACCAAAGCCACTAAAAAGTGCAAAATTACCAAAGCCTTTGCTGTTTGTCTCAGGCAGCCAGAGGAGTGTAGGGCACACACCCCAGCCTCCCTGACAGCTTCTCTACTGTTGGGATGAAAACTCAGAGAAAGGTTGAGGAGCCAAAGGACCCTCTATTACTTACCACAAGAGCACTAGTAAGGACTCCACATACTCTAAGCACCTCAGATAACACATGTGCTCTATTACTCTACAGCTATTAATTCTTAATTGAAAAAAAAAAAGTCTTGTAATTTCTGGGAAGAGCACCTAGCACACTGAAAGATAGTTTTTCCAGTTTTCACATGAGGAAGGTAAGGCTTAGAGGGAAAAAAAAACAGCTCAGATCTCCTGGCTGGCCAAGGTAGCCCACCCTTTACTTTGTTGACACAGCACTGTAGTACTAGGCCCTTCTTTTGTAAGAACTTTACAACTTGGAAATTCTCCAAGCTCTGGAATGTAACCTTTTTTCCTGGAGTTGACCTGTAATGAGAAAGCTAGAGTAGTTTAAAATGGTCCTCTAGCTGTTCAAAATGAACATCTTCAAATGTATTCTAGTCTAGCTTTTTAAAAAACGTAGTCAACATTAGAAAGAAAAGACGTGAGGAATGAGTAAATCAACCCGATTAGCATATTCATGATCACATTCTGTTATAAGAGTTTTTGAGGAGAATATTTGAAATTTATTCTCTATGCCAGGCATGGTGGTACATGCCTTTAATCCAAGCACCTGGGAAGCTGAGGAAGAAAGAGCTAGAATTTCTAGGTCAGCCGAGACTACATAGTAAGAACCTTTCTCAAGAAAAAATAATACTGAGAGTGATGATGATGATGATGATGATGATGACAATGAAAAGAAATTCTTGTTCTTAGTGATTTGAAGCTCACCACACTGCAGAGTAGCTCTCTAGAACTTCCTTCCTCCACATCATACAGATGCGTTCTACTGTAAGAGGATTCATCAACGTACATGGCTGTAATTGCCAAGGAATAGTCAAACAAGACTTCAGAAAGGCATGGGAGTGCCTCACCTACCTGGGTTGCCAGGGCCAGGTTGGCAGACCTTTCAGGCCCACTGTCCTGGAGTAACTCAGGCAGACTCAGCTTGCTCTATCCTCCTTTCTAGACCCTACTCTCCCCTCTCTTCAAGGGTTTCAAGGATTTTAGCGGGACATACTGCTGTGTAATAGCCTAGATGCAAATACAGGCTTTCCAGCTAAAAGCTCTTTGTCTTTGGGCATGCCCGTCTTCATGGTGTGGCAGTGGCAGGCTGGAGCCCTAAGTGTGAATAGGGTTAGAGTCAGACTGAGGCTACTGAGGTTTGTGCTGAGGGCTAGTCTGTTTGTCTCCATCCCATGGAGGAGGCTCCAGACCACAGCGTGGCAGAGCCAGAAGAGTGCAATCCTATGCTTGCTCTGCCAAACTCTGTCCTGTGACCTGGATTGGAACCTCTATAACCTTTAGATGCCAGTGTCTTTTCTTCCCAGACCTCAGCCCCTCATGCTGTAAGAAGGATTGATATGAAGTACGTAAATTCTGTTAGCTTTCATTTTGTTCCTGTTTCTGTGATTTGTGTGGAACAGGCAAGTATGGATGCCCAGACCCAGACCATAGGCTTTGGAGAAGGTCATGCAGCTGAAAAATCTCAGGGTCCCTCCTTGCCAGCCACAGATTGCTGCTTCCTGGAGGATACCTGGTGTAGAGTTCTGTGATTAGATTTAGATTTTGTAGCAACCAGAGGCCACTGTGTGAGAATGACCAGAGCCAGCCAAGACTTATAACAAGGAGGCCCACCTTGAGTCTGTGAGGGACATTTTCCAGGCAGGCTATAAAGATCATTCAGCCCCACTGTCTTCTGGCCTGTGGTGAGATAGAACAAGAACATAAGACATTCTTCTTTTACCCCGACAGTGGCCATTTTAAAAATAGAGCAAAAAACATTCTGCATTTAACAACATCATGTATTAATCATCATAACATTCAAACTAAGGACCATGCATGGATATAACCTAGAACCCCTGCTCAAATGTAGCCCATGGCAGCTCAGTATCTGAGTGGGTTTCCCTAGTAAGGGGAACAGGAACTATCTCTGAAGTGGGGGAGGCTCTTTGACCTCCCCCACCCCTGGAGGGAGGAGAAGCCTTGCTAGGCCACAAAGGAGGACATTGCAGCCAGGCCTGATGAGACCTGATAAACTAGGGTCAGATGGAAGAGGAGGAGAACCTCTCCTATCAGTGGACTTAGAGAGGGGCAGGGAGGAGATGAGAGAGGGAGGGTAGGATTAGGAAGGAATGAGGGAGGGGGCTACAGCTGGGATACAAAGTAAATAATCTGTAATTAATATAAAAATTTTTAAAAAAGAAATGAATGTAGAATTTTAAGATCCTTACACACAGTCACCAAAAGGAGCACCCCTGAAACTTGACATGGAGTTTTCAAATTTAATCCAGAATAAATAACTAAATTTTGTTTTTGGGATCAAAATAATGTACAAAGACTGCTACAAACAGATGGTAAAATGTAAAATAAAATGCTCTAAGATTGAGTTCTGTGAGAATAAATCCAACATTCAAATAGATGCTTGACAGAGAAGAGGTACCTACCACAGTAGTGGCTGATGCACAGTGTTTATATATAATATATTATACATATTACAACTTTGTTGGAGAGTCTATTTTGTCATAAATGTCTCTGGCATCATAATAATCATATGTGTGCTTTTAAAAAACAGAACTAAATAGAGGAAACAACAGGCATCATCTAGTGTTCAGGAGAATCTCTCCCCACTGGACAGTCTCCAAATGGCGCCACATCCTCATTTGCCTGGAGAGGAAGTCACCTATGGTAGACCTTGGTTCCTGCATTTGGAGATAAAGTTCCCCCAAAGCTAGCAATGCCATCTGATTAGTTGAGATAGTGTTGATGCCAATGGGCTCAGAAAGTGATGCATTATTGAGCTCTTATATTCTTGAACAAGTGATAGCGCAAGGATGTGGTGAGTTCCTGGTTGATAGTGAATTGACATGAAAACCACCAGGATCCCCAGCCTTCCTGCTTCAACATGCTTCTGTGTCCTCAAAAGTTGTGTTTTCAGAATGACTACAGAAGGTCCATGGCCCCCAGATGCTGGCCTCTTTTGACCTCAAAGACTCACTCAGGAGACATCATGTAGGCTTGGAAAGGTACAAGTAGGAGTATTGGCAGCGACTTGGCTTCAGACCTTGGGGCATAGCACAAGATTTTGCTCTCACTTGGGGGTGAAATTTACTCTTTAATTACAGAGACAGAAGCCTAAACATGGAGTATGGTCAAGGTTTCCATCTTTGGAACATAATTGTCCACTATGGTCTGAAACCCATGATCACGCTACGCTGAAATTTCAGCTTCCCACCAACTAAGAACATCTAAGAGTTACCACATCACAAAGATACTATTTGAGTTGTCTGTGAAAATAACAGCGTGCAGAGCAAGCTGAAGAAAATGAGAGCCCAGAAGAGGCTGCTGACTATGGCCGAGCACAAAAGGACCCAGGTCCTAACTCCTCTGTCTTGAGGATGCTATTGGCAGGACATGAGAGATAACTGGATTAGAGAGTGGAGCCCTCCTGGTGCCATTGTTGCCTTTTCAGGAGAGACTGGAAGAGAGCTTGCTTATTCTTTTCTCTGCCATTTAAGGATATGAAAGAAATCAGCCATTCATGAAAGAGACCAAAACTCCTAGCCTCATTGGTTCCTAGATCCCAAACTTTAAGTGCACAGAGCTGGGAGAAACCACTGTTGCTATTTAAAGTGCTCTGTCTGGTGAATTCTATTACAGAGGGGTAGCAGAGCACTTGGGGGGGTGAGAGTGTCTCATGACTTTGTTTACCATGCTAACTTTAGTGACATCTCACCCACCAGCACTGGTTAAAGACAGGTTGGAGATAGAAATTACAGGCTCCCCTTATAGCCTGTAGTACTGTGCTAACAAAGCAAAGACCCTCACACACCTCAGAACAGTGGTCTGGAAAAGGACATTGGGACAGTGATCTCGGAAGCCTTATTCTCATATGACCTGGCCGCTTTCCAGCTTGTTGTTCTTGATGAATTCATTCACCTTTATGCCACATTTGTAAGAAAGCATAAAACCCTAATCCTTGTCACACTTGGGATGCTAGGAGATTAAATCTGATAAAGTAGTTGTACATAAGTCTGTCAGGGAGCTCTGCTAACCCAAGGTCTATATTCACAAGTATTTATAAAAGCAATAAACTGTTGTGCTCTTCTAAAGCAAAGAATGACATGTGGTAGAAGGGAACAATTCTCTCTACTAACCTTCAGTGTTGTCTTTGCTGGGCTAGGCTTTTCTAGAGTCAGGAACCTTGGATACTCACTCAGCCCAGACCAGTGTGGGACAGTTCTGGCCTTTTAAAAGTTATTTCTGGACACTGAACTATAGGTACACTCCTTCCTCAGAGAGGCGCCCTCATCCCACTTGTCAGACACATCATTGTTCTAGTATGGTCTACCTTTACTCACAGCTTTGGTGCCAATGAGACAGACTCCAACAGACGTATCAGTCCACATGCAAGCCTTCTGTCTGGCTGCTAGCTCCTTGTCCCTGCTTCTGTACCATGTGCAGAAATTGGAAGCATCAGGAGACAGCCATGGTCAGACATAGGCTCCATAGCTGTGAAGAAAGAGTCCCTACACACTGGCAAGCCATGTCAATAACCCTGAGCCTCATTTTCTCTGCTTAAAAACATGTCATGACTGTTTCTTCCGGGAATCAGACTGTGAGATGGACACATGCAAAAGGTCAGCCTTAACACAGAGTGCTATTGGCCATGTTTGCACATGGAATACTTATAGGTCAGAACCACAGAGAGAAGGAGAAGGACTTCTCAGGACTGGGAAGAAGATTCTCATGGCACAACATCAAACAATGGCCCAGCCCATCGCTATGGCAGCAACAGCTAGGTCAGCTCTTTTTGAGGTCAGGGAAAACACCAAGTCTGTCTGCATGCTTTAGCTTCTGGATATAAGCTGTCCCTGGGGAAGGATCCAGTTCCTTTAGACAGAAGGTCAATGGTCAAGAATGACTTAGTTAGGACACCAGATGCTAAGCAGACATGAGTGCTTCACTTGCGTAAGGGCCTAGGTAATATATCATGGTGCCCCTACAAGAGAGAAATGGGCTCATTAAGATGAATAGGTGGAATGTCCACAAAGTGCCTGGCACACCATTGTCATGGCTGTCTTTGTGCTACTCTGACTCCATTGTGTCACTATGTCACTGTTTCCTTTTTGTCTCCACTTTGTCCTCCTCTTTTGTCTTTACTTGCTTATCTAATTTTCAACCTTTGAACTCCTACACTTGAGCCCACAACTTGTCCCACAGAAAAACTTAAGTAGTTATAGAATGGAGATACAAAGGTATAGTGTCACATAATAGAAAAGACAAAGGTATAGGGTCATACAACGGAAAACTCACAAAAACTCACAGAGGCCACTGGAGGAGCTTCTGGGGCAGTCTTCCACTGTCTTCATTCTGTACCTCGTGATAACCACATACCATTGTTCCCATTTTGTCTCATAGCTTCTCTGGTCTCCTGGCAGACCCTTCCTGTCTCTTCAGTGATTATAGATCCATCCATCAAGCACTTTGATGTTGCCCAAATCAGCACTTCAGCCACCAGTAACTTCACTGTGGCCCAAGACTTCTGCTTGCAAGGTAAGGGAATCCCCTAGAGAGGGTATGGTAGGGCCTCAACCAAGTGCTATCCTGGACACCAGCCAAAGACAGACAGCAGATTCCAAGATGCCCTGAGAGTGCCTAACAGGATACTGCTAACAGAGAAGGGAAGACAGGAGCATTTCCTCACTCCTCACTGGGCAATCTAGAGTCAGCTTGCAATAGCCAGCCAGCATTGATCCAGTACAGAAAAAGATCATCAGACAGGAGTGGGATTATTGTGAGGGTGAGAAAAAAAGGAGGTACAAGGATTGGGACTAAGCCAAGATCTATGGGTAAACACTAAATTCTAAGAGATCCTTTTAAAGCAATTTGAAGAGTATTCTGATTGGCACAATTATCACCAATGTACATTTCTTTAGAGTTTCTAGGCATTGGTTATATTCAGATAAAAACTTGATCACCACACAGTTCCAATGTTCCACAAAGATTCTCCCTTTCTAAGAGTGGCTAAGTTTAGTTGATACTTGCACCCCAAGATTCTGAACCCGTTTGACATATACAAATGCTGAGGGTTCTTCACATGACCTTCTCCACATGACTGGATGGTTATCATAAGACTATACTGCCATGTACAGATAGCAAGCTGTGTATAACACAGCTCCGGGAGCATCATTCAGAGACTGGGCTTTGAATAAAAATTCACACAACTCAGCCAGCCCAGCTAAGCTACCCCATTTCTGGAGCTATTCTCTGCACTGAATGTCTTATGTGGGTTAAAATGTATTGGACAGCACATGCCTTTTCACTTGCATGGGAAAAGGCATAGTACAAGACACAACATTGTGAGCATGTCACAGGCTAGGAAAGCATTAGAGGAGTCCACAAAGGTGACAAATTTGAGGAAAACATCAGATGTGACATAATTGTGTTGAGTATGAACCCCTTGGGGAGCTATGGAACTGTGTTTAAGCAAGTGGATGAGAAGAGCACATTTATGAGACAATTAAACAAACAAACAAACAAACAAACAAAAAAAACTGGCCATTTTATGTAAAATATCTTGATGGGGGGGGGTTGTTTCTACAACCACTGTTTTATTCTCAGCCCTGGTACAATTTTTTTTCTTTCTTTTTTTTTTTTCCTGGTACAAAATTTATGAATGAGTTTTTCTATAATGGATAGATAAGTAGATAGGAAGACAGAAGGATGGACATACATGTAAATTGATGTATGATTGGATAAGAGGATGGGTGGATAATGGATGACTTTATGGGTGAATCAGTAGGATAGATTATTAAATGCATGCATACTAAGGTACATGGATAGATGGGTACATAGATGGTTGGATATACGCATGGACCTTGCAATACATGGTTGCATGAATGAGGTAATAGCTCTGAGTCAAGGTCTTTCTCCCTCTCTCTTCTCTAGAATGTTCCCGTCACCAGGCCTGCCTTGTCACCACCCTGCAGATACAGCTTGGAGCTGTGAGGTGTGTGTTCTACCCTGATATACAGAGCTGCACGCACAGCCTACGGAGCCAGACCTGCTGGCTTCTACTCCGTGAAGAGGCTGCCTACATCTACCGGAAGGCTGGTGAGCCTCACTCTACAGCCATTTCTTGGGACTGGAAATGCCTGGGAAGGCTAATTACTTGGTGACCTGGAGGACAGTGGCTTTAGAACTCTTAAGGGAGATTTGGCCAAAGTTTTCTGGCTAGGTAGTTTTCTCCTGGATGAAATAGGGGAGGTCAGAGAAATTCCCATTTCTATATGGCATTTATTCTTTGAATCACAGAAACTATTTAATTATCACCTTATAAAATTGTGTTTTATTAATGCTGCATGGTTCAAAACCTCTTGTTTCATGCCTTGTTTCGCCTTCAGGACTGTCCCCTTCTCCTCATGTTGGAGATCAGCACTCAGTGACACAGAGAAATCAGGCGACTTCTCTGTCTTCACATAGCTAGTAGTGGCAGAAGGGTGGGAACCTAGAGACAGATCTGTCTCCCACGGTCACCCTCTGCCCCAGGCACATGCTGCCTAATAAACAGATCATAACTGCTCAGAATGAACTATTCTCAGCTCAGTTGAGTTTAAATTCACTCAGGACTATAGCTATAGCTTAGTAGTAGGGTGTTTACCTAGCATGCACAGGCCCTGGGTTCTATCCCCAGCACTACATATAAAAATATTCATGGATCATTCAGTGCATGCCAGGCACTGACACAATCAAGAGGAGAGATGCATATAAATCTATCACTGAGAAAACCCACAAAGAGCTGTGATCCAGGAAGCAATAGCCAGAGACTGTGGGAAGCGCTGTCCAATTCAACACACCAAGGAAGTGAATGGCTGTTGTGGTGTTGGCTGTACCTGCCATCCTGTCTCCTGGAGCAGTGACACACATTTTCTCTAGAAAGGGTCATATAAAAAATAGAATAGGCTTCATAGCTACATATTATTATTATTATTATTATTATTATTATTATTATTATTATTACAGATAGTCAACTGCCTTTGTAGGATAAGAACAATAGTATACATCAAGGCAGTACACATGATTGTGTTCCTCAGTCTCAAACATTATTGACAAAGCCGGGAGTGACTGGGATGTCCCTGCCTGTTCCAGCACAGTCATCCCTTTAGTCCTTTCTCCATGCCAGTCATCCCTTTAGTCCTTTCTTCAGCCTTCAGACTATGAGTGTCTCCCAGTCCTGGTAAGCTCCTAGATCCTTGGGCTTACCTTCTCTCTGGACATTGATATTATAGAGTTGAGATGAGTAGATTTTTAATGGTATATTCAATCAAGAGTGCAGCTAATCTATGTGGGAGTTCTGAGGAGAAATGCCCCTAATTTTGAGGTTGGGTTTTAAGAAACAAGTTAGTTGCTTCTCTGTTAGTTCAGGACTGAAGTGTAGCGAATATTCTTGTGCTGAGGAGGAGTGTGCACATTTACACCTGCAAAACACAGAGTACTCTCCCTATCCAAGGCACTCACATGTTTAAACACACGGCATTTGGAAGAATCCACTATGTCTGCAGAGTGCAGAGGGAAAGCTGTCTATCTGGTGTGTTCCATAGGTTTCCCAGACAGACAGCCTGAGCAGGCAGCACCAGATAGCCTCCCATGGGAAGCATGCTTGAAACTCTGCTGAGGTCTACAGACTTGGTATTTTTCACTCTTGCACCTTCCCTAGCATAGGTCCAGCCCAGGGCATATTTCTGCTTTCCATGAAGCAGAAGAAATGTCAGCCATCTTAGCAGCCACAGTTCTAGGCAATGCTTTGGACGCTTGATTTATGGTTTTTGGGAATACAGTCATGATTTGTACTCTAGGCACTACTAGAAAAAAAAAACCTGCCTGTTTCCCTCCTGTTTCTATTTGGGCTTCTACTTCATACTACAGTAGTTTTAAAATGAAGTTTTTCTTCTTCTTCTTCCCTCTATCCATCTTCTGCTCTCTTGCTCTCCCTCATCCTTTCTCAATCTTTTTCTATAGCTCTTACTTATTCTTTCCTGCTTACTTATTCATTTACCCACTCATTCATCACTTATCCTCCAACCATTCATTCTCCATACCTGTCTTCTCCTCCCTTTAGCTTCTGTTTGTCCTTCTTTATTCCTTCAACTCGCTTGGCCATCCATCTATCTTCCATCTTCCACCCATCTTCCCAAATCTCCTTCTATCTATTTATCTGTTTTCCCTCCTTCCATCTCTCTACCCACATATAGAGTGTCTTCCATCAGCCAAGCACTAGACTTGAAACATACCCTCTACTGCCATTCATTTTTTGACATCATTGTGTTGCCAACTTCTACCACTCCCGTTTCACATGAGGGAATTTCAGGGTCAGACATGCCACAAGCTTTGGTCAAATTCATCCATTCGATCATGTGAGGATCAGATGTGCTCCCGGGGCATTATGGGTTCTGCTTCACCCTTCTGAGCCTTGTGGCCAGGTCATCAACAGGTATCACAGATGTTTTTCAGCTTAGTAATCTTTTGACATATCTCCTATGAAATTTTTTATTGAGTAGGGTATTTTGTTGTATCTACTATAGAATGTTTAGAATCTCTAGTTAGATTTTAGTCACAGCTCTCTATAACCTAGTGACAACTCAAAATGTCCCTAAGCATGATTAATGTCTCCTCAGGTTAAGAAACACTTACAGCTGAAAATCGCTGCATATAGCAATGGTTCTTTAGGAGTGGATAGGCTTCTACCAGCCAGACTTCTCTCTTGTACTTCTGTTTGCCACCATTATGATAGACACATTTTTATAGAGTGAGCAATGTAGAAAGTGAAATGGCTTTGTTTTCTGTCAACTCAGAACAGAACAAGCCTACCGTAGGACAACAAGAGGCTTCTTACACACACACACACACACACACACACACACACACACACACACACACCACATCTTTTTTTCTGGTGTTTATACTTTTCTTTGTGCAAGGCCTACGTCTTGTGAGGAAACATCTCAAGACCACTTGGCACTGAGCCTGGGTTTCACTAAAGCTTACTGAATCAACAAATGAAGAGGAAGGGAAGCAGGAGAGGAAATAATATAGGGTAGCCCCCAGCGGGCCCCAATGAATCAATCAGTCTGCTGCATAGCATTGGAAAACCTCTGCTACACTGAGCAGGGCTAAGCAGTACCACCTATGAGCTTATAAACCAAGACTTGAGACATGAACCCCAGCAGGGAAGGCCTGGCAGAGGAGGCCTGAAGTGATAGGCTTTCCTGGACCAGTAGAGAGGGGACGGGAACTCCACAAGCAGAGCAACAGAACAAGATAATTTGAACACAGGGAACTTCCCACAGACTCATACTCCAACCAAGGACTATTCGTGGAGATAACCTAGAACTCCTGCACAGATGTAGCCCATGGCAGTTCAGTGTCCAAGTGGGTTACATAGTAATGGGAAGAGGGACTGCCTCTGACATAATCTAACTGGCCTGCTCTTTGATCACCTCCCCCTGAGGGGGGAGCAGCCTTACCAGGCCACGGTAGAGGACAATGCAGCCACTTTTGATGAGAACTGATAGACTAAGATCAGAAAGGAGAGGAGAACCTCCCTTATCAGTGGACTTGGGGAGTGGCATGCATGCAGAAAGGGGAGGGAGGGTGGGATCGGGATCAGGAGGGGAGGAGGGAGGGGCTTATGGGGGGATACAAAATGAATAAAGTGTAATTAATAAAAAATTAAAAAAAATAAAAAAAAATATCACAGCATCAATAGCTAGATTTTTAGGAAAAAAGGAATATTCAGTTTTAATGAAAATTAAGAGCAAAAAAAAGAAAGAAAGAAAGAAAGAAAGAAAGAAAGAAAGAAAGAAAGAAAGAAAGAAAGAAAGAAATAGGGAGCCCTGACAATATCTGACTTGTGTAAACAGGACTGATTGGGATAAGGAAGAAAAAAGAGCTGAGTCCAGAATCATCCATCACAGCCTGTTTCCACCCTAGGACTATAAACCCTTTAGTTACAAGACTAGAAGAAAATGTTCTAGAGGTCTTTTAAAAATAAAGTGTGGGCAGACTCACTTGTTGTCCCAAATCTGTGCTAGCTGACTGGATAAATTCCTTTATCTAACTCTCATATGAATGATCCAGACTTTCTAACTGAGAAAGAAGAGAATAAGAGTCTTGCTTGAGGATAGGTTCTATGCCACACTCCTGGTTGATGGACCATCTCTCCTGGTAGGGTCAATTATTCCTTTTCTGGGCCTCAGGTGTGGGGTATGGTGTGTCGGCCTGGGTTAACACTTGCTCTTCAGGAGCATGAGGAGAATATATGAAACAGTTCAAACTGGAGTCAAAGAGCCCTTTGCGTGTGTTTCATGCCTCATGGAGTCACTTCTACCATTACTACTCACGGTTGGTATTGACATTGACATTGAATGCTAACCTGGGCCAATTCTTAACTATAAATGAGAATGATCACTGATATTTCAAGCTCCCTCAAACTGCAAGGTTATTGATAGATAGATAGATAGATAAATAGATAGATAGATAGATAGATAGATAGATAGATAGATAGATAGATTTTTTTTCCCAAAAGCTATCTGGAATACCAGTTCTCATTGTCTTCATCTACCTCTCTGCCCTTGCCTTTTCACCAGGAACCCCTTTGCTCCACTCTGATGAAACACCTTCTGTACACATTGAACCCTTTGGCCAGCTTCAGGGCAGGTCCCAGGTCATCAAGGTGGGCACTTCCTGGAAGCAGGTATACCAGTTCCTTGGAGTTCCATATGCTGCCCCACCATTGACAGACAACCGTTTCCGGGCACCAGAGCTCTTGAATTGGACAGGCTCCTGGGATGCCACCAAGCCAAGGTATGGCACCATTTTTCTGAATACCCAAAGAAAGCCTATTCTGGTCTAATCTATCATAGCAGAGCCAGTGGTTCTGGTCACATCAAGATATGAGAATGCAGTCCATTAAATAAGGCTAGGGCTGACACAAGTGCTCAGTTTCAATGGATCCATGCTACTTTGCTCACAGGTAGGTCAGCTGGTAAAAGGCCTGTGTGTTTTGCTCCAGGCAGTGATTCTGGAACCTGTGCCAAAGAGGTGCTGCATTTACCAGCGTGGCTCTTCCAAAGTCTCCTTCGGCATTTTTGTCCAAAAACAGCAATACAAGCTGTGTGAGAATCTGTAGTAGGTTCACATGGTCAAGTCCTGAAATGGCCACATGCATCACACCAGTCTTGAGGTCTTCAAAGTCAATCTGATGTTCTAAAGGTGTTTTCTCTCTTTTTTTTTTTCATTTCTTTACCTTCTTTCCTCATCTTGTCTATCTTTTTCTCCTCCTCTCTTTCTGAGATAAGCCTCACTATGTAGATCCAAGCTGGCTTTGAAACTTGAGGTCCTCCTACCTCAGCTTCCTGAGTACTTGGGATTACATATGTATTTTCATGCCTGACCAGACATATAACTTAATGGAACTGGAAATGCAGCATGATGGGAAAGATGAATAAGCCAATGAAAAGAAAAATATAAGTTTTCCTTCTCCTTCCCTTTCTTTTCAGAGCTCATCACTCATTTCCCTTCATCAAACTTTTCATGTTAAACGTTGACACGTGGTGAATACTACTGTAGAGTGTTGTAAGAGAAGTAGCTTAGCTCTGCGGAGTGTAGGCTCTAGGTACCTCTGCCACCTGAATTCATTCCTTGGTCCCCATGGCTCTGTCCTCAGGAGCAGTGTTCTCCATGCCTTCTGTGGCCACTCTCTACCTGATGAGCAGTCACCTATCTCTAGAAGTATAGGATGAGTAAGGGATTCATGAAGCTTTGTGAGAAAGATGACAAGGAGCACCCTAGTAGAACAACAAAGGAAGGTGTGGGAGAGTGAAGTTGAGTTGACTCTACCATTAGGAAACCTTAAACCCAGAGGCACTAATTAGAAAGCCTTCCTATACTGGGATGTACTGAAGGGACAGAAGAGGTAGGTGAACACCCAGATCTTGGGTAGACAGTAACTAGAGAGCTCAGTCATTGAAGCCTGGGCTTGGAAACTCTTGGGAGATGAGTTCAATGGTCTTGTGTAGATGATTATTGAGTAACCATTAAGAGGGGTATCAGATGAACTCTTTTAGAAGAAGATACCCAAACTGGCAGCCAATCCTCTTGTCTGAGGGCAGTCTGTGCATTGCAGTAAATATGGGCCCAGTCCTTGCCGGCTTCCAGTGTCCTTCTTTGGCCTTGGTCGCTGGGCAGAACATTTACCTCTGGGTGGCAAGGTTTCCCACAGGCCAATGATTAGAGAAGGTCATATACATGCTGCTACTCTGCTCTACTTCTGTTCTCTGGCCATACCTATGACCAGGAGCTTCATCAGTGCTCCAGAACTACAGAAAAACCAGGCCTTTGCTTCTGGCCATGAGTGGTGGGTATGGAGGAGGAAGGGGTGGGTCCCTTTTCTATTTCTCTGAATTTTCCCATGCCTTATTCTGCAGGGCCAGCTGCTGGCAGCCAGGTACCCGTACACCAACACCTCCCCAAATCAGTGAAGACTGCTTGTATCTCAACGTGTTTGTTCCTGAGAACCTGGTGAGTTTAGAGGCACTTGCTTTGTTGTCTGGCAAATAACCCCTTTGGGCAATATTGTTTCTACATTTCCTTGTGCTCCATGGAGACTGTGCTCCTACAGCATCATCCTTAGAGGCACTGAGCTCCCTTTAGGAGGGCTCAAGATGAATGAGGGGCCTCAGAACTTTCCAGTAAGGCTCTTGTGTAAGAAGTATGAAGATGAAGTGTTAGACTATGACATTGGCCACAAGTTTTCCTGCACATGCTTAAGAAGCCACTGCTATCTTAGGGCTGAATGGTTGGAGGACCATGATCCCTGAGAGGAAAAGGGAAACAGGAACACATGTGGTGTATAGGGACCTGGTATCAACACCCAGGAAACTCGGTGTGATGGCTGACTCTGTTTCTTCCTGGTTCACTGGCTGTGAGAGTAACCTGCACCTTGAATTAGCCATAGCCTGCTGACCTCAGTGAGCACAGGCATGAAGGCTCTCATTTCCCACAGTGCAGACTTACAGAGACTTGAGTGAAAGAAGTGATAAGGTTTCATTCTGCCAGAGCTGGTTGCACTACACACCTACCATGCTGAATCAAGTCCTATAAAGAACATTCCTTCCAGCTCCCACCCCTTCAGTCTCCTTGTGAAAGCAACCCAGGTTCTATGAGCCCAACGTAGCAACTTTGAGGGAGGGAAGAGAAGTGGCATGGCATCTGATTTCATTGTGAGAATTAAAGCAGTTCTTCATAGGAAGATGCCTGGTCTGTCACTTTATGGGACAATGACTAGTAGGGGGAACCTTGGGAATGGCAGTAGAGCTGGTATGGTAGAACCACAGCTGGAAGTGAAAAAGAACGATGGCCATTTGAGCAAAGATACTGACAAGATGGAAAGGGGACAAACCGGGGAGGTGGTGGCCTGTATGGAGAGTGACTGCAAGCCTCCCAGCACCTCTCAGAGATCTTTTATCACTCTCACAGGTGAGAGGGCCAGGGGCTCAGTCTGTGACATTCCCAGGTCACTTGGTAGGAGAATAATTCCAGCTGGGGCTGGAGATTACAGAGAAGTTTATACTTATGACCTCAAAAACGAAATGATAAAATGCAAGTGGATTTTACATCTTGAAGCTAATAAGAACTAGCTGATATAAGGACATGCAAGCCACTGGACAGAGCAGAAAATGGGCCCTGTTTCTTGAGTCTGAATCCAGGGCTTCCCCCAAGTACCCTGTGGGTATTTGGCTGATGATCTTGGGCCATTGTTATAGCCCTGTCAAGGCATTTAGGAAAGGGAGTTGATCTTAGCAATGTGAGACCTGGGCACCCAATTGACAGGTCCTGAAGAACAGGACCTAGCCTGTGACTACTTTGTATTAAAATGACCACATAAGCTGAATGAAACCTCTGTGTTATCAGTAGTGGATAATTACAGCCAACTGGCTCTTTTCTTCCTGGCCTGTAGAGCTATACAGTAGCTTTGGAGGGGGAACATACAGGGTTTACCCTATCCTATTCCACAGTCCATGAGACAATGAGCTTGAGAGTCAGAACTAGCCTAAAAAAAAAGCCTGCCTGAAGAATTCACACTCCCACACTGTAGAGTCCTTGGTATCGAGTGTCACCAAGGTAAATGCCTCAAGTATGATGGAGGAGAGACCAGGCCTGGGATTTGGGACTTGTCACTGTGTTGCCACAAGGACTAGGAAGTCTTCTGAAATAGACCAGGATCCAACCAGAGTACTGGGAGAAGCAGAGATCCAGGTCTGTACTGAGCCTTGATTCTACCCCTGCTCATTGTAAAATATTAGCAGAGTGTTCTTACTTCTGTGAACCTTCAATTTACTGCCCATACAATGGGTACACAGACTGCTATCACAGACTGCTATCACAGACTTCCAGAATCAGGAAGCCTGAGCCATATACACTTACTTTCTTTTATCACATTCTAGAAGCTTGAAGTCCAAGATCAAAAGGCCACAGGGATAGTTTCCCCTGCCCATTGTCTACCTTTTTGGCCCTCACTTGGTGCCTTCTGGAAGGGTCTTTTCCTTGTGTATGCCTGTATACAAATTCCTTCCCCTTAAAAGGACGGTGTTCCTATGCAATCAAAGTTCACATATAGGACTACAATCAGGTCTCCAAGCATGATCACTTTCTGAGCAGTGGGTTTAGGCATTAGTGTACAAATACAGGGGAAATTTTCAGTTAAATGTGTACCAAGGCAGAGCCAGCAAAAGGACTAGCGTGAGCTTGGAATCAGTCTGGTTTCATGAATGGCAGTTGCCTCTCCCACAAGCTCAACTTCAACCTCTCCTATCTCTCTATTCCCTTCAGGTCCCCAATGCATCAGTTCTGGTGTTCTTCCACAATACCATGGAGATGGAAGGCAGTGGAGGACAGCTGACCATTGATGGCTCCATCCTGGCTGCAGTTGGCAACTTTATCGTTGTCACTGCCAACTACAGACTGGGGGTCTTTGGCTTCCTGAGTTCAGGTGAGCTGCTAGTGTTATGGGCGTGGAAATAAGCCTTATGTCAACGTAAGAGATAACTAAGACAATTTGTTTAAAAGAGGAACTCTTCTAGCCTCACTGTGAATCTGTTTGTGCTTCTAGTCCTACCCCCACTGCCAGCTGCTTAGACAGGATAGAGTCCTGACCCAGCACAAACATCCTCTATATTCTCTTATCTACCTACATATATACCTCTGTGATAGGGGCAGTGTTGGTCACTAGTGGAGAGGGTTGGGCTCTGAAGAGATAAGGCCAATATTGGCTGTCATCACCTTAGACAAACCAACCCTCTCTTTCTCCCAGTGTGTTAGATCTCTCCTATCTAAAATAAGAATGGTTTTGCTCTGCTTTCAAAGCTAAGAAATATGATGCATTCAAGAGGTTTTTAAAGTCCTTGAGTATAGGGGCTGAGCCTCACCAGGGATCTCCTCTGAGTTCTGGTATGGACAGTTGGAAAGCAAGAAAACCAGAAAGAGTGTAGGTGATGGGGTGTTCTAGGGGGACCGTGTGGTATGAGGTCTTAAAGGCCTCAGAACAAGTACTACAATGGCTTACACTGAAGGCAGTCGTTAGTGTAAAGCATACTAAAACTGATGGAGATGCTAATGAAAGGCAGTTTTAGGTTTTCTTTGCAGCAATAGGTTCAGCTGAGAGCCATGAGGATGAATGGAATCTTCTTCATTCTCCATCCCTGACAGATGCTGGGTAGTGTGAGAAGTGAAGGCAGTAGATGGTACCGGGGCATTGCGCACATTTGCTACAGTGTAGAGGATTATTCACTTCTGAACTTTTTATTTTAGAAAGAATAAAAAATCCTGTTGGATTGTCTGTCTTCCAGTCACATACAAAGCCGTTTCTCTGGAGCTTTAAATGATATTCAGGGCTTAGCTGACTGAAGCTGGCCCCGGAGAGCTCTTTCCAGACACAGCTAATTTTGGCTCAAGGCTTCTCTAGACAGCAGAGTGACTTTCCATATGTCCTCTGTCCTGAGGGGGATGGGGAATTAGGATTTCGGGGAGTAAAATCTTGTTGAGAATTTATACCCTTCTGGACAGGCAAATTCATTTTGACCTCTGGTATAGGCATCCAAGGGAAAGCGACCAAAACTTCCAAAACACCCATGCCCTTCTGGCTTACATCAGTGCTACATGATAGTTTGTGGGGGGCAGGGAGGGACTAAAAAACTATCATCATAAAGAGGGAGACAGTTAGAGTTCAGAGGACCTCTCTTTAGCAGACATCCTGCCTGGATTCCCTCACACAGTTCTTGCGCAGCATTGGGGCCTGCCTGCTATGCCCTTTTCCAGAGGAAAGATCAAGGCTCAGAGGGGTTGAAGCCCTTGCCAAACATTCACAGACAGTGGCAGATTAAGCTTGAACTTAGCTCTCTGTTGCTCAGGTAGCAGCAACAAAAATAAAATAAAAATAAAAACCTTAGACTACAGTGGCTTTTTGGAGGTCTAGAAACTCTGAACACCTTGTCCATCAGGGTTCCTCTTCTGTCATTTAACCATGGCAGGAAGTCCCTTTTGCTTTGTTCATTTAACCCCTGGCCCCAGTATATCTCTCTCATTCCAGAGCTTCTGTGTCTATTTTACTTTGCTTCCTCACAGATCTGTCCAGAGAAGGAAAGATTGGAGGTAGGCAAGGGAAAGCCATTTCCTCCACCCTGAATCCAATAACTTTCTCTTCTGGTAAAGTACTCAGCCAGGGTCCTGGAGTACTGGGGTAGAGGGATGAGGACAGGGTAGACAATGGGCCTACAAGCCCTTCCTTGGTAGTGTAGGAACAGAGCGGGTGTACTCTGAACCAGGAGCCAGATGGAAGACCATCTGTCATGGTAACCACACATTAACGTGACCTCAGCCACCAGGTACACGGGGCCTCTTAGAGAGTCTCATATCTTCTCTAACCAGTACCTGCCATAAGTACCTCCTCACAGCAGCCATTTCTGCTGTGAAAATAAAGCTAGCCCTGTTAGGAGCCTCAGTGAGATGCTCCTTGGGCCTTAACATACTTGATTTTATTTTAGAATAAAATATAACTGTGGTGCCTATTTGAAGGCAATCCTGTTGCCTTTACATTCATTAATTTAGTCACCAGCAGGACTGAATGAAGCATGCTCTACAACCATCCTCATTTTACACGTGGAGAGAATCACAATGCATGGACACTAGGTAGTCTTCCCAGGGCCCCTGCTCAGGGTAGGTGTAGGAAACAGGATTTCATCTAGGCCCATGCCTTTCTACTACCCACTGGAGTCTATGAACAAGACTAGGTCCTGTTGGGGCCCTCTGTAGAAACTGGGTGAATAGATGAGAGCTGTTAATGTAATAAAGGGACAAGTAGATATATATTGGGTGGTCTGGTCCAGAGGGCTGGGCACCTAGAAGTGTGGAGTCAGATCAGGGAAAGAAAACACAAACATAATAACAACATGATGTCCAGAAAGTCTCCGCTTGCGTTGGTCTCCTTCTGTTGTAATCGGTTCCTGGGGCTGGGCCATGTGTGTGTGTGTGTGTGTGTGTGTGTGTGTGTGTGTGCGTGTTTGTGCATGAATGTGTGTGCATGCATAGATGTTTAGGGATTAGCATGATTGAGGGAGGTGGCTCTGGATCAGGATTCTGAGGGCAAGGCAACTTTGGCTTTGCCCCACAGCCTTATGAGGCAGCATCATAGATGTGCTAAGCAGCACAGGACACTGCTGGAGCTAACCCATCAGGAGGCAAGCCTTGAGGACTTACAGAGTCAGGAGAGTTGATGTGGTAGCAATGATGGGGCAAGGGTTCTGTAAATGAGCACCTGCGCTCTTTAGTACTTGTCCTAAGTTTTTCAAAAGATGTTTAGGGAATTAGATTGACCTTTAAGATAATTCTAATTGTGAGTTACAATTTGAGTTCCAACTGAATCTTGCATTTGCTTCTTGTAGCTATATAATTTTTATGCTCAAAAGTTTTACCTCCTCGCCAAGGTTGAACGAGATACCTCAGAGCACAGTGGCCTATCCCCTGCCTTTGTGTGCGTGGGGAGAGTGTGCCCTGGGAGGTGTGAACACTGAGGCGTGTGTACATTGGAAAATGCATGCACTGGAAATATGGGCAGTGGGAGGTATGTGCCTTAGGGAGTGTGCGCACTGGAGAGTGTGTACGTTGGGAACTGTGCCCAAGGCTGCTTCCTGCTTTCAGCAATTCCTGCCACAGTCCCTGGCACTGGAGGAAGTTAGATTTGTCCTTGCTTGATAAAGGTCTGACTGAAGAACCGCAGTTCTTATTTACCAGGAACTGAAAGCCCTCGGAACGTCATTGTTAATCCTCATCACACAGAGGCTGACATACATGCAGTGAGCATCAGGAACACTTCCACATTGTTCCTGGCAATGCAGGCTGTGGATATCTCTTCCTAGACTCACGGACTTTATTCTTACTCACTCAGCACCCTGTTCTCCTGGACTCCCAAAAGCCCAGAGGAAGCAAACACATTGATCTTGACAAATAGAGTTCAGGAGCAATCCAGAAAATACCACAGTGAGGACAGGGTTTGCCAATGGTTTTACCAGGCCCAGAACATGGAAAGCATTTGAGAGAATGGAACGGCCCCACAGCTGGAAGAGCAGTTTGTATTATTTATGTGCTCCAAGCTGGTGTTCTCTTCAGCTTTGCAAATACTGGGTCAGGCAATCAGCATGTAAGATTTTCCTACGTTTTCTATTTGGGACTATGGGATCTTTCGGATACTTTCTTGTTCCACATGGAATACCCTCAGTCATAGCTCATTAGCTGTGAGGTCTCATGCAGAACTGTGAGTGGAGCTTAGGAGAGACATGGGCTATGGATATATATTTGCATGAAGATGGCAATGGGAGTTGTGGAGTCTAAGTTTTTTATTTTTCTTTTTACTGTGATAAGATATTTCACAAAAGCACCTTAAGGAAGCTGGAGTTTGCTCTGACGCAGTCTCACATCTTGAGAGTATAGTCCATCATGATGGCAAGACCTTAAGGCAGCTCATAACACTTTACTCACCCTCAGAACACAGAGGGAAGTGAGTACTGGTATTCTGTCCATCTTCTCCTTTTCACTCAGCTCAAGACCCCAGCCCATGGGTGGAACCTCTCTCATTCAGTGTTGGTCCTCTCACCTCAACTAAGCCAGCCTGGAAACTTGCCCACTGAAGTACCCACTGTACTAAGTGATGGTAGACCTGCCGAGCTGACAGTCTCCAAGGGCAGAGTCAGTAAAGACAAGATGTGTGTGATGACACTAGAGTGAAGCCTAGTTCATAATCTATTCCTAGACCCACCTGTGGAATAGAGCAAAAGGGAGCCTTTATTATCATGACACAAAACAACTGAACAACAGTGTGATGTCTGAAAAGAGCGAATGAGGTGTATACCTTTTCCTTATTTTGTGTGTATGTGTGTCAATAATTTTGTTAAAAATGGTGCTATATCTTCAACAAATGGTTAGTAATTTCTATGATATAGGAAAGAGGCATCGTCTCAGTGGCACACTTCTAAAGCCACAGAAGATTAAGCATAAGAAAGACTGTTCTCTTTTGTCTGATCTAGCCTCTGTAGTAGGGCCTGAGCCCTCATGTGGCTTCACTGGGCTGGAACTGAAGGTGTATAGCCTCTGAGCCTCACTCCTTTGCATTCCCTGTCCACTGACAAATGAGAAAGCTATGGCTCAGAGAGCAGAGATGTTTCCAGTCTCCTGGTCAGTGAGCCCAAAGCTCAAAGATAAGGCAGATTGTATTTGATTCCAAGGCCGAAGTTCTTCTCAGTGTCCTCACTTTTGTTTGTATGTTTATGGCACTGGCCTGGGTGGACAAGAGCACAAGCCCCTCAGGGAGTCTTGTGTCTGGCATAGCATTGTGCTCATAACATCTAAAGCTATTGGGACACATAGGCTAATGGCATCCCTCCTTTTGCAGGCTCTGACGAGGTGCCTGGTAACTGGGGGCTGCTGGACCAGGTGGCAGCTCTGACCTGGGTGCAGACCCACATTGGAGCATTTGGCGGGGACCCTCAGCGTGTGACACTGGCAGCAGACCGTGGTGGGGCTGATGTGACCAGCATCCACCTTCTCATCACCAGGGCTACCAGGCTCCGGCTCTTCAAGAGGGCTCTGCTTATGGTGAGTGGCATGACTTGTTTTCAGTACTACTCAATGACTTTGGAGACTAACTGGCACAGTTGTTAGTCTTTTCTCATCCCTCATGCTGTCATAGATCCGGCTCTGGCTGTCACCCCAGGCATGTGTGGTCCAGGAGGCTAAAAGACTTCCGGACTTCTTTCCACTAATGTGGAAAACTCTACATGGCTGGGTGCCTCAATTCTCGGGATCCATATTAGGGTTAAATGTCCTAGTCAGTGAAGAAAACTCAGTACATGGGACTTTATCTCGTGGGCTGAGGTGCCTGCTGAGTGGAGATGCCACCGCTGTTGCTGTTGCTGGCTTCTGTTGTTGCTGAAGGTACAGTGATGTTGATGGTGACAAGAAGGAAGAGATGACCTAATTTGTCTACATCAGGAGCTGTTCTGCCACTGACTGGGTTCTGCTTGTATGGAGTATACGGCTGGTTCAGCCGAACTGTGTTGGATGCTGGAGGGCCATGATAAGTCAGACACACCCAAGTCCACAGGAGACCTGTGGGTTCCAGGGCAGGAGACACACACGCTTAGGGCAGATATTTTAAAGAATCAGGGAAAATTAAGAAGAATCCTCAGACAAGGATAAGGGAAGGTAACAGTGTGAAGGGGCATGGCCCTGCAGGGAATGTCTGAGAGAAAGGCTAAACATTGTGTAAGCACTAACCAGAGGCAGTACCCAGGTGACATTGGCACTGTGGGGACGGTGTGTGCAGCAGTGCCTGACTGGCGCATAGCTTGGGCTTTTCCTGTTTGTGTGGAAACTGCCCAACAGGTTTGCTTGTGCCTTTGTCAAGTTACTGGTTTGTCTTCTATTATGATCCTAGCCATTTTTAAGAGTCTGATCGGTGACACTAAAGTCATTCCCAGTGCTATTTGACCATTATTGCTGTTTGGTGCCAGAACTATTTTTATTATCTCATGTATATACTCCATACCCACTAACTGTGCTCACTTCTGCTTCATTCTGGTTTTCTCTACTCTAGGACCTCACATTTGTGGAAACATGGGATGTTCATGATTTGTGTATTTCATGTAGCATACCGTCTCTAAAGTTCACCAAGAATATGACACATTTTTATAAAATCCTTTGGTTTTAGATATGAACAATAGTTCATGGTGGGGATAGACCAATTTGTGATTCATCTACTCATCTGTCAATGGACAGCCATTATTTTCCTTTTGGCTATAGTGAGTAATACTTCTGGAGGAAAAGGGTACATCTCAGGCTTTTAAAGCAGGCAGGAAACTGGTTTGAGATCCCCTGCTGGAAAGAATTTTGAAAGTGGATTATTTCAAGCAGAGAAGTAGTGAGGAGGCCTCCAGTAACCCAAGCTAAGGAACTATGGAGGAGGTGCTGGGGAGATGATGCAATCAACATAATTCAGAACCTGTATTTAAAAAAAAAATCATAAAATTTGCATCATGTAAAAAAGTTGGATGTGGTAGTGTCCGCTTATACTACCAGCAGCAGAGAGGAGGACGCAGCCCTATCCCTGAGTCTCACTGGCCAGCCTAGCTTACTTGGCAAGCCCAAGCTAGTGTAACACCCTGCCTCAAACAATTACAATACACATCACCAACTAATGAGCAGTGCCCAAGGAATGATATCCATAGTTCTCCTTTGGCTTCCACACATGCATGCACACAATTGTACGTGCAGGCACACGCATGCATGAGCACACACACACACACAAAGTACACACAGAAACAAGGAGACACGAAGGACCACATAAACCAAAACCTTGGGCCTATTCCTCTGTAGACCTGTCTCTGCCAGTCATTCTAGACTGGATAACTGTACTCCAGCCTCATTCAGCCCTTCTGAGACCCACATCTTTGATTGTCACTGCTTGGCCATAACTGATATTTGATGGTATTGTTGCCTCTTGCCTCTTTGTCTCCCTCTTTGAGCTTCAGGGGCTTCTTTTCCTTTCTTTGGGCTTTTCCATACCTGTGCAGATGGTTTTATTCACAAAGAATAACCCCCTATCCTTTTCCCCTATTCATCATTTAAAAAAAAAAAAACATTCCAGACTTTTTGGCTCAGAACTAAGCCCTTTCTATGGTGTACCTAAACATCTCCTGTACAGCAGCTGTCCTGATTTCCACGAGTAACTGATTGCTTTCAGGGCCAAGTCAGCCCCTGCTTCATGCCTCATCTCAGGAGAGGAGGGGTTGGTGTGCCTTACCCTCCACAGGCTCAGGGCACCTGTCTCAGCACACCTGGCAGTGAGCAGGTGCTATGCAGTGAACACAGGCAGCCGGTGTGCAAGTGAATGAGCAGATTATCCAGTGTTCTCAAGGACCTGGGGATCTCTGTGAGCCACATCCTTCCCGCCATACTTTTCTTATGCTTCTTGCCGGTCGGTTCCACTTTCAAGTGAATTCACCTTGGTTGGTGAGAATGAATACCTTTCAGTTCTTGGTGTTAAACTCAGTCTTTTGTGCTCTAAGCTGACCCTGGAGTATTCCTCTTAGACCCTGTCAGCAACCAGACTCTTGTCAGGACCTTGAGATGCTCGGATGCCTTCATTAGGCCCAGAAGGCGTGCTTTGTCTCGGTAGAGTTTTAAGTGTTTGAGGGATGTCAGAAACAAATGGCAGCACATTTAAAAATAACCCTTCCGTCTGTTTTACACATTTGGAAGCAGCTTTTACAACCATTCCCAGAAGTCCTGGGGATCGTGTGAGCTTATTTAGAACTGAGCAAATAGGACTGCTTCAATACATTAGCAGTTCTTATAGTGTTCTTTACCAGCAGATGTTTGGGGGAAGGGGTGGAAGCTGCTGGTTTATTCCCAAATAAGATCTAATGTTCTCTGCAAACCTTGGTTTGGGGACTGTTTATACATCCATCCAGAGAGGCTGCTGTGCTGATGATTAATAGTCTATATTTAGTATACTGTACTTGGCAAGAATTTCACTATCTTATCTTAGATCTTCCCACTGACTGGCACAGGGTCCTTATTTTATCTGATAGCTAGAGATAAGAAATCTGAAGCTCAGAGTATTTCAGCAGCTTACCAAAGAACACAAAGCAGAGAAAGGACTTCATGAGGGATTGAGACCTACAATCAAATCATCCGTTTTCCCACATTATGGGGCTGCCCCTCCAATAACTTGGGGTTTTCTCAGCATCTAAAGGAAGTAGCACACAACTTTAATCTCAGCACTCAGGAGGCAGAGGCAAGTGGAATTCTGTGAGTTTGAGGCCAGCATATGTTAAATCACTGGAAATCTCTTGGGGCCCCAAGCCTTCCCCATCTCCCATTGTCAGAGAAAGTTTTCACTAGCAACAGGATTCCTAGTTATGGGTAATTTGCTTATGTACATCTTTGTGCCACTGTATGCCTGGTGTCTGCAGAGCTCAGAAGAGGGTCTTGGATTCCCTAGAACTGGAGTTACAGTTAACTATGAGCCATTGTATAAGTTCTGGGAATCCATACTAGGTCCTCTGGAAGAAGAGTCAGTGCTCTTAACTGCTGGGCCATCTCTCCAGCTTCCTGCTCGATTTTACATTGTTATTTTCCTAACAGGCATGATTCTCTGTTCTACCATGGATAAATACATCAATTCTTTCAGGAGTTTAATTATCTTACCAGGTTCTTGACACTTAGCATCACTTCTGGCTTCTAGTCTACAACCAGCACCCAGGAGGGTAAGAGGATGGTGACATGGTCTCACAGACTGTTGCCCGTGCTTCATGCCTGTAACATAGTAAGACTGTTCTCCTCTAGCTGGTCTCATTCTAAATTGGCCTAACTAGTCTTGAGCACAGATATTTCTGTACAGACTTCAGAATGACTTTACTGATGGCCTTTTCTAATAATCCTCCTGGGAATTTGAATATAACTACATAGAATTTAATGTATTGATTTTAGGGGTAAATCTACTTCATTATGATGTCTAGTCTTGGTCCATGATTTAGGCTAACAGCAGAACTGTAGATACAATATTTGCATGTCCTTGGATCTTTTCATAGGGTTTGAGATAGTTTTTCATGGAACTCTGTGTAATCATGAGTCAGGACCCTCAACTTGAAATGGTTTGGCTGTCATATGAATGGCATGTCAGTTTCTATGATATTTTTCTGTTGGTAAATAATTGTGTTTAGGAACAAGCTGATTCAGAAATGCCCATACCTTTAGCATTAGTTCAAATGTCTTGCCTGCTGGGTACACTGAGCTTTCTATGAGGTTTTTCTATTCATTATCTCCATTGCCTGTAGATAATGAATAGCTAGCTTTTTTTTTTTTTCTGTTCAATTGGAGCAAAGTCTCAGAAGGAGTGAAACAGAGACCCATCAGCAACGCAGCTCAGAAAACAGAGCCACTTTTTTTTTTCTTTTTGTCTGAGCGCTTTGTAAGATGAGAAGCTGGATGTCTGTTACAGTTTGAATGAAAATGGCCCCCATTAGCTTATTGGGAGTGGCATTATTTGAAAGAATTAGGAGGTGTGGCATTGTTGTAATATGTGTGGCCTTATTGGGAAAAAAAAAGTGTCACTGAAGGAGGATTTTGAGGTTTCAGGAGCTCATTCTAGGCCTAGTAGCTCACCCTCTCTTGTCTGCTGCCTGTGGATCCAGATGTAGAACTCTGAGCAACTCTCCAGCATCATGTTGGCCTGCATGCTGCCATGCGTTACCATGCTGATAATTTAAAAAATGAACTGTGAGCCAGTCCTAAAAATTGCTGTGATCATGGTATCTCTTCACAGCAATAAGATGTCTAAGACAGTATCTGTATTACACTCAGAGTATTTATTACAATTTATTCACTTTGTATCCCAGCTGTAGCTCCCTCCCTTGTCTCCTTCCAATCCTTCCCTTCCTCACTCTTCTCCTTCTGTGCCCCTTCCCCAGTCCTCCTCCCCTTCCATCTGACCCTAGCCAATCAGGTCTCATCAGGACTGGCTGCATTGTCTTCCTCTGTGGCCTGGTTGTAAGGCTGTCCCCCCTCCCTCAGGGGGAGATGATCAAAGAGCCAGCCACTGAGTTCATGTCAGAGACAGCCCCTGTTCCCCTTACTAGGAAGCTCATTTGGAGACTGAGCTGCCATGGGCTACATCTGTGCAGGGGTTCTAAGTTATCTCCATGAATGGTCCTTGGTTGGGGTATCAGTCTCGGAAAAGATCCCTTTGCCCTGAGTTTTTAGTTCTGTTGCTCTCCTGTGGAGTTCCAGGCCCTTCTACCTCCCCCTTCTTTCATAAGATTCTCTGCACTCTGCACAAAGTTTGGCTATGAGTCTCAGCATCTTCTTTAATACTTTTCTGGGTAGAGTCTTTCAGAGGCCCTCTGTGGTAGGCTTCTGTCTTGTTCCTTGTTTTCACCTTCTTCCAATTTCTATCCCATTTGCCTTTCTGAATGAGGATGGAACAGCTTACCCAGGGTCCTCCTTCTTGCTTAGCTTCTTTAGGTGCACAGATTTTAGTATGTTTATCCTATATTATATGTCTAATATCCACTTATAAGTGAGATATACCATGTGTGTCTTTCTGCTTCTGGTTCACCTCACTCAGGATGATCTATTCTAGTTTCCACCATGCATGCCTGCAAATTTCATGATTTCCTTGTTTTCAATTGCTGAGTATTATTCCATTGTGTAAATGCACCATAAATTCTGGGATTTATGTAATCCCAGAATATATAAAGAATCAAGAAATTAAACAGCAACAAATCAAGTAATTCAGTTGAAAAGTGGGGTACAGAGTTGAACAGAGAATTCTCAATAGAGAAATGTCGAGTGGCAGAGAAACACTTGAAGAAATGCTCAACATCGTTGGTCATCAGGGAAAAGCAAATCAAAACAACCCTGAGGTTTCACCTTGCACCCATCAGAATGGCTAAGATCAGAAACTCAGGTGAAAGCACATGCTGGAGAGGATGTGGAGAGGGTGGAACCCTCCTCCATTGCTGATGGGAATGTGGGCTTGTGCAACCACTTTAGAAGTCAATCTGGTGCTTTCTCAGAAAATTGAGAATGGTGCTGCCTCAAGATCCAGCTATCCAAAATATACTCAAGTATACAGCAAGGACATTTGCTCAAACATGTTCGTAGCAGCCTGTTCATAATAGCCAGAGTGTGAAGGCAATGCAGATATCCCTAATTTGAGGAATGGATGCAGAAATTGTGGTGCATTTACACAACGGAGTGCTTGTTTCTAATGGAGGCTTCTCTGCTATCCCAATGGCCTAATCCTCATCATCAGGGCTGAGTCTGAGCAATGGAAAGGTGTAGAAATCAGAGGGCTGGAGAGAGAGGAACAACCCTGTTGGTTCACAGCTTGTGCTGAAGGTCCTCAGCGGATCTCACCCTGGAGACTCACTGCACTCATGTTTATTCTCTATCTTTCTTGAGTATGTTGGCTAAGGCTTTGATATTCATCCCACTCATTACATGCTACATATTAAATTTCTCTGTAAAATCTACCTTGTGGCTTATGTTTGTTTGTTTGTTTTTGGAGACAGGTTTTCCTTGTGTAGCCTTAGCTATCTTGGATTTGCTTTGTAGACTGTCTCAGTCTTTGTTTTCTGAGACATACTGTACTTGAAGCAATAGAGTCCCCTCTTGCTATTTTTTCAGCTGCACCTCAAAAATTTTGAAAACTACATGATTCCATTGTTCTCTAAGCACTTCATTTTCTGCACAATTTTTCTCTTTATCTAAAAATTCTTTAAGAATGTAGATTCATGGAATTTTTTCTCATTGTCTTTCAAGGTGGCCCCCAATGCATCTCTAATGGTTGTTTAATACGTTTTAATACATTACATAGACAGTATCATTTTCAGTTTGTAAGCCATCCTCCTTCTCCTTGGACTGCTTTTTCTGTAAGAAGTGTTATGTAATCGATTCTCATCTTACACATTATTTTTGCTTCAGCAGGTAGCAAAAGTTTTTCTTGTGTTCATTTATCTCCACAAAAAAAAAAAAAAAAAAAAAAAAAAAAAAAAAAAAGATTGCACACATTCACCTGGCCCAGCTGAATCTAATGATTAAAAAAAAGTCTCATAGATGCGCCTGTGCCTTCCTCTACAGAACCCCTTCCAGACAGGACCCATCTTCCACAGCTCCCTTTCCAAGCAGAATGTGGGCAGAACATCTATCGCTTCTTGGGTGCCCTCTTTACTTTTAGGCTGTGCTCCATTAGAACAAGTGTGATGCTGGAATTTTGAAAAGTCAGCGTCCATCTAGCATCCAGCTGATTTATCAAAGGACCTAGTGAACAGTTGTCACTCTACTACTTAAACTGCCTCCCTCTTTTAGCCAGGCTAAGCTCTGCCTCTTCAGGTGCCGTAGATTCTTCCCTCTGGATGACGCTTCTGTTGCTGCTTTCGCTCAGGCTCAGTCATGGAGTCCTTTGGTCTCTTGGAGCCTTATGCTGCAGACTTGCTCAAGCTTGCAGGACTTCCCTGCTGACCTGTTGCCTGTGTTTACTAGATCTTTGCACAACTATCTGTTGTTCCTGCCTCAGCATCCACCTAAAGTTGTGGCTCCATAGAAGCTGCTATTTTCTATATACCAACCCCCCCTTCCTCAGAAACTGTCTCTTTACTAATGGCATCTTGCTCTGTGACATCAGAGAGAGATCTCCACAACCACAAGTCTAGGCAGTTAAGTCGAACAGGTGTCAGATAACATTTGTGGAAAGAAATTCTCAGAAGATTGAGTAGCTCAAATACCACAAATGATGTGAAGATAGCTATCTTGTTGTTTTTGAGAAATCCATTCTCCCTCTTGAACCCTTCTATCCTTACTTACATGAAGTGAGACAGAGACCCCAGCCAGAACAGTAGCTCTTGCTAGCCTTTGTGCTTGGCCTTCCAGTTAAACTCTTCATTGAAAACCAGAAGCTGTAAAATCCTGAGAGACATTTTCATGCTTCTTACCTATGGGTCTATAAAAGTATCTTTTATTCACCTGGCACAATTGTCATCTCCAAGGCTTACTGCCTGTCTGCTAACCAAAGCCTAGTCCTGAAAGATTCTAGCCTTCATACAATCTAATCTAGGCCTAGAATGTTTTCATCCTCTGAAATTTACTGTTGAATATGTTCACCCTTTCTAGTTATTTTTTTTTTCTGAGTTCTGGCTGCCTGGTTCAATTCAGCTGTTCTGGCTCACAACACTTCTCCAAGCTGACTGATTCAAACTAGCTTCTTTCAGCTTCTAACTAAATTGCACTGCCTGGCCTCAAACCAATGCTAGAAATCTGTTCTAATCTTCTGGCTCCTTCTCATTCTCTGGTTTGTTCTGTCTTCACCTGTGTCTAGCTTGTTCTCTCATTAACCTGTTTCTATAAAACTTTCCCAGTAAAACTGGGAAAACTCTCCCTGCCTTTCTGCAGTGCTCTTCCCTAAGTCACCTCTTTTTTCTCTCCCTTATTGTGAGAGTTGAACATATCCTATTCTGTCCAATCTTTCTCTGATTCTTCACTCTGTCTGCTTCTAATTTAGAAGTCACTTTCTAACATGGGTGCTTTTTTCTACAAACTAACTTTACCTTCATTGTTTGGGATGAAAGGTGTGTGCTAAGGGCATGCCTGTGTTCCAGACAGAGTAGCCATGTTGCTGGATTGAAATCCCTCTACATCAAATCCATTCTCATCCAAGGTTAAATAAGTATTAGTTTTACTTTAATCAGGAATAAATACATGATTGGGCAAAATGTAATGCTTCCCGCTTAGAAGTACCCCCAAGTACTACTGAAAGTTCCATTCACATTGACCACAGCAGAAATAGCACAGAAGATAATGAGCAGACACATATCAGGAACCAGAGATTATGGCCTTATAGCACAAGTCACTGACCTTGTGTGGCATTTGTTTCTAACACACTGGCCAGTCTCTTTGGGTGAGACCTAGGAGACCCCACTGGATCTGACAATACATAAAGTCATGTCAATGCATATGTGTTTGCCATCTGCAGGATAAGCCCAGGTATGTGGAATACATGTAATGGATAACAAATCCCACCTGTATTTGTATTTGTCTTATGGAGAATCCTTGTGATAAACAGGGAGGAATGAGCCATGGCTATCCCGGTTCCCATCTCAACAAGATATGGGTATGAGACTGGATGAAGGCTTCTCTTTCCTAAGTGCCTTGTGAGCTCTCTCTTACCACTTACACTCACATATGGCAGCATTCAGCTTCTCCAGCCCCCTTTTCCCAGAAAGGGGCATTCTTATTCATGCAGATGCCAGCCCTTCTTAGGAAAAATATACAGGAAAAAGTAAGCCTTTAAAGCTGATCATTTTCCTTGAAAAACAAACAAACAAACAAACAAAACCCATAAGCAGTCTAATCTACTTGGTCCACCAGTCCTTGTATTCCTGGTAGATCCATGGGAACAAGAGCCCCTTGGGTAACCTTCACTTGTCCTCAGCCCATTGTAACTGTAAAGGTCCCTCCTGTTTCACATTCACTGTTACACCTTGTTATTCTTCTTGTCTGTCTGCATCCTTTAAAGCCCAGCATTAAAGGATGCTATTCATGGTTCTTTTAATCATGTTTGACCTCAGCACAGTTCTTTACCCATGCTTCTTCCATTAGGCATGAGAAATAGGGGTTCTAAAACAACACAGGACCCCAGCATCTGGGGGAGGCAAGACTGTCTATCCCAGAAGCTTGTGCATTAGGGCTTCCTCCTCTCTTTCCCAGTTGCCCTATACTCCCATGTGACTTAACTTGACCATCTACTCCTGTCCAAATGGCTTTGGTCCACCTGAATGCTGAAGATTCCACTTGGTTCAGAGCTGTAAGTCCTTCTGGATAGTGTTTAGTGTCACTGGTTCCTTAGAAAGAGAGAAGACATAGCCCAAAGTTCTCACTGGGCCTTTAAAGGTAGCTTTGCTTCAGATAGAGGTCACTCTGCAGACCTAACAAGGCCATCTTGCCCATGCTCTTTCTCAGGTGGATGCTCTCCATGGGGTCTCAGAGAGGGGCCATTGGGACTGAGAGCTGGAGTCAGTTTCCACACACTCTTGCAAGATTGTTCTGTCTTGCATACACACACTCATGTACCCACAGCTCTTTGAAGCACTGCCCCATTACACCATGATCAAAATGTGATGTGGCTCCACAATACTGATCAGACAACAGTTCCTCTGATTAGTAGGTAAAGGCAGTCTCTGTGTGACTTCCTTTGGTAACAGGAAGACATGAGGTGACCACTGAGTAGAGAACTCCATCTTCCATAAGACCCCAGGTCACAGTCAAAGCCTTTGTCTTTTGTGTACCAGCCAGGGCACTAATCTTCAAAGTACTGAGGTGCTGCAAAGAAGGAGCTCTTGCGTTTGCTCCCAGTGTACATTAGGGAGAGACTCTTCTTCTTCCGGTCGAAGGAGCTAGTGTCATCTCCAGTCAGGGACAGGTAGGATGCAATGCTTTCCCGAAGGCCATAGCTGAAAAGGGATTCATCCACTCTGAGTGGGTTCTCTGCTCCCTCTGGATCTTCCTGTGATCTGTGTGTTGAAATACAGACAGAGAAAGAAAAAGAAAAGAGGGGTGTTGAGCAAAGTAGGCGATGGGGATAAAGAATATGAAAAGGAAGAAATGAGAAACAGAAGAGCAGGAAGAAAGAGAGGAAGAAGAGGAAGGAGAGAAAGAAAGTGAAGAGGTTAGTTTTTCACTAAAGCTATTTGAATTCCGTGTTTTGAGTTTGTGGGCTGTATCCTCTGGAAGCCACCATTTCCTTGTGTGGCTTAAACTTTCCACGATACATCTTAATGAATATTCTTTCTGGTATTTAAAAGAAATGATCATTTCATTCATGTCTCAGGCAATTCTGATCTCTGATTTGCTTTAAATTAACTGATGAGTTACCTGGATCCCTGCTCAATTAGTGAGACGACCACTGATAACAGCCCACAAGCACATACCTGGAAACTCATTCGCTAATGATGGAATTAATAGAAAAACTAGTAGAAGAACTTTTTTTCCTTTCTCCCTCAGAGAGAATGAGTTATCTTAAGATTTGGGAAGAATGTTTAAACTTTGTGAATAGACTTTAAATATTAAATATATGCCAGATTTATTTGTGTGTTACTGTCATAGATTATAATGATTAGAACTGGGTGAAGTGTTTCTGTTAAAAATTTTTTTTAAATGTGATGATCATATTGACAATGAACTTGGGAAATGTTTGAGGCTCCCCAAAACTGGAGACACTATATGCTACATGACACCCAAGGCTGTATTCCCAAAATTTAGAGGCTGCCCTTGCTCATGGTGTCTACAGGGTTTCAGTAGGGCCTAGTGCTTGCTTATAAATTTTTTTGTGCCAGGATCACCCACTATCTGGTACCCATATGTATTTATGGAGGGCACACACATATGCAAGCACACACACACACACACACACACACACACACTCACACACACACCTACCTGGATACCCTCTTCCAATCAAAGGTCTTCTGTCGTAAGGTGACATGTGAACCAGGGGTGGTACAAGGTGATGGATGAGCTGTTGGAGCAGGTGTATTCTGTGCCAGGCAGGGTGTGGTGAGCACACAGCATAGACCATCAGCCACCTCTGTGGATGGAAGTACATAACAGTCAGAGATCCAGGCATGACATAGACAGTGTGGAAAACAAATCAAAGATCCATTACACTACAGACCCATAGTATTTGTCATGGGGAAACAGAGGCCAAGGTGTTGGGCTATGGGGGTTCACCAGTGTTGCTATGCCCCGAAAGATATAAACTCTAGGCTTACATTAACATGGACAGAAAGCAGATGTGGGATCATAGTCCAACAAACTTGGGTTTGTGCTACAGCTTTGCTTTAATGGTGAGTTACCGCAAGCATCTCTGAGCCTTGCTCTCCTCAATTGCAGAAGGGAGAGAAGGAGAAGACATAAGAAAACAGCAGGCCAAGACCCACCTGAGAGCAGAGTTCCACACTAGGCAGAATTTCTTGTAACTACACCTGCCTAGGTCAGAGCATGGAGCCATGTCCTAGTGCGCAGGCACCCCCAAAGCATAGTTAGCCATGTCCAGAGCAGGAGTACAAATGAAGCAAGAAAAACATAAGGAACAGGAGAAGGACAGAAAGATTGAGAGAGTGAAACAAAGAAGGAGAGAGAAGACAGGTGAAAAAGCAGAAACAATATAAAAGACACAGGAAGAGGGAGGAGAAAGCTAAAAGGCAGGGCAGAGAAAGTGAGCAATGAGAGAATTAAAGAAAACCTTCTGACCCTACACACACCGTAGAAGCAAAATAAAAGTGCAGTAAACCCACTATTGTTCCCCTCCACTGATGTACAATATCTAGCATGTTGGGCTTCATCTCTCCCAGAACAGCAGGATATAACCCCAGTGAGTTCCAAGCCTTTCTGGCCCATGCATCATGTGAAACACAGATGCTGTTGGCCCAGGTACCTCTGCACTAAGGACTCAGTGCCTCCTTACTCAGGTCAAGGGCTTCAGTCCTGGGGAGATTCAGAAGCCTAAGATGTCAGACATATAGTACATTTCCAGCAGAGGCCAGGTATCCTGGCCTCAATCCACCCGTCCTTGGGCTTTAGAGAGTATCTACATCCTTGGTGGCCTCTTTTCATCTGATCTGTGGCTCTTTGGGGTGTCCTTGCCCAATAATAAAAGGAAACTTTCTGGGGAAGCAAACAGCCTACTAGAGGGTAGCCAACCCCACCCCTACTCCTGGTTTCCAAGTGGACAGCGTGCTAATCCGAAAGGTCACCCACATAGACACAGGTGCCAAAGTTGGGGACGAGCTTCGCTGGATGTGCATCTGGAACAGTGAGTGATCTGTTGGGGCTAGAGGTGTTCTTAGGTTTCTTAGGTGTTCATAGGTTTCTCAGATAATGAGGGAGGGCACAAGGCAGGCCTAGAAACATCTCAGTCCTGCTGCATGGCAAGACGCATTCTGGACGTGTTCTGCTTTAGATCCACTCACACATGGAGTGAAAAAAGTCACACAAGCCAGTGAGCCAAAGGCTGAGCTGGCCTCACCCAGTTCATCTCACTGAGGCTCTGTCTGAACTTCATGCCATTAGTAGTTTTATACTTGGGATATGGAACAAAACAAGAAAATGTGTGCAACATTCCTGAGCCCCTGACTCAGAACCAGTGCCCTATGCCAAGAGTAGTGCATGGCTTTGAATAGAAAATAAGTAAACTTGCCCTGCCTGTTGCCTGTAATACACCATCTAATTCACTCTGGCCCCAGCAACTCTGTTCTTGATCCCATGCAGTGAGATCTCAGATGATATACAGGAAGCAGTCAGGTTCCCAGACCCTCACCAGTTTGGCAAAGATAAGCCTCTGGCTGTAGCCCTTCAGCCCAAATGATGGTCAGGAGTGTCTCTCAGGAAGGCACTAGTTCTGTATCAGCTTAATGTCCTGCCTGTAGTGCAGAAGCTCAGGAGGAGGTGGGTATGCCTAGCCCAGCAGTATGTGACCTCCCAGTCATGAGAGCTCTAGAGAGTGGCATCAGCTTTATATTTGCTATTGTCTATGCAAAACTTCTGGTCAGCACACTCCTTGTTATTAAAAGTCAAATACCACAAACAACCTTTCGGCATAAGTAGGTGAAGCCCAGGACACCCTTCCTCTTTCATTTTCAGCTAGATCTTAGTTTTGAGGCCATCACAGAAGTGATACTTGTAATTATTTTGCAACCGTTGGACTATATTAGACACTGAACACAGACCATTGTCTTTAGCAGTCATGCAATGCCCTGCAGGAGGATGTGCCCACCCCCTTTAGTGAGCAAGAGGTAAAGGCCAACATCCTTCAACATCCCTCAAACAACTTAGCTTCAGCACACACCTGCCTCTCCCAGCAGCTATTGCTCAATACCTGCTGTTTCCCGTAGGTCAGAGGTGTCATCTATGGGTTCCTTTCTCCTTGCAATGCCCTTTGCTTCTTGAGCTCAAGACCCTAAATTCTAAAGAATGCAAGTCAAGGATCCTAAAGAATGTAAGGGCAAGGGCAAGCATCTTCAAGGGGAGGAGACAAGGAGGAAGGGGCTGAAGGAAAGCAGTTGCTATTCTGTAGCTGCTCATGGCTGAGTGCTAGGCTCTCTGTTCAACACTTTCCACATTTTAGCTCTACAAATTTGTGCACTGACAGGTAGGAACAATTAGCATCCTCTTTGCATAGGGAGAAAGTGAGACAGGAAGAGTCACATAGCCCCAGGTGCACAACTGTCACCCAGCAGACATGGAATATAGAGCAGAGGACCAGAGCCTGTCTTTGGAAACCTAGCCAACTGCTAATCTTTTCTGGCCCACAGACCATGATTCTAACAAGAAGGTTGGAATTTGGGGCTCCTCAGAATACAGCATAGCTTACTGACAGCACTTTATTTTCACAAGCCATGCGATGTTCTGGCATCTGGGGGATCCTCTACAACATGGTCAGCCTAGAGGACATATTCTTCTTCAAGATGCCTCGCCCTATCTTGTTGTTGGCCAAGATAGACAAGACAATTAGCTGATTAAAGTGATAGGGAGAAAAAGACAGCAGCATGCTATGGGGAAAGGAAAATGGCTGCTCATCCTACTGCTATGGCTTCCTCACAGAAGTGGGGAGAGGTTGGCCTTGAAGGTTGAAAAAGTTGTGACAAGCAGCAAAAGGGGAGAGTCATATATCAGAACAATGCTGCAGAGACTCCCTAAACAGACAAACACTTTAAAGAGAGACAAAGCGTCTAGAGTATCTGGTTGTGGCTATGGTATGTTTTGTTGGCACAGGGAGGATATTCTGCTAGCCAGGCAGCATGCACAGGTGTTCTTGTTTAGCCTGAGGCAATGAACTAGCACGTGAGGATGACAGCATGGGTAGGAGAAAATCAACACCTTTTCTCAGGGACTTGCGTGGGCCACCTAGCAAATACTATCAAGCAGCTATACACAGAGCTCGCCCCAGTGACCCTGGCGGCTTCTTACCAGAATAATGAGTCACCAGGTCCTCCAGACACTGGAAGGTGAGCCTTGGCGAGATGTAGTACCAGTTGTTCGGCAGGCGGAAGATGCGGTAATGCTTCACCTGCCTGTGTCTTACTGACAGCGAGTAGAAACCTGCAAAGGGGATGGCGGGGGTCAGGGTAGCCATAGGGTCCACTTAAGGGTAACAGGCTGCCTCACTCTGTCTTTTAGGTTGATTCACTGCAGTTCTTCTACATGTGACTTGATCTGCCCTAAAGGAGGGTGGCCTTTCCTCTCCCCCCCCACCCCCCATTTTAGGTAAACTCTGAGATCCCCTGCATTTGATTAGGGAAGATACCCTCTCAGTGGCCCATGCGCCCTTCCCCAGTGTATGCTGAGATGTTTTAAGTGTTGTCCCCTCCACCTCCTGTTATCCCCAGTGTCAAAACTACACTATATGTCAGGGAAGGGAGCCCATAGTTCTTCACCCTTCATGCTCCCTGCTCCTTGATTTAAGCAGATTTTCTTAGAAACTTTTCTTAGCAAGCATCAGTCACTTAGAAATCTGTGAAAGACACAATCTCTCCTTCAGCATCATCAGTGAACGAGAATCCCTGGCAGGTCCCATCATCTCTTGTAGCCTTAGTGTCCCCAAAGTGGAAAGTAAGACCCTTGAGTTTAAGTCATGTTTTAGTCTCTCCCTCCCCTGCTCGAACCTTTGGCTTTCAGGAAGTGTGAATCGCCCTGGAGGTAGTGAGAGAGGAAGGTACTGCCCTCTCTCAGTCTGCACTTCCAGTAAAGGCCTGGGAACAATCATCCCTGAATATTGTATAGAGGGAGACATGGAGGCTCAGGACCCTGCAACAGATGTGTCCAGAGTCCAGGGAGATGACAAGTCTGAGTACAGGCCTCAATCTTGACCTCCTGACCACCACTAGTGGCATGTATATCTAGTTGCACACCAGTGCTGGTTTTGGGATCACCCACCATGTGACTTCTTGTCAAGATAACAAGAGCTAGAAGTGTGGCAAGCAGGTCTGCCTTGGCAAGCAGACCATCAGAACTGTGCATAGCCAATGGGAAGGGCCTGCTTCCTGCCTCTACCTTCTACAAGTCTGTCTGAGGACTGAGGATGGAGTGATTTGGGTATGAGCTGTGATGTTCTGGGTCCTCCATCTCCTTGGTCATGTTAATCTTGGTGGCTTTAAATATTCTGTGTGGAGACCTGGAACCTACATATGTCTTCTGTCTCTTTGATGCTCTGAGATATGCAGGCTTTGGAGAGAAAATTGTTCTGGGACATCTATGGTTACATATTAGAGTCCCTGTTTCCAGAGAGCTGAGTGACAGCTCAGCATCAAGTGGACCCTGGTCCTTAACAGGTCCTGGGGAAAACTCATGGACACCATGTTTTCTCTCCTGTGAAGGAGAAACAGGCTGAGAACTTGAATATGTTTCCTCTATTTAAAAAGGCCTCACCCTAGACAAAGAACTACAAGCAACAAAGGATTGCCAGGAGTGGGAGAAATAGTCCCCCCAGTGAAGGTTATCCAATACTAAATTGTCAGCCCTGAAAACCTATGTACCAGTAACATTATATAGTCTGAGCAGATTGTACTTAGGTATTTAGGAATATATGTGTACATACATATATGTACATATAATAAGAATTACAGAAAAAGAGACCATGAATTTGAAAGAGATCAAGGAGGTGGTGCATGTAAAGGTTTGGAGGGAAGAAATGGAAGGAGAAGTAATGTAATTACATGTTACTCTAAAAAAAAACCTTTAAATTTTTTAAGTGGCAAAAACAATAATAATAAAGAGAAATAATGAGTTCAGCAATTCATAGATGGTCTATAAGATATATACAAGCTATCCCTAAACTCTACAAGATACCTTCTGATGGCCAGAGCTTTTCCTTGGTGAATCATTCTTTACCATAAATTTTTCTATGAAGTAGCTTTTTACACAGGGTACCTTAAGTTGGAAAAAAGGAGTAGGCTGGGCATGAGAGGGTACTGTGAAGTATTTGGGTCCTGTATTTTAAAACCCTGGGAGCATAAAGGCCAGGAGAGGAGTACTCTCACAGACTAACACCCTGACATGGGTGAAAGAAGGCTAAAAGAGAGGAGGCACCCACCTAGGAGTTCAGGGCTGACATTACTCCCCTGCTTGGAGAAGGGTGACAAGGGCTTTGTCATTTCTCTTTTTACTGACACAGGAAGTCCTAACGATCTTCTCACACCTGCTTGCCTTATTCTCTGAGATGCCCCATTTTGCCCTAGGACAAAGGTGACTGCTGTTCAGGGCCTATGCACATCGAGAACACCATGTATACTCCATCTGAGTCTCACAAATAAGCAAACTGAGCTCAGAGAAGTAAGCATCTCAGGGACAGAGCTGGTGAGTACAGGCCAGCCTGATGCTGCTCAGGCCTGCCTTTCACATCATGTGATGGAACTGTGGCCTGCCCTATCTCTATCCTCCCACTCTCAAGTCACCAAGGAGCTGACCTCAAGCCCAGGTCTATTTATGTGCTTGTGGGAGAAGAGGAACAGACCCAGAGCAAGGCAGTGAGAACAAAATGTGCTGTGTGGCCACAGGGTTAAAAAATAAAAAGGCTCACCTTTCTTTGTTTCACTCTCTCTGATCATGAAGGAACCAATCTTTGTGTCTGGCAGCTGCAGCAGTTCCTCAGCCTTGTCCCTGCCCAGTCCTTCAAACAGCCAGCTAGGAGTGAAGAGGATAGCTTTTAGTGGCCACAAGAAATAAAGACAGGCTAACACAAGAGTAAACACAAAGTGGAAGGCCGATTGTCAGAAAGCTACCAGAATTACATGAGGAGGAAAATCATCCATTAATTCTGCAATCTTTCAAACAAAGTGTCCTGAGTAGCTGTTTGTGCCCAATGTTAGGTGAGCAATGACTAAAAATGTGCCCTGCTTCTCGGCACTGACTAAAGCAGGCTCTGATCTTGTCACATCAGGTGTGTACACTATGTGACATTGGCCTGTGCCAACCATGTCTGTGCAACCTCTACACTCTGCCAAGCCAACACTACCAACATTGTGCTGTTATATTTTCTTATGGTGTTCGGGACATCATTCTCGGTATAGGTTTGGGAATGACAGAGTGGACAGGTGGTCCTGCTCCTAAGCAAGTGGCACTCTCTCCTGCCGCTGCTTTTCATGTTTAGGCATAATTGCCATTGGGTGTTTGTATGTTTCTCACTGTTTTCACGTAACGGTGAGAATGGATAACTGTTATACTACACAGTCAGCCAACTGAGGAACAAGGACTGCTTCCACAGTACAGTGACACACAGGGTGCTCATAGGAGGACACTCTGCACTAGAAAAACCTGGGTCCAGATTCAGTGGCCTCTGATTACTCTTCATATTGGGCTCTGCCTGCCTCCTGCAAGGTGTGGGGGGGGTTATTAATAGGTGGCCAGCATATGCCTCATGTAACAGGTGCTGTGTTTTGGAGAAAGGACTGTTAACTGGCTGTTAATCTCCACGTCTAACTCAGCCTGTGAAGAACAGTAATGCTTCAGTCTTGCTGGCTTCATTATTTGACAAGGCACACACAGGCTGGGTTGAAGCAGGCAGGCTGGGCACCCCTGAACTCCAGGCTCCAGGACACAGGTACAGAAGTAATTTCACGGGCTAAGCATCAAGATCACTTTCTTTGTTATGACCACTTTATGCCCTATTTTCAGATTTTCCAGCTATGCCCAAGAAGATACACGATGTATTAGTTTTAATGTATATGGCAAAAGTTTGTATACCCAAGCCCTTTGCAAAGTCCTACACAGAACTGTAAAAATAAGACAATAGCATGATCCATGTAGGGATATGAATTCTTTTAGTATATTGTATATTGCTACTGTATTAATTATGTGAAGGCACACCCTCACCTAGATCTCCGAAATGGGCAAGATTTCCTCTCTGGCACAAAAGAGGAGCATGAGGACTAGACTGATTGGGTAGTGTATCCAAGTTATTAGTAGAGAGAGCAAAATTGTGTGTTCTGAGGGGGTAAGCAATGCTTTAGCCATTCTGGTGTGCTTTCTTTCTTTCATTTCTGTGTTTTGGGAAATGCTAGCACATCTATTAGCTGGACTACCTGATAGGGCCAGGGTCACATGACTCGTGGAGCTTCTCACCACCTCTGCCTCTATAACTTCTTTCAATGTGAAGGAACATGTTAGTTAAGCAAACACAACAGAGCCTGTGTTTTATAAGCAATGTCTAACTCCAGGCTTGTTGGACATGACTCTCGCAGCAGATACTTCTGTTCACCCTCCCCACTGTGAGCACGTGTGATTAGGAGCACCAATGGTGGAATCAAGAACTCGAATGTCTTCTTCCCAGTGGAAGCCTAGGGAGTCTGTCAGATTCTTAACCATATGAACAGTGGTTGCTTCCTTAATGCTTCCCCTCTGCTATGCGTGTCTGAGCTGAGGTTGGGCCTGTGTAGTTTCATAGAGGAGGGGCCTGTGGCTTGGCAAGGCTACACCACATTCCCAAAACTCCTCCATAGAAAAAGGGAAGTGCAAGTGTTAGTTTAGTAGTGCCAAAGCCCACTGAAGCCTCCTGGGATGAGGCCTCTACCTGGCTGCAGGAGCAAAGAGCCCAGTGTGCTGACTGCTCCCCAGCCAGTGGCTGCCTTTAGTCAGGAACACAGCCAATGCTTACAGAAGTGTGCTCCCTGTATTGTTCAGCATCCACCTCATTTCGGGAACTTCTACTCCAGCAGCATGATTCTGTATTATTACCCCCCATCATGCTATACTGTGATCCATAATCTCATGGTCTGGAAGTGACAGAGGCAAGATTTGAACCCACACTGACTTTTAGCCACTGAACCAAGGCTGCTTCCCAGACACAGTACTGAAGCACTCAGGTCTAAGTATTACCTGTGGCTGAGAAAGAATGTCCAGCTTGCTTCATTTTACCGCTGGGGAATCAAGTCCCAGAAAGTAGAAAGGATTAGCCCCGAGCTGGGGTAAAATAATTCATTTAAGTGATGCCTTGATTCCACTATATAGTGCTGGAGCCACTTTATCGCCCGAGTCACCCGTACACATTATGACAAAATGATGTCATTCAGATGTATACTTACCCATGGTACACTCTGGCCACACATATCCCCGGAATATAACTTTCCCGGCCAGTGCTGAGAGAAATGGCTTTCCACCAGCCCCCTTCACTATCAGGACAAAGCAGAGAGAGAAATGAGCATGGGTAAATGGCCAAGCCAAGGATGTGTGGTCATCAAAGTAGCTCACTGAAACTAGAGACATTCCTCTTTCAAGATCTGTCATCACCACTTAGACCTGCATTTTGCCAGTTGAAAGTGTAGGCTTCTTGTGTGTGCATGTGTGTCACATGTTGTGGGTGTCACATGGATGCATGTGAACGCCAGAAGTGGACCTTGGGTGTCATTTAGGAATGCTGTCTACCTTGTTTTATTTTTAGCTTATGGTATGTGTTCCTGTGTGTGTATTTGTGCTTGTGAATGATGTTGGAGATAGGGCATGTGCTTGCCACAACATGCATGAAGAAATCAGAGGACAACTCGGTGTAGTTATTTCTCTCCTTTTACCTTTACATGGGTCTGGGAGGTTGAACTTAGGTCATCAGGTCAGCAAGCACCTTTACATGCTGAGCCATCAGGCTGGCCTCAACCTTGTTTTTAGAGATAGGGACTCTCAGTAGCTTGGAAGTTAGTAAATAAGCGAGGCTGGCTGGCCAGCAGCAGCCTGATGTTTTCTTCTCAGCACTGAGATTTTAGGTGTGCACTATCATGCCTAGCTTTTTTTTTTGGGGGGGGGGGGTTCTGAGGGCTGGCCTCAGTTCCCCATGCTTACATGGCAAACATTTTGCCAATAGAACTCTCTCGCTCTCTCCAGCCCAAAAGTTTAGCTTTTAAAGCCTATACAGCCAACAGATATCACTCACCGCAAGCTGCCTGAGAACCTGCCCTCACAATGACAGTGACACCTTTGGGGGACCATCAGTTCATTTCCTCAGCTGATATGCACCGTTGAAGAGTTTCAAAGACAAAAGCTTCCTCTAGTGGTTTATTCCTTCAAGTATAACCAAACATCCATTTGCATGTCTCGATCACTGAGACTAAATCAAAGGATGCAGAGCCCTTAGTTTTGCCGTAGGCTATTTTTGGGATCATACTTAAAGATGATGGCAAGAATAAAAGCACTGATATCGCCTACAGTGTTTTTGGATTCTGCATTTCCTTCCCAGCATGCCCTAGTGAATAAAATCATCCTGCATATTTGGATAGTAAGCTACTTCTGCCACTGGAGGCTGTAAGGTCCTGGGAGTACTTGAATGGCAGGTCACAGCAGGAACCAAATTTCTCACCATACGGTAGGACCAACACCTGTGTAGAGCTAAACAACTGACACTATCTGGAAATCTGATGGCGTTTGTCATGTTTAGGGGATTATATATGTTTTGAAAGGCTCACTCACTCAGAAATCACACGCAGTTTCTCCCCTCTCCGGAATATTGGGGGGCTGATGTCAGGAGATGGGTAGTCATTCAGCACAGCCAGGAAGTCGCTCTCAAGTCCTAGGAGGCAAAGCGGAGACTTTTGACTGACCAGGCACAGAAAGCATTTGGGAATAAGGAGAGATGAAGCTGCTGGGTTTCCCCCGCCTCTGGAGCAGTGGTTTTCAACCTGTGAGTTGTAGCCCCTTTGGGAGCTGCATATCAGCTATCCTGCATATCAGATATTTATATTACAATTCGTATCAGTAGCAAAATTACAGTTATGAAGTAGCCACACAAATAGTTTCATCGTTGAGAGTCTTTACAGCATGAGGAACTGTATTAAAGTGTTGCAGCTTTAGGAAGGTTGAGAACCACTGCTCTGCAGCCCCCTCCTTTGTGCTTGGAAAACTCTGCTTCCACCCACCCAGGGTTCCAGGTCTCTTCCCCATGGGTGGCCTTAAGGTAGGCCTTCAGGCCTCTGACAGCCACAGAACGTGCTCCTACTACAGACCTCTCTTGATCCCAGTGCTTCCATCTGAAAAAAAAAAATGGATCTAGAGATCTAGGAGTTAGAGTCACACCATCTGGCTTTATTTCAGGATCTGCCCTATATCTACAAGCCTCAGTGTTTCCATCTTGAAAATGGGGTAACAGACGAAAGACTTTTGCCCCAGAAGGGTATAAAAAGACTCCTTCTTGGAGGGGTTCACCCTGTCCTACTACTCCTTAAAGTGCTACTGGAAATTAATGGATTGTCTCAGGAAAGGGATCACTGCCCTCAATAGTGTGGCCACTGAGAAGTTGCCCAAAATCCTATAAATATTTCCCCATCCATGTTCAGGCAAGCAAGCCTACTTTAACTAGGTAGGCCACAATAAACTGATAGATAGATAGATAGATAGATAGATAGATAGATAGATAGATAGATAGATAGATTACAAAGCAGAGTGACTAGCTGAAAAGAAAGCATCAAATATGAAGAGGGACAAAAGAATAGTAGGAGTGAATTTAATCAAAATACACTATATGCGTGTATAATTGTAATTAAAGTATAGTACTCCTTAGTACTCAGATGCCTTCCTTAGGCCCCATGGGTCCTACATCTGTGATACTTATGGGGAGGGTCAGGCTAATCAGTTGTGAGGATTCTCCAGGGTCTCCAGCTCAGATTCTGTGGTTAAAAAACAAAGCAAGCAAACAAAACAAAAAAAACAAACAGAATTTATCTTCCTTGGAGTAAATAGACACCATGCTATGCCTCTGGTCAGCAGGGATTTCAAGTAGGACTGTGACCATGAATAACATGTGAGTACTTTGTGTTGTACGTTAAAATCTGAATTCCTTAACTTGACATCTGAGACTCTGCGTGACCTAAGTTCTGCCTCCCCCTACCATGAGATCATATACATGTGAGATTTTAATGACATTTTGCAAAGGAAAGTGTGCTCTTTGGTTTATGTGAGCCCCGCTGGCTACAGAGATTTAGTGATAAATGCAAATCTCCTTCCTGATACCAACCAATGCTTGATTTCATCCTTAGTGATTTCCCGTAACTCATATGCATTGATGCAGCATAGTACTGGGGTACATTCAAGGGAAACAGCACATTTACAAAGCAGCAAAAATTGTTACCACTGGCTTGCCATCAGAAACTATACATTTGGGTTACATCTTATACTTAGTCATTTAGTGACTCTTCATTTATGCTCAACTCTGAGACCAGCAACATAGAGTAAACCCGCTTCTTCCTGCTTTACAGGAGGCCACATTCCAGAATCTAGGATCATGTGAGCCATTGTTTATGCCTTGGCCTTAGAAAGTTCAGTAGAACCCCGGTACTTAGCTGTGCAGGCTGGGTCCCTCGCTAGCCAATTTCTGTCATACAGTCACCTGTACTGAGACTCCAGCTCTGACCTCTCACAGTCTGACAGTCCTACAGGGGGTAATCTCTTGCATAGACTGAGCCAAAAAAAAAGAGATTATATGTGAGACTTGAATAAATGAGATGAATGGAGCTTCCAGGAAAGGCGCTAACTGCTGATTAGTAAATGAACCAGAAATCAGTTATCACAATGGAATAGTACATGCAAATGTGTTGCACATTTTGGGAAACTGAGTCATGGGCAATAAATTATGTAAAAGTTTTCAAGAGGAAACCAAAAGTGAGTGTCCTAATGAGTCATTGGAAAGGAGTAAGGGCTCCCAAGAAACAGCTTGGGTCAGCCCAGAGAAGTTGGCTCGGTGAGACTGCTAGCCTGAGCGTGTGAGTGAATGACCCTGACACTCTGCCTTAACAGAATTTTAAAAAGAGGCTTTTCTCTTTGTGGCCCAGATACCACCCCGCAAATTAGAAACAGCAACTATTTGGATTGAATTTGAAGCCAGAGGTCCTGTATCCAGAGAAGGTGCAGAGCCAGGCTCTGGAGCATGAACTTTGTACAAACTTGAGGGTTGTCTATAATTAAAAGAAGGTACAGTGCAGAGTGAGGCACAGGTCAACAGGGAAGACATGGCCACTGGGGGGCCCAGGATAAATCTTGCCTGCAAGTTTACCCAGCTGCCAGGGCTGTTATCCAGAACCTGGATGCCTGTGGGTATGCCACCTTTCATGCCTACCACCACCACCAAGAAGTTCCTATTCTGTAACCAAAATGGGCAGGAGACGCTCTTGAGATGGAAACACATTTTTCCTGGCCTGATGCTTCAGCTGACAGTGACAGGCCTTTTCCCAGGCTTGTCTCCCTCCTCAGACCTCAAGAGCCTCTGCAGGTGCTGTCCCTCTGCCCAGTCACACTGACTCGCTCCTCACTCCCACCACCCCTCAGCAACCCCCGTAGAAGAGGCTTGGTGCTCTGCCAGCCTTTACTGGAGGTTCTCCTTTGAAGCAATGTCTCAGAGTTGCCTCTGACAGTCATACTCTTACCTGACTGCAAACTCCAAGAGAACCAAGCACTTGGGTATTTAGTATCAAGCCTTGGTCCCATCCCGGAACTTGCCAATAAAGGATACTCCAGGCATGTGTGTGGAAAACAACATGGAACAGACCCTCTATATTGGGGTCCTCTGTGCTATCCCTGGAGTATTCCAGGCAGAAAAAAAAGAAAAAACTGATTGATTAGGCCCTTATAGAAAATAGGGTTGAAATCACTCCTAAAATATGATATTTATGACAAGAATAAAACCTTTAAATAGAGCTTATGCCTACCAAGATGTTTGTGGCTTGATGTGGTCACACTTCATACTGTGAAATATTACAAAGCCATCTTTCATATCATCAAAATGAAATGAAAATAAACAACACACAAAAGCCCATTGTGAATGAAAGTGTTCCAGTGGGGAAAAGGGGGCTCATGGGGGCTGCAGTTTCATGGTAGCAAAGGTAGTTTCTCATGGAGTTTTCTTACAGGCAATGTTTTCACAATTATGGCAGTGACTATCACCAGGACAGCCTTGTACTTGGTTTTCTGTCTAAGGGTCCTGAGCTCTGATCCCTACAGGGAAATAAATATCAGAAATGGAGTATGTGTTTTCTCCTCAAAGACATTATTATGCCTTCTCAGATCCATGGCTTTATAGAAAGTTGAATGTATATTTTATTTTTATTTAGAAAAGACTAAACTTTTTTGACAAACTGCTGCAGACATTTTGACATACGTTCAAGCAGACTTATACATGTAACATGTAATTTGGAAACAAAATGGGAGGGTGCATGAATCCATTAGGACTTTACCTTGTTTACAAAGGAGATTTTGAACTCATTTTTTAGAACACTGAACATTTAGATCCAACCAAATAATGAGTGAGACAGAAGGAGAGGGGTTTAGGAAGGGAGAGCATGATCAGGATTCAGAGTCACAGAATAAATGTGTTCTGGCCAAGAGGAACTCAGCCCACTTGAAGTCAGCTGGACTGACCCACACACCACCACTTTACAAATCTGGAATGCAAAGGAAGGCTTCTTTTAACTAACTAGAACTTGGCTTGTTTCTGTATAAAAATAGGAACTATCAAAAATCTACCTTGTTGTGAATTATGTGCAGGGCTGGCCTCTGTAACTCACTGGGCCATTCCCACACAGGATAAGCATACTCTTTCACAATCAAGACCAGCTCCAGCTGGATCACCTCAGTGTTCATGCTACATAGGAGTGGCAATGTGAGGCTATCTTACCACCTTTGGCTCCTCTAAACACAAACTCCACTTGGTAAAAAGAGAAAAGGAAATTCAGACTATCAAATGTTTGCTGATACCTAGGAAATGAGTATGGGTGGATAACAAAATACACAAATGTATCGTGTAAGTAAGGGAACCGGAGTGAACAGGAGCCCAGACAAGAGTTTACTGGCCACACATGTTACCTAGTCCATAAAGAACAGGCCTTTGAGGCATTATTAATCTTTAGCATGTCAAAACAGCATCTTCTCTGATGCTAGCACCTGGTCAGCAGGCCATTGGTGGCTGGAGCAAAAGCTATAGCCATCCCTTCCTTCTTGTGTTCTACTCAGCCCTGTTAGGTCACCTGCTCTTATTTGGAGGACGAGAAAGGCAAAACTGGAGAGTTAGTGACATGTCCAGAGAAGAGCATGAGACTGTAGGTCTATGGTCATTTCATATAGCTCTCTTCCCACCTTTTGTCCAGGCTCTTCTCAGTCAACACTCCATCCTTCACAGATGAAGGCCAGATCCAAGTGGGCCTTCAGAGATGGTGCAGGCAGCCCATGTGGTAGTGGGTGCAGAGCTAAATGGCTGAGTTACTTCAACTTCTGCTTTTATGCTCTTTTGAGTCATATCCAAACCCAGTGGCTCCTGCAAGGTCACCATCAGGCCTGACTTTCAGTAATTTTGTCAGGAAGCTGCTCATATGAGCATAGCCAATCAGATGGCGCTTTGGGCCTGCCTTGGAGGACAGCCTACCAAGTTCTGCTGATGTGTGTAAGTTGGGTCGGTGGGTCCCGTCATCCTGTAGATGTGGATTTGATAGGGTATTACTTGTGCTTTATGATAGTCATTAAGGATAAAGTGACACAGAAGTTGACTCCCTTTTTACCTAAAGCCTTCCCATGTTCCAAGAATGGGTTAATAATATAAAAATTAAGAGCTAGGCCAAGATTTGACTGGTGCTTTATTTATGGGAATATTTATTTATTTATGGGAATCTCACAGTGGCCTGAGGGAGTCTGTGTCGTTGAATCTGGTGACCAGTCATAGTTCCTCACTCTAGGCACATCCTATCTTGGAGTACAGTCTATCCTAGAAAATGATGGAGTTTAAAAAAATAGGTACACTGGACACTACATTCAGTTCATTTGGTTGTTTATCCTCACTTCTCCCCTATGAGCTGGAGGGCTTTAGGGGACTCAGTTCACCTTCCTGGCCTCAGTTTCCTCAACTGCAAGTTGAAGAGGATGATAGTGATAACGTGGTTGGGGTATTATAAGGATTAAGAGTTGCTTTGAAGGAATTTTCACATATGCTGTTCTTATGTGGTATTCACATATATCTGAAATGGCTCATGTCATACGCATAAAGCTCTTAAGCCTGTCTGTGGTACACCTCAGGCACCGATTATTACTGTCAAAAAATTAGAACGGTAGGAAGGGGAATATGACATCTTCAGGTGTGCTAGGTGCAGAGGCAGGACTAGCAGTGACCTGGAATCTGCTAGCTTTAGGGGCTTAAGACCTTCTAGGGCCTAATAGAAAATATAGCTTGCTGTTTTCATCTACCTTTCTTCCACCCATCATCACAGTTCTTCTGGGTCTTGAGATTTCTCTGTTTCCTTTCTCCCCTTACCTTGTTAAACTCTGTTTTTTTTTTCCCCATGGGTATGTAAATGCCATGTAAATGCGTGTGGAGTGAGTGTGATTTCCACCCTGGCCCAGTGGGATGGGTTCTGAGGACAGCTGGTTTGCATGGTTAACTCTGACGTTGAGATGTCACTGTAGGTCACAGCAATGTAGAGGGAGGAAACTGAGTAGTGGGGGAGAGGAGATTACTACAGCAGAGTAACTAGGTTGCCTTTATCAGGTGGAAATGTGTGTTTCCCCAACATCCTGGGAGGCCCCCGGTTTTAATTAATTCTGTGCCGTATGCATGTGGCCCAGAGGAGTTGTCTGAAGTTTGCATGGAGTGGGAAATTCACCATTTATAGTTCCATGAAAAAGTTTCCGGGGTTGCCATTTCCACTGCATTTCCACTTGAGGGATGTTCACACTTGAGGAAAGCTCACATTTAAGGGGAGCTCACACTTGAGGGAAGCTCATGCTTGAGTGACATCCATGTAGATACAGCCTACTGAGGTAGCTGACCTGCAGTGGAACCTAAAGTTCATTACCAAGTCATTGCTCTTTGCTCTACCATGGTGGGCAAAGATCATGGCTTAGTCTCTGGGGGAAGGCCATGGAAGGCTGGAGGACTTCCCCCGAGGTCACACATCTTTTAAAGGACAACACTCAGGATTCCATGGGGTCCGAAATGCACACTGTTCCCACAAACTGACTACTTCTTTATGACTTTAGTCCCTAGGAATCACGTTGATGGTTAGTTTTTTGGCTCCCATCCATACAATGTCATAATTGCTGATGCTTCAGGCCAGCCTGCAGCAATAACTTCCCCTGGTGGCCTGGGTGACAAAGAGCTCAGGGCAGGAGATGTTCATTGGATTTCAAGACAAAAGACATCTCTTAGACTTTACAAGCTTTTCCTTCCACCATGCCTGGTCAGTGAGTGCCTGGGCACCTTCTCCCTTACTCAACTAGGTACGTGAACAAAGATGAAACCAATTCAGGCCTCACGACAGAGGAAGCTTTTCAGGGCTCGGCAGTGGCGTGCCTATCTGGATTATACCCTGGTACAGGTCTGGGGAATTCTTCTAAACCAGAAGTCAGAGGGGAGACCCTGGAAACCTCCTTCTTAGAGGTGACCTCCTGCCCATACAGTTGAAAAAGAAAAAAAAATTACTTCATGGCAATTAGCATTTAAAAAGTAAAAGCAAACGGGCAAATCCTTAGAGATTGATGTTTTTGTGAGGCTTGCTCAAGCATACAGGCCCTTCTGGCACAGGCTGAGAGTGGCAACTCAGCAATGGATTTGAGGGAAGATTCATTATAGTGCCAGCTCTCTGATGCACTTACAATCAGGAGTTGGTTAGGAAAGGGTAATGCTGGGAAGTGGACAAGTAGGGTGCTGTGCATAGGATGGCCCATCCTGAACTGCATGTGGGAGGTAGAGGCCTGGGGGACACACACTCTATCTACCATGTCATTGCAGACCTGGGACCATTCTTTCTGGGTTTTTTTCTTTTCTTTTCTTTTCTTTTCTTTTCTTTTCTTTTCTTTTCTTTTAAAAAAGGAAGTGCAAGGGTTGAAAAATCAAAAGTCCCCAGGAGTGCCCCTGCATTTGGCCTGAAAAGGGAGGGGGACAGGCTCTCCCCCTGTTCAGAGCTAGCATCTGAAGGACTGTCACACTGTGGAGCATGGGCAGCTTCTTGGCTCTATTTTGAAGGAAGTAAGGAGCCCCTTTTGTAAGGGGCCACAGGTGCCATGGAAAGAAAGGTAGCCAGCAACAGTGCAGCACTTTTTTGTGTGAAGCCTTGGATCAGCAAGCAGGATGGCTAGCTGAACTCTATGAATTTGCCCAGTCCGGTTTCATAGGGCACAGGGGAGATACTGTCATGTCTTCTAGGAAATGAACAAGAGGTCTTGAGTGTGATGATATAAGGTGGGAGGAAGCAGTGTCCTGTGGCACTCCTGGATTCACCTTGCAAACGCTGTTGGCTAACTCCCTTCGGACTCCCTACGTTGTCTACACATAGCTCTTCTTGCTGGCCTGATTTAAACTTTTTCAGAAAGCAAGATGAGAGTGCTAGGTAGGACACATAGCTGACCCTAGGACCCAGCAGACTTGATGATCACCCTTGCCTTCTGCTCACTTATGTCCCCTCCGCCCCATAGCCAGTTATTGAAGGACTCTCAGTAACTCTGAAAGCCTTGCCCAACATTGCTTCTTGACACATAGCCGAGATTGGCCACCCCAATTAGACCACAACCCTAGCTTCTCCCCTAGAGTTCTGGTCTTTTGCCAGAACTTGACTAGATAGGAAGTTCTTTTACATTCAGCAGGATGCGCTGTAGCCAGTGACTAACTTAGCAAAAGGGTCCTGACCACACACCCCTAAGGCTAATTGTGTATGTGTGCGGGATAGGATTTATCATAGATTGGCCAGTACGGTGACCAAAAGCTTAGCTTTCAGAATGAGATAGTCTTGGGTTGGGCTCTGTGAGTAGCTAATGATATGACCTGTATTTCCTCTGGTTTGCCAACCCTGAAATAAAAAGATGGAGCCTACTGATTGCAGAGTTCCCTCTCAAAATGGCAATAAGTTCACACCGCAAGCATCCAACCCTACAGATGTTCATTATTAAATATTTGAACCACAAAGTGAGGGATTGGTACACCAGTACCTACTGCCCAGCTTCAACAAGCACCATTTTCCACCACTGTCCAGGCTTTCCTGCGGGCTATTGTAGGACTTTGTTAAATGCCTCTCCAGAGAAGTCAGACTTACCCTCACTGCTGGGTAATGGCCTCTCCGAAGGTGGAGGTGTGGATTTCATGCTGTTCCCCATCTCTTTTTCTCCCTGGGATGTGGCAGTTACTGGAAACCTGCAGTATAAGAGACACACGTGTAGACTGAAGCACACCCAGAACTGCCTGAGGAGAGGGTGACCTACTTCAGCGTTCATGGTACATCATTTCTCAGGCAGCCTGCTTCTTGAAAGGCGGCTGTTTTTTTAAGTCAAGATGCGATTCATGAGTGTTGGTAAGAGAGGCACAGTTCAAATTCTTTTATCAAGGGGATGACAGAAAAAAACCACAAAGAAGGAAGTTGCTAGCAAGTGCTGTTGGTGGCAAAAGTTTCCATTCCTCCACACCATTGCTGAGTAGAGGAGGGGCTGCTGGAGAAGTTGAACAGTGTCTTAGGTAGACCCAAAAAAGTTGTGCTCACAGACTGTTGCCAACAACTCTCATGACCCAGGAATTCAGAACACATCATACTTAGAAGTTGAAAGGCTTCACAATCTGAAGGGCAGAACCAGACCATGCTGGGGCCTTTTTGGTTTGATTCTTTCTTGTCTGTTTGAATTTTCATACCCATGTTAACAAAGGGTTGCAAAGGCCAGCTTCATGACTACACCCTTTGTTTGGTTGGTATATGCTTTCCATGCTGACAAACACATTCCCCTCTACTGTAACCTTGATCATCACAAAGCCCTGTGTCCTTAAGGAAGAAGACTCAAAAGGGGAAAATTACTAATCCCAAGTTACATACAGGTAAAGGAGCAGCTGTTTCATTTGCCTCAAAGCAGTCTCTCATAGAGCCCCACGCAGACTACAATGCTATAGCTCTCACTTATGAACTGATAACCTCTTACCAGTTAACGTTTTCTTGCCTCTTACTGTGAGGGGTAATGGGGAAGCTTTTAGGTAGTTGCAACAAAACTGAGATAACGCAGGTGAAACACAGCACATGGCCTGGCTAGAGAGCATCATGTTGACAAGTATTCAAAAGGAGAGACTTTATCCAAGTATTTTCAAGAGAGAAGAAAGTCTTAGAGATGCTGTATCTTTCAGGCTGGTGGAAGCACAGAGAAGGTGGCCATAAATATAGACAGAGCTGTTCCTGTTTTAGGGGACAAGGAGAAGAGTCTAGCCAATGTCTAGGCTGACAGGAAATACATACTTCAAACAGGAACATATTCTGCCTGTTCTCAGTGTATAGTTTGGGTCAAAAGCTTATGGGTTTGAGACTCTGGCTTCAGAACACATTTCTATACTCCATGTGTACAGCCATTCTCTAGCCACAGGGCCAGCTCTCATATGCTGGGAATATCACAAGTCAAAATTGTTATTTATGCCCAACCTAGACCATAAAAGTTCGGCAACACAGCACCCTGTATGGTACTGGGTATTTCTCCTTGTAACCAGGTAGCTGATGGGGACCCTGTCTCTGTCCTGCTATACATCATTAAGAGTGAAGAATGAACCAAAGATGTGAACCTGGGGAGGGAGAAGGAAACAGCAGAATTCAAAATTCAAAGTACAACTTTGACTGAGTGCATATGGCTTTTGAGCCGTTGTTAAACCTCAAGTACTGTGCATACACATTGTAGCATTGAAAGAGCCACACTCTGAGAGGAGGCAGAGAGAGGTCTGCACTACATCTGAATTTTGGAGGAGAGAAAGCAGGAGGTGGACTCTCTTATCTATTAAGAAGCAAGGAGAATAAAAAAAGGAGTTTTATTTTAAGAGTTCTCATGCATGGAGAGTGAGTGTATGGCCATACTCCATAAAATGTTTTTAAATACAAGATGGGTAATGACTTAACCCCTCCCCTTCCAATACAATGGGCAATTCTGGACTTCTAACCCATACCCAGCCTTGAGCCAAGGGCCTCTGAAAGGCAGGAATTACTGGCCACACACAGCACCCATGGTGTCATTCAAACTTTTTCCAGTTCCCTCTCAGTTCTTCTCAAGTGTTTGTGAACTGTTTGGGGAGCCTGCGTTCCTAAAATTCAGAGAGCAAAGGAGAAAGGAAAGGGCAGAGGGAGAGATGGAGAGAGAAAGGAGGAGGAGAGAAAGGGAGGAAGGAAGGCAAGAAGGAAGGAAAGTTGGAATACAATTTTTCATGTAGGAAAACTACAGCACACACACACAGAGAGAAGCCATGAGCTGAGGAGAGCACAGGATAAGCCGGCCCTTCCCAGGCTTGGGCCTTCTTCTCTTACCTTGCTCCCCCAGTTCTGACAGATTATCCTTTCCTGCCTTCTCTTGACAAAAGAGCTGATGACGCCCTTGAGCCACCAGCATTCCTGTCACCTCAAGGGGCCCCATAGCATTGTTCACCACTTCACAGAACCTCCAGGAAGGAGTTAACTCACCACTTACAGGCTTTCATTTGAGAAGAGTGACAAGGCCCAGAAGAAGGAGAGCTGGGGCCTCCCTGAGGAAATAACTGAACGATTAGATTTAATCCGTGACAGTTTTCTACAGTTGCTAGAGGTGGAGAGAAAGTGCAAGAGACTAATTGCTTCTAGGAACAATAAGAAAATGGCAGGAGAGAGCTGAGTTAATTAACACTGGCCCTGTCTATCCCTGCCACCCCACCACCACTTTCACTCCGCGGAAGGCCTCCTCCTCCCAGTCCAGTGGGAAAGACTGCAATGGCTAGTCACCTTCTTCTTCCTCCAGTCTTGAGGCTAGAGCTATTTTCTTTGTGGCCTTTAGCCTCAGTTCCCACTTCCAAAAAAAAAGAAATGAATAGGAAAGTAACTCTCTCCAGAGAGTGAGCTTTTAACCCCACTTCATTCTAGCAATCAAGACTCTGTGGCTTTTGGAAGATTATTAATAAGAGAAAAGAGCCATCATCATTTTAACAAAATCCCACTGGAGAGAGTACAAATTATGTCCTTATATTCTTTGGGATGGAGAGAAGGTAGGTGGCACATGCCAGGCTACCTTCTTACCATCATCCCTGAGAACAGACACTTCCTTTTTATCCTAAGAGGGGTGGTCAGGGGCTGGCTCAACTACCTTGTGTCCTCGTGTAGAAATTCCATCTTTCTTGAATTCAGACAGCATGCCCTCTGCCATGATCATGATGTCTGTCCTTTAGGTGACACTGGACAGGACATGTCTGCCTACTGTGAGTGGTTCCGTGGGAGGAGATATCGCAGGTCTTTGAAGGCAGCTGTCATAGGGAAAGTGCACATGTACCCAGCAGTCCTTCTCTGCAGCTCTTTTGCCTGCTCAGCTCCTCCCACACACTGTGGCATCCCACAATAGAACTATGTGTCTTTCCTACATGCACACTTGCTGCCCATGTCTGGATGTGGATAGGGAGATCATCTGTGCCATTTTTCTGAACATCAAAGAGAGAGAACATCAGAAACTTCTACCAGGGGTAAGGTGGGGTCCACCCCAGGGGTCACATGGGAGCCAGCCTTGGGCACAGCAGGCATGAATGTAAAAGCTAAGAGGCCATCCTTCCCTGTGGAGTAAGATATGTCCTCTACAACATGACGGCTATAAACTCCCTCCTGTGATCATCTTCTAAAGTTTGGGAGCTATAGGCCACTAGTCAGGAGCCTCAGTGTCCACTCACCATGTCACCTCTAACCACAACAGTGACACATGAAACACCCAGCAAGCAGATCAGTTTTGCTCTGTCCTTCACAGGGCTGCTGTGCAGTAACTATGCCTGACTGCTCATATAGCTCACTAGCCACGTGCTCAGAGGTTTCAGGACCAGCTAGAGGTAATGCAAAGGTCAAAGCAGGTCTCCTGACTCCAAAGCCCATACTCTTTCCACCTCTGGAGACCTGCCCTGGCCTCCTATCCTCTTTCCTGGTCTGAGATGGCTGCAGAGCCATCCAATCAAATTTGGCAATGATAAACTTGGAGGAAGACCATTTATTCATACAAGGGACAGGAAGGACAAGGGACCTGTCTAATAAAAGATTGCCATGACTTGAAGCCTAAGCCTAAAAACCACTGTGTGAAGGAGAAGGGACAAGAGAAACCTCAGTGAAGGCTTGCTGTTGCTTCAAGGCGGGGGAGTGGGGAGGATATAAAGATGACTCCAGACTTGCCAGCACCCAGAACTGAAGCACTGTAGATCAGAATGGAACAGAAAATGGTGACTGTGCTGATAGTATCACGTATTGACATGTATATATGTATATGTATATCTATGTATGTGTGGTATGAATGTGTGTTTGTATGTAGTATGTATGTATATGTATGTATGCATGTGTGTGTGTGTGTGTATACATGTATGTATGTATGTACAGTCTTGAAACATAGTCCAGTCTGGCCTGGAACACTTGATCCTTTGCCTGAAACTCTGGAGTGCTGGGATTTGGAGTATTTACCACTGAGGACACCACAAGAAACACTACAAAATCAGCTTAACCTGGACCCATAGGGGCTCACAGAGGCTGAAGCACAAACCAGAGTACATCCAGGGGACAGACCTAGCCACACACACACACCCCAACCTTATGTAACAGACATACAGCTTGATCCTCATGTGGAACCTCTTACAGCAGGAGCAGGGGCTGCCTCTGACTCTGTTGCTGGCCTCTGGGTCCCTTTCCCCTAACTGGGCAGCCTTGTCTAGCCTCAATAGAAGAAAAATACGCCTCCTCCTACTTGATATGCCAAGGCAGATTGATACCCATGGGAGGTCTCCCCATGTCTGACAAGGTAGAGGGCACAGGGGGAGGGGAGGGAAGAAGGAAGGACTGGGAGGAAAGGAGGGGAACTTCCTACCAGGAAGTAAATTAATTAATTAATGGAAAAAAATTCATTAACATGAAACCAGCCTACAAATGTATCAAAGTAGCCTGCGAAACTTCCCCAGGAGTTCCCAAGGTCTCTGGAGTCTCCACACTTGCCTTATTACATGAATTGGTTTTGTTTTTCAAAGCTGGGCCAGATACAGAGAACCCCACAGGAGGTCTTCAGAACAGGGTTAGCCTCAGGTCTCCACTCCCCATTTGCTGCCTGTGTGTCCCCAAGCCACCTGTTTCACCAACTCTGAGCCTCTACATTCTGTTCTTTTCTCCTGATTTAAGATACAAATGTATGCTCCACAGGGTT